CACTTGCAGAATTTTTTACTATTCCCATACGGACATTTTTCGTATTTTTATTAATTAAAAAAAAGTTTCTATTCCCGCCACCTAAATATTTTTTAGAAAAAAAAAAGAAATAATATCACTCTCGTATTTTTTCTACTAAAACAAACAAAAAACGAAAGGAAAATAGAGATGATTTAGGATTATCATTGTCGTGAAAAAAAAGAAGCAAAGTCTCTTTTTTCAACAACATTTTTTTTTTTATAGGAATCATTCAATACGAAATCTCTTTTGAAATTAAAAACATCAAAAAATTCAAAATCAAAAAGAATAAAAATTATACTTTATTAAATATACGATTTTGAAATTTCGTATTTAATCCTGAATTATGGTTAAAGACAGGTTGAGTAGTATGTAACGATGAATAGAATGTTGTGTTAAGTGTTTATGTATACGTTTATAATAATTTTCATTCATAATTTTTTTTTTAAATAACGTGTATATAACGTCATTGTGACATTGTTTTTTTTTGTTTTTTTAATATAAATTTCACACGTAATTATTATTCCTCTCCCTTTCCATGCTATCATTTTTTTTTCATCATTTTTTTTTTTTATTTTTTCAAAGAGCTAATGCACTTCGACTTGATTTTCTCATTATAAAGTGAATAAAAGTTCAACTGACTTGTAATTTCTCTCAAAGTCATTCAAATGACTCTTCTCTCTACATTTCCTTTTTTTTTTATTTTTTTTTTATTTTCTTTTTCTGTTTCATTTCCCTCATTTTTTTCATTTTTCAACAAAAAAATTCCAAAATAACAAGTCAGAGAACGAATATTCGAAATTATTTTTGCGAGACATGAAGACAATTGATTAGGAACTGAGCGAGCGTAAATTGGTTCTTAAATATATTGATTTGCGTCATTACCGCTGATGCACAAATCTACTATCATTTTTTTTTTCTTCATCCTAGTCTATTTGCTTCATCAAAAAAAAGGGGGTACGATCTTACCAATACAAATCTAAAAGTTACAAGTATACAGGACAATTATTACAGTAATAATTTTTTTTTATTATTATTATCTTTACCGATGTAACGTTTATTACCTTATCTTTCGAGCTAAAGCATCTTTTGGGAGCCGATCAATCACTTTTTATTTTATGATCTTACATATTAGATGCCATATAATAAATAACTCTCGTCCATTTCTTTTTTTTTTTACTCAAAAAATCAAAGTTTCTCATATTATTTATTCTTTTTTAAAAAGATCCAATTTTCGAGTTTTCTTTTTCAGAAAAAGAATCGAAAAAAATACTCTTATTTTTTTTTTGCCAATCACTCTCGTTTTTTGTGTAAATTGTTTTGTGTAAATTTTTATTAATTTAAAACTTGTCTCTTGTCCGTTCCTTTCCATAAAAGTCAAAAATTAGAAAATCTAATTTTTAAAGCGAACTTTTTAAAAAAAATGAGAAGTCTTAAAAAATAACGGAATGAATTATTGTAAACTTAGGGAGAAAAAACTTGAAATATGTGGCAGTGTGTTACTAGGCATTCTACGTATTGATATTACAATATATAAAAAACAAAAAGAAACGGGCAAAATTGGACCTAACGGCTTTTGGTGTTAAACGAGTGCTACAACAACAATAATAATAATAAGTTAGCAATATAATTGCAATAATTACACTAATGTAGGCGAAAAACTTGTGTCTAGTATATTATTTATAATTAATGAAAAAAAAAACAGATTGGACGACGCTATAAAAGTACGCGTAAAAAATATTTTAAATTTTAGCAATTAGTTACATAACCAGTCTTTGTTGGGCGGGTCAACCATTGTCCCCAAATTTAATATATGTATATTAACTCCATTTAAATAGATATCGTTTCATATAAAACTCTTTCGCGTTGTTACTATATTACGATTGCATTTATGTACCGTATCAACTAATTAAGATAAAAAATTCGACAAACTAAGTTTCATGATCTTCTTTTTTTTTAAATTATCCTTAACTTTTATCTGTTCTTTAATTCTAGGTTTTTTTTTGTTTTCCTTTTTACAATTGTTTAAAAAACCCCTAAACATTAGTTAACGCGGATTTCTAACTAAAAACGAAAAAAAACCGAGTAGTTACAAATATTTCAAAATAAATAAATTTTCAAAAAAAATGATGTTTTGATGATAGTACAAAATACGCTAAAAATAAAAAACTATGACTTAAAGCGAAAAAATGGGAAGAGATTTAAAAATTAGCAACAACCCTGAGAGAGAGTAAGGGGGCAAAGTTTCAATTTAACTGAAACACACACACCCCCCGGACAGTTATTATTTATAACAACGATTAGAATGAAAAAAATCAAGTTTTCCTAACTGCGCTTACATATTATTTGTAATAAGTCATTTTTCTTTTTATCTTTGTATTGAAAAAATATTAATAATATCTCATTAAATATAAATATACTATTCATTAGAATCAGTACTCGTCAATTAATTATATTTTAAATAGTTCCTTTTCCTATTCGGTATTTTTTTTCTGGTCATTGGTCACCATAATTATATTTTACTTATCAATCGACATTTTTTTTTTTTTTTTTAATAATGACGCGTCATAATAATTAATAATCTTTGTTTTCCTCGCGACCCTAAACGATTCTATTTACAATGATTTATTTTCTTTGAGAGAGAATGTTTCGTTATAATTAGATATTAAATTTTATCTTTATTTTACGTGCCTATTTTTAATTCGAATGTTTAGACTTCATTTTATTTTATTTTATTTATTCGAAGAACAATAATATCGTAAATCGTACATCTAACCTGGATATCCTTTTTTTTTATTAAAATTTGCGTCTCTTGACAAAAAAATTCTATTCGACGCAAGTTTGCTTAATAATCTTAAGTGTGTTGATGTGTTGTGTTCGTTATGTTACATGTCTCGCGAAAAATTAAATTGGCGATTTGATTGAGCTCCCCGAAAAAATTATTTTATATTGATCCCAGAATTTTTTTTTTTCACAAGCCGCGTTTATCCCCTGATGTCGAAGGCCAGATCTGAAATCTATTTAACTAGATATAAAAATCTGAAATACTTTTTTTTTAATCTAACTTACATGCCTGTAGTACTAAACAACTATTTTTTTTTGTCTTCTAAATAATATAAATACTTTTAATAATAGTAAAAACTTTTCACAAAAATAAAGAAATAGAAAGAAAAAAATTCTATCTAAAATCTGATTAAATCTCTTTAATATAAAGAGTTTTGAAATGCATTTCAAAAAAGAAGACTCCAGATCAGTCCTCCAATCTGAGGTGTGTAGAAAAAAGAATAAAGCTATTCGATCAACATTTTAAAATTGTATGATCAAGTAATTAGTTTAATTAGTTAAAAAATAAAGGAGCGCGTAAACGCGGCTCGATCAGTAATAAACGTATAATATGAGCGTAGGAGAGAGCGCTCTCTTAAAAAATTTCATTTTTTTTCCCTTTCATTAAGGTCTACAGTAATTCCTATAGAGTAAATATAATTAAGCCATACATTTAATCAGGTAGACTTTTCAGATGTGTACCCCCCGCGAAAACACGAAAACGATCGCACACTCGAAACTCAACATTTTCCTTTTCCTCTACCATCATCGAATTACAAATACATCACATGTAATATTTATCCTGAATAATTAATTAATCAATCTAGCAATCTAAATTCGTTTGTAAGTAAATCTTACAATTTATTTGTGGAAGTAATAATAATAATTAAACTACAATAGTAACAATCTTGTGAAAAAAAGTGTGTGGTGGTGGTGGTGGTTGATGGTGTTGTAACGGTTAGCAGTATCACTATAGTAAATTTAGCAATAGTCGAGGTATATAAATTAATAACAATCGTCGTCTTAATTTACTTTTCTAATCTAAATATAAATTTCAATTCTTTTAAAGTAAAATATAAACATCACTTCTCGAAAACTAGTCCCAAAAAAAAATTGGAACGACGAATTATACAATAATTCTTCAATAATAAACTATTGTCAGACTCCCTTAAAAAATCAGGACGCCCAACCGTTGAAAAAACATAATGTGCAATAGGGGAAAAAATTACCTTAAGAAAAAGTTCAAAAAAAGGACATTAAAAGTGCCACGAAGTAAAATACAATTAAAAAAAAAAAAATCACGGAGGAACCTGCGTCCTGCTGTCAAAGTCACGGGACACACATACACAACAATAATAATATTATTAATAAATCGATTTTCTAACCTGTAAACTATCTATAGTTTAAAGGTAAAACTTATTTTTAATCAGTTTGTTTTTTTTTAATCGTTACTTGCAATTTTATCTATCTAAAATATATTAATAATAATAATCTTGATTGTAGAGGGAAAGTTGTTTCGATGATGCGACCTTCAGCTTGTTTTTGTTTTTTTTTTACTTATTACAGAGAAATTCTTAATATCCTACCACAGCACTCTGCGGTGTGGAGGTGAAGGAACAGAAAAATTTGTGCCTTTGTTCGTTTTCTTCAAAAAAAAAAAAAAAAATTATTCGTTCACCTCATTAATTGCCGCCTCAGTGACATCTTCGACGATTTACGCTCGCTCGTTACAACTTATCTATTATTCCTTCGCTTTTAAATTTTCTTTTTTCAATTTTACTTCTTGTTCTTAAACCATGCATCGTGGATAGACAATTGCGACATGAAGTGTGGCGAGACAATTTAAAAAATCTATTTTCGCTCTCAATTGAGTTCATCGGAATTTATATTTGGTGTTTTTTGGTAAAGAGAATCAAATTAAATATCAAGAGCTTATTTCATCGAATTTGATAGTTTTTTCGTATCTGTCAATTTTTTTTTTTTTTTTTTTTTTTTGCAAATTTATTTCATGTGGCAATTGAATCTAATCGCACGAGCAAGGTCAAGTCGATTTTAGCGCATCACTCTGTCGCGAACAAATTAAAATGGTCATGAGGTGGGCCACTCTTTGAAATCAAAGCCTTGTTGGCCGGGTTTAGGAGCGCTGGCGGCATACCCACCTTGGTTGCTTTCTCCGCCTTGATAAGAGCGTTGTGGATAACTTGTTTCCGCATAACTTCCATAACCGGAGTACCCACTGTAGTCCGGAGTCTTAGCAGAACTGCTACTTGATCCAGGAGCTCCTGATCCTGTTGTTTGCCTGGAGTACATGTCACCTGAAACATTCGCCATTTATTTGTTAGAAATTTTTTTCTCTTACTTTTTCCACCTAATTATTACCTAATTCTCCATCACTTATTACTTTTTTTTTTAATCTGTGATATTTTTTTTTCTATTTATTTATATATAAGGAATTATTTTATAACTATCATTTATTTGATTATCATAAACGAAATTTATTTTTAATATAATGCAATAAGTGTATGTCTGTAGAAACTTAAGAATTAATTTTTATTAAAAAAATCACAATGAGAAAATTTTTTTCTTTAAAAAAAAAGATTCATATTCTCAAGTGTCAAAAATTAGTTCTTTGAAATTCTTATCTTACGAAAAAAATATATTTAGGCCTCTTTATTTATTAAACAATTTTTATCAAAAGGAAATTTTCAAAGGAATCAAAATTGCAAAATTTGCAAAAAAAATCTCAAGGCAATATTTAATTTTAAATATTTTTTTAAATATTGGCAGAAAAAACCCTAATTTTTTACAGAGATTTTCATTATAGTTTTACACAAGGAAAAAAAAATTATGACAACCAGATGAAAATTCAGCTCAAGGAGAAAATTTAATTTGCAAAAAAGGATTTTTGCTTTTTTTTAGATTGAAATTCGTATTTTTGAATAAAAATTTCAGAATGAGCTTTCATTAGCTCGTTGCCACAGTTAACAATTTTTTTTCCTTGTGTAAATGTGATTTTGCACAGCAAACTTATAAAATTGAAGCTAATAAAAAAGAATGTGAAAGACGAACGGGTTACAGGCACATAACAAAGCAAGCGAAAACTTAATTGTAATTTCAGATTCAACATGACGAATTATTGTTTCTAATTTATTTAAATTTATTTAAAAAATAAAAAAAATCAATACAAAAAATTTACAAAAATAAAATTTCATTTGTAGGATTTATTAAAAAGTTTTTTTAAGACATATTTTATTTGTAACTTCAAACAAAATGAAAAAAGGAAAATTTGTATTACTTTAAAATGAGAATTATTAATATTCAAAAAAATTATCTGGCGTTAAAGTTTCATTACTGGCAATTTTCCATTCAATAATTATTTAATGCTTCATATAATCAAATTGTATAAACAGTTTTTCATTATACTTACACTTATTTTAAAACCAAATCAAATATTTTAACAATATTATTTACAATATTTATTAACAAAAAATTTATTTAATATAAAAATGATTTATTAGTTTCAAAGAAATATTCCTTTTTTAAATTAAAGAATTATTTCTTTGATCCTTTTGTTATTGATAAAATTTCTTTGATTTACAGAATAAATTTCTTAGATTCAAAAAACATTTCTTTGTATTTAAACAAATTTTCTTCGATTTCAAGAAATTTCGACATTAAAATAAAAATGAGATTTCTTTAATTTAAAAAGGAATTTATTTGATTCAAAGAAAATTTATTTAATACAAAAACAATTCATTTTTTTTCAAAAAAAAATTTATTTGGTTCAAAAACAATTTATTCGTTTCAAAGAATTTTTTTTTAAATTAAAAGATTATTTTTTGATAATTTTCAATGATAAAGTTTCTCTGATTTGAAGAATAAATTTTTTTGTTTAAAAAAAAATTTTTGGATTTAAAAAATAAATTTTTGTTATTAAAACAATTAATTTTTTTGATTTAAAGAATAAACTTTTAAGATTCAAAAAATGAATGTCTTGGATTAGAAGAAAATTTGTTTAAATTAAAGAAAAGTTATTGAAATCGAAGAAATTTTGTTTTAAATTCAAGAAATTGATTCCTTTACTCAAAGAAATTTTATCATTGACACAGAGTCAAAGAAATAATTAGTTAATTTGAAAAGGAAAATTTCTTTGAAACAAATGAATTGTTTTTGAACCAAATAAATTTTTTTTTCGCTAATAAACTGTTTTTGCATCAAATGAATTGTTTTTTAATCAAATTCTCCTCGAATTGAAGAAAAATTAATTTTTAATTGAAGAAGTAAATCAAAGGAAATGATTTCGTTAAATCAACAAAAACGGAATTAAAAAAAACGAAACAATGAAAATAAATAAGTAAGAAAAATTATTTCACTTTCAAATCTTTCCTAGATTTTTTTTTCTTTACATTAATTCGTCATGTCTTTTTCTTTCTTGCAAATGGAAAAAGGAAGGAAGCGTAAAGGATTAGAATAGGAGTGCACTAACCTACACTAGCAGCTAATTAATGATCATTTGATTTGTCACGATTTGTATATATAATAATAAGAATAATAATAATAATAATAATAATAATAATAATAATAATAATAATAATAATAATTATAATTATAATTATAATCATAATAATAATAATAATAGTAATAATAATAATTATAATCATAATAATAATAATAATAATAATAGTAATAATAATAATTATAATCATTAAATAATAATAATAATAATAGTGATAATAATAATAATAATAATAATAATAATAATAATAATAATAATAATAATAATAATAATAACAATAATAATATAAAGAGTCGTAAAAATTGACAACAAATAAGAAAAGTGTAACTAACCCACTTTACAAAATTCTAAATCAAAATGCATTCTAATTAATCTAAAAAAACTGACGACAACTACTGTTTAGATACAAAAAATTATTTTTTTAATAAAGTGGGTAAATGGCTAATACCATGCCCAGGAGATGCTTTGCTTATAGCACACGATGCAGAAAGAAAATACTATAGTTTGCATTATTTTATTTTTCTCCCCTTGCATAAAAAAAAAGATTCTTTTTTTCTTCTAACTTCCGAAAAATATACACGTTAAATCTAACCCGAACTATTTCAAGCGAAGAATAAATCGACTAAAATTTATAATTTGAAAATAAAAACAAAAAGAGAACATGAGAATTCGAAATATTAAATTGTTTTTTTCTTCTACTTAAAAAATATAATAAAACCTAATTTTTACAAATTTTTACTAGAGAGAAACATCTAGAGAGAAAACATCACTAATTTTCAACATTAAAAAAATCTATTGAGATATAAAAAATTTGTATATATAGAAATGCAATGAAACAAAAAAATTAGAAATAAATAAGCAGTTGTGAAGTATTTATCGTGTAACCCTTTACTTGGTAAATTAACAATTCAAGTGTTTCCTTGAAATTTCTCTTTAAATTCGCGTTATTTTAGCTGTTTTTGGAAAATTTTTTATTTAATTTTTTTTTAATTTTTCATATAATTTAAAAATTTTTTTAAACAATTTTTAAAATTAAATTTTTTTAATTTAATTTTTTAAATATCTCTTAGGTTCAAGGTAACAAAAAAAAACAACGATTATAAATTATTCACCAATTGAACATGCAGCGCACATTTTATGTCAATAAATAAAAGAAACTTGAGTAAAAAACCAACATTAAAAAATATTAAAGACAACATTTAAATTTTTAAGTATTATTAGAAATTTAACTTGATAAGAATGTAAAAAACGTGCACATTTTAATAATTTAACACTTATACAAGGCTTGACAGTATTATTTTTTTTTAAATAAACCTAAGAAATTTTTGTAAGCGTAACATGAATATTTTTAACGATATCAAAAAAATATTTCGAATATTCCATAAAATTATTTTTTTCCTATTTTTTTGTGAATAATTTAATTTTTCCTAAAAATTGATAGTAGATATTTAGATATTTATATTCTTTCGAATTCAAATATTTTCATTGAATCCCTCCAAAGAATTAAATTAATTACAAATTTTCTATACAATTTTAATTTCTCGAAAGAATTTAATGATTTTCAAAAATCATAAAATTCTTCTAAACAATTTAATTATTTTTCTACAAAAATTTTTATTATTTATTAAAATAAATTAATTTTTGCAAAAATTGTTTTTGAAAAATCTTTTTATGATTATTTTATGACGACATAATTCACTTAAAAAATTTTAGCATAGAAATAATTTTATGAAATATTCAAAATAATTATTTTCTTTGGTATAGTTGAAAATATATTTGTTACTCTCCCATTGAGACGAAAATATGGTTCCTAATATGGAAAATTTTTTTTTTTTTTAAATATAAATTTAATGACCGATTTTGGAACTAAAAAAGGATAGCAGCACATTTATAAATATATTAAAAAATGATCACATCAAGAGATCAAATTCGTTTTCAATGAAGACACAAATAATTTTGCAAAAATCTTCAAAGCAGGATAAACAATTTTTGAAAGTGCGTTTAACCCAAGGGAGTGTAACTGCTGTGCTTTATAAAAATTAAATTTGACAGCGTGTGATATTCTAGAAACATTGAGGGAAGAAAAAGAAATAAAAAAAAGAACATAAGCGTACATTAACATTAACTGAAAGGAATACCGGTTTTTTCATTACCAAATAAAGGGTTCCAAGAAAATTATTGTTGTGTTTTTTGTTTTCCCGATGATGAAGACTATAAATTTTTGCAAAGTTGTGTCATAAAAAGTGAATTGTATTAAATCGGTAATAATGGGCTTACTTGAAATTTGGTCGATTCACTGTGGAATTTAGGGTTTGTTAAAAAAGAGAGTGAATTGGAGAATGGTTTTTTGGCACGATTAAGTGGAAAAAGGAAACTGTTTTTTTTTTTTTTTTTTTTTTTTTTTTTCTGAGCTTTGAAGACTCACCCTGCGGGCCAGAGGGGTTCGAGTTGGAGTTGGGCTGCGAGGAATTGGGCTGATGGGGCTGGGGTGGAGGCTGGGATCCTGGAGGGGGCCCATTTTGGGGCATACTCCAGGAATTCCAGGAACCTCCAGGCCCGCCCCCAGCAGCCCCGCCGGTACCCGCCGTGGGCCCGTAGCCCCCTGAAGCGGCCGCCGCCGGCCCACCTGCGATCATTAACCACACAAATACGTGTCACCAACGACAACTACCGTCACACCTCACCTTCAATCCGCTTTTCTTTCAATTTCTTTAAATCTCTCTTTTCTTTTTCTTTAATTCCTTCTACAGGCCTCGGATCGATTTTAAGGCGCAAAAAAGTCGCCTTCAGTCCATTAAAAATAGAAAAAAAGTCAAGTCCATTATTTAATTCAATGTTATCACAAACATTTTATTTTTTATTTCACAGATTTTTCCCTTTCACTGATTTAAAAATTCAATTATTCAAAACTTGAATAATTTCGTTAAATAAATATTTAAATAATTTTTATTTGAAAGCAAAAAAGAATTTAAAATATAACAATATAAAAAACAAAACAAATTTAAAAAAAAACTTCAGTTTAAAACCATCTGAAATTTAATAATTTATAAAAATTACAAGTATAATTCTTCCAAGATTCAATTATTTTCTACAATTTTCAACTAAACTTCATCTCTAATTCAATTATTTGAATTTAAATACAAAAATTCAATTCAAATGTGAACAAACAATTCTAAGAATCAGCTGTTTTTGAAAATATTGTAATGTAATTTTTCGAAAATAATTAAATTTCTTGTAAGAATTACTTTTTTCCAAAATTTTTAGATGCTAATTTTCATTATTTTCATTTTTCAGTTTCCACTTGAATATTTTCCATTAAAATTTTTTGAAAATAATTAAATTATTTCGAAGATTTTTAACAAAATTTTTGAAAATAGATAATTAAATTCTTTCATGAAATTTAATGAAAAATGTATTGAAGATAATGATTAAATTTTAAAAAACAAATTGCATCAAAATTTTTGTTAAATAATTAAATTCTTTCAAAGAATTTTAACGAGATTTTTGAAAATAATTCAATTATTTGGATGAATTTTAACGAAAATTTTGAAAATAATTCAATTATTTGGAAAAATTTTGAAAACAATTCAATTATTCGAATACTAATAAAAATTTTAAGAATTATTGGATTTTTCGAGGAAAACATTTAATATTGCATTAAAAATAATTTAAATCATTGATGAGTTTTAAAATTCATTAAAATATTTGAATTTTATTTAAATTTTTTAAAATGATTGAATTCTCCAGAAAAATTTTATAATTTAAGAAAATAATTAAATTCCTGAGAAGAATTTTATTATTTCAAAAAATAATTGAATTCCTGAGAAAAATTTTTTATTTAAAAAAAATAATTGAATTATTGAAAACAAGTTTTATTAAAATTTCCGAAAATAACTAAATTTTTTATCATAAATTTTGAAAATACGTAATTAAATTCTTTCGTGGAATTAAATTACAATTATATTGAAAATAATTGAATTCTTATAAAAAAAATTCATCAAAATTATTAAAATAGTTGATTTTTTTCGGAAAATTAAAAAAGAAATTTTTTGTAAACACTTTAATTTTTGCGAAGTATTTCATTAAAATTTTTCAAAATATTAATAATTGAATTCCTTTGAAGAAGCTTTTTATTTTTGAAAATAATTGAATTATTTCTAGTAATTTAATTAAAATTTTATTAAAAATAATTGAATTCTGTCCTTGAATTTTATTATTTTCACAAATAATAAATTTCATCGCATCAATTCAATTATTTTCAGCTCAATTTTTATAAAATTTCTCTAAACAATTCAATTATTTTTAAAAATTATAATTAATAATAATTTTTAAAAATAATTTTTATTATAATAAAATTCTGTGAAGAATTCAATTATTTCCAAAATTTTTTAACAAAATTCAATTGCAATTATTAAAAAATCACGATTTCAATTACTTTTATAAATAATAAAATTTTTCGCAAGAATTCAATTTTCATAAATAATTAATTATCTATGAATTTCAATTCTTCAGAAGAATTCAATTATTTTCAACTATTGTTATAAAATTTTTATATTAATTCAATTTTTTTAATGCAATTTAAAAAATTTCAATTATTAAAAATCTTTTAATTTTTTTTTTGAAAGAATTGTCTATATAAAAATCGAAATTTATATTTGATATTTAGTTGCAATATTTGGAAGAAAATTCGTAAATATCTCAATTGTTGCAAATAAGTGAAAAAAATGTCCAATTTTTTTCTTAAATAGTCGAAAGTCATAAAATCCGAGACCTGCTTGAATAAAACTCCTTTTTTAAGGGCGTTCGTTAAATGAATATCGAACAAATTATTAAAAGAAAAATCTTCATGCCTTGAAAAATCTTTCGCCTTGTTTCGAGAAATTAATTTTGGAAACAGTTTCATGTCCTAACAAACACCCTTAATTCTCATTTCTGTATTGTAATTAGGGTTTGGAAAGTTGAAAACACCAAGTCGATGTTTAAGCGCGCATTAGATATAGACTCTTTCATTAAAAGTTGGACATTCAACAATGAAAATTTAGATCTTTGTTCGAATAACATTTCTCCAGTGTATATTTTATAACGAGTGTGTAATAATTTACACACTTCACATATTTCTTAATTTACACAAATGCAAAGCTGTGAGTTTCAAAGTTAAAAATAGAAAATTATCCTGCGTTAATTTATTTAAATAGTAAAAAAAATTCTCTAAATTCACAATTGAACTGTCCACTTTAATCAACAACTATCCTATCGTATTTTCTTTCCATATTTTTCCTCCAGGGGGGCATAAATTTGATCAATATTATAATTATTTAACAGTAATTAATTAATCAATTTATAATAAAAACTGTAGAAAAATCCTAACCTCACCAAGCAGGAAGGAAGGGGAGGGGGACAGGACCAATGTTACAATTAAATTAAATATTACAACTATGTCCTTTTTATCAAAAAATCAATGTTTTTGGACAAGAGAGGAAAAGGTCAAAAGTTCAACGACCAAAAATTCATAATAATAATGATAATAATAATTTTCTCCTAAACACCATTTCACTAGGATACTAATTTTAGTTTAATGATTGATTAAATTAAATGAACCGTAATCAAGTAAAACCCGATTCAAATACCAATATTGATTAAGTCAATATCAAAACCTTCTCCTCTCTCTCTCTCTCTATAACGTGACATTCGTTTCAAAAATAATTTAAACTCGAGTTTAATTATTTGATAATTTGAGAAGAATTTAAACAATTTTAATTTTGTAATTTTAATCTGTAGTCTTTCATCTTGACACAAAATTGTCATTATTTAAAAAAAAAATTGTCATTGATTAGTAAAATATTATTATTTTGTAAATTAAATAGTAAAATTTTATTATCTTGGAAACGAAAGTAAATGTATATTTACAGTTTTCTCTTTAAGTTTCCAACAAAGAAACTCAAAATTGTACAAATTTACAATCAATTAGATTTTCAAACGATTTTTTTACTTTGTAAAAAAATGGTGAAGAAAATAAAGGCATCGAGATTGACAATTCGTTAAATATATTCAAGTTTAATATTTTCGTTCTTCTGCTTTTTTAATTCTGTGTTTTCCGAATTGTAAAAGCAAAAAAAAAACTTGGTAACTGTTTCTATAAAACAAATAAATGAACTTTTTTTTTAATAATCAATTTTCTCTATTTTTTTCAGAGTAGTAAACAAATCTCTTTAGTATAGAATAAATTAGTGCAAATTTAGTTAATTTAAAATTTAATTAAACAGGGTGGTCACAAGTTTAAGTTTATCAATTTCCCTGAATTAAAATTACATTAAAATTACTTTACCTGACAAAATTCTTTTTATAGAAATATATGGAAGTTTACGATAAAATTAATAAAATTTATGAAATTTAATAATTTCTAAAAATTACAATTATAACCCTTCCTGAATTCAATTATTTTCTCCAATTTTCAACTAAACTTCATCTTTAAATCAATAATTTTAAATAATTTTCCGAAATTTCTTCTAGGATGCAATTATTTCAATACAGAAATTCAATTTTTTATGATAATTGTAACTGTCCATGTTTTTTTCTTAAGTTTTTAAAGTATAATATTTTCAAAACAGTATATTAAAAAAATCCGGACAATTAATTTTTTTTTAATATTTTAAAATAATTTTGGAAAAATTAATAGTTCTTCAATTACGTACAATTTAAAATTTTTTAAATTTCATTTTAAAATTTACATCTAAAGATTTTTTATTAACATTATAAAAATCAAAATAAGTTGCACTTTTTTACTAAAAATTGTAGTATTTTGTTTCAATGTTTGGAAGAAAAGTAAAAAAGTTACAATTTTTGAAAATAAGTCGAAAAAAGTCTCAATTTTCTTAATTTCCCTGACAAAAAATTTTTTTCCGACATTACCCTGACTTTACTGACAAAAAATTTGTTTTCCCTGACATGTGGCCACCCTGTCTTTAGTTTAGAATAAATTTTTTTTATATAAATTTTATATAAATTTTTTTTAAATAATTGAATTCGTCGTGAAAAATTTTATTATTTGGAAAAATAATTGAATTCTTTAAAAAGAAAAATAAATAATTTATTAAATGATTTGATTGTTTTTGAAAATTGAATTCATATAAAGAATTTTAGCAGCAAATTTTTAAATAATTGGATTCTTTTGACGAATTTTAATCCAATTATTAAAAATAATTACAGTTTTCGAGGAATTCCATTAAAATTGTATAAAAATTATGAAAATAATTGAATCATTGTAAAAAAAAGTTATTGTTTTTTAAAATAATTGAATTATTGCGAAAAAAAATCATAAAAATCTGTAAATAATTGAATTTCTGTGAAATTTTTATTATTTATGAAAATAATTAACTTTTTTAATAGAATTTTATTAAAAATATGTTTTAAATAATTGAATTCTTTTGAAAACTTAGATTAAAATAGTATAAATGAAAATTAAAATTCGTTGAATTGAGGAAATTTTTTGAAAATAATAAATTATTTTCAAGAAATAATTGTCAAGAATTTTATTAAAATTTTTTGAAAATAATTGAATTTCTCCGAAGAATTTTATTAAAATTAATTTCAAAAGAAAGCAATTCAATTAAAATTGTATTGAAAATAATCGAATTATTTTGGAATAATTCTATTTTATTAATTATTTTATTTAGTCTATATTTAGTTTAGAATAAATTAGAGAAAATTTAATTAAAAATTTACTTAATAAAATTTGAAAGAAAAATACGAAATAAATAAATAATTGAAATAAATGACAACTTGTCATTCTCACGCCTCGTAAATTTGTTTTGAGTTCAAAAATGTTTACTTGTGCCACCCTAGAAACTTTTCGATTTCAATTGAAAATAAAGTGAAGAATTGAGCCCGTGGCAAGTTAAACCCCTCGTGAAATTTTTTCAATTCAATTTCAATTCGTATTGCGTTTTTACGTAAATAAAATTTTTTTCTATTTTTCCTTTTCTACTTAAATTTAACTTTTAATTGGAAAAATTCTCCCTTGATAGCTCAGATTCTACTGACACTATTCTGATTTAAAATTTTAAAAGCTACTTATTAATCATTTTCATTATTATTATTAATTAAATTATTAAATTATCAATTAAAAATATATATTAATTTACTTTTCCTTTACTTTCTTTAACTTTCATTGATATGAAACTGGTTTAATAAATTATTCTCCCTTTTATATTGTTTCAAAAACTTTTTAATTCTAACTCAGTCTAATTTTACAAATTGAATTCGTTTCCTTAAAAAGTACCTTTTTTTAAATAAAAAAATATAAATACGCAGTTTTCAACTAGTCAACGCATTTTTTCTAAAATTAACAATATTTCACATCACAATTATACGATTGATTACAAAAATAGTGAATAAATAAAATAACAATTCTTTTTTTTTTCTCACACAAGGTCTTTACTTGCAACGGGCTCAATTAGGGAGGAAAGCACTAGACAAAAATGAGCCTGTGTCGAAAACTTGTAATATGATAATTGTTAGAGATAAAGCAAAAAAAAAGAGAAAGAAATGTGAAGAATTGAGAGAGAAAAGCTCACCATAATTTCCATAACCTTGCGTAGCAGCTGTTGGTTGTACATTGTAGCTACTGCCCCATTGGGGAGGCGGTGGCGGCATTTGCTGTTGTTGAGGTGGTCCTGGTGGAGCTCCCCAGCCTTGAGTGTTGTACTGAGTACTGTAACCAGCATAACCACCTGCCTGAGGACTTGTTCCCCAGCCTTGATATTGTTGCATCATGTTTCCTGGTGGGCCCATTGGTCCGCCCATCATTGGTCCTCCCATTTGTCCGTTTGGTCCACCCATGGGTCCCATATTCCCAGCCATTCCCATTGGAGGGCCACCTTGTTGCGGTGGTCCCCATTGTCCTTGATGACCATCATTCATCTTGCTTGACGAGTCTCGCGGCTCAGCCTGTTTAATCTCAACCTGAAATCAGTTGTTAATTTTTGTCCTGTAGAAATTCAATTGCAACAAAAAATTTTTCACTCTAATATCCAACGATATATTAGAGATCACGATTTAATGTTGTTTTCTTAAAAGGATTCTTTTTTTTTCAAAATATGGTTCTTCATAAATAAAAAAAATTGTTTTCCCAATTTGAATTAAAATAAATATTTAATTATTTTTTTTTTTCTAAAAATTTTATGAAAATTACGTTTTAAATAATTGAATTCCATAGGAATTAAAATTCTTCAAAAGATTCAAATTCAAACCTTTTTGAAATTAAACAACTTTTGAAAATATTATTAGAAAACATGACGATATCGATGACTCCGAGTCTTCGACTCGGAGTGCTCGATATCTTCATGTTTTATAATTAAAGATTTCTAACTAAATTTCTTCTTTAAATAAATCAAAATATTTTTATAAAATTTATTTTAAAATAAATAAATTTTTAATAATTTTTGAGAAAGTTCTTTGAGAATTTTCAAATCCATTTGTTTACAAATCAATTTTACAAAAAAATTTCAATTATTCAAAAATTCTTCAATAATTTCTAAAAAAAATCCAATTGAAGTTTTTCAAAAAAATTAAATCTACACAATTATCAGTGAAAAGTATGAGAAATTCAAATTTTCAAAGATTTTATTTTGAAACCTTTTCAAAATTCAATTATTTCTAAAAATTCACGCTATAAGACATTTAACTTTCAATAATAATCCAAATTTTAACTAAAATTCATTTTCAAATCAATTTTTACTTTATCCCTCTGCCTACGCTGACTTATCCCCACTCTAGCGCTTTTGAATGTAATTCCCATAGTCCCCACCAGGCGTCCAAATAGACGATTTTAGACGATAACGGTCACATGAGTAGGCAGAGGGTTAAAGAGATCAAAAAACTTCAATTATTCAAATATACAAAAATAAAAAGTTTATTGAATAATTGAATGTTTCATAGAATTGAATTAACATAAAGAGAATTTTATCAAAATTTAAAAAAGTAATAGAATTCCTGAGAAAAATTGTATTATTTATAAAAATAATGGATTTTTTGAGAAAAATTTCATTATTTATAACAAAAAATAAATGAAATCGGTTTTTTTAAAAATAATTTTAATTAAAAAATTTATAATAGAATTTTATTAAAAAAATTTGGAAATAATTGAATTCTTCACAGAATTTTATTACATTTTTTAAAAAAAATAATTGAATTGTTTAGAGAAATTTTATAAAAATTGAATTGCAAATAATTCAATTCATGCAAAGAAATTTATTATTTGTGAAAATAATAAAATTCGTGGCAAGAATTCAATTTTAATTAAATTACTCGAAATAATTCAATTATTATTTTCATAAATAAAAAATTCTTCAGAGAGGAATTCAATTATTTTTAACAATTTTAATGAAATTTTTTTCAAAAATTCAATTATTTTACACAAATGATAGAATTTTTTGCAGGAATTAAATTATTTTAGAAAATGTATTTAATTTTCCCGCAAGAAATTGAATTCTTTTGGAAAATTTTATTAAAATAGTAGAAATTGAAATTAAAATTCGTTGAATTGAGGAAAATTTTTGAAAATAATTTAAATTTTGCAAAGACTTTTATTAAAATTTTTGAAAATAATTTAATTTCTGCGAAAAATTTTATTACTATTGAAAATAATTAAATTTTTTTGAAGAGTTTCATTAAAAGTTCTAAAAATAATTGAATTCCTCTGAAGAATTTTATTAAAATTAATTTCAAAAGAAAGCAATTCAATTAAAAGTGTATCGAAAATAATCGAATTCTTTTGGAATAATTCTATTAAAAATTTTCTAAAAATTTGAATTATTTCTACAAATTTTATTAAAATTGAGTTGAAAATAATTGAAAAGAATTTTATTAACAAATTTTTAAATAATTGAATTCTTTTGACGAATTTTAATCAAGTTTTCAAAAATAATTACATTTTTCGAGGAATTCGATTAAAATTGTAATAAAAATAATTGAAATTCTGCGATGAGTTTTATTATTTCAAAAAATAATTGAATTCCGAAATAGAATTTTATTATTTATGAAAATAATTGAATTCCGAAATAGAATTTTATTATTTTTGAAAATTATTTAATGCTTGTTTAAAAAATTTATAAAAATCTTTTTAAATAATTTATTTTTTCTTTAAATTTTATGCAAATTATGTTTAAATAATTGAATTCCTATGAAAATTTTATTATTTATGAAAATTATTGATTCTTTGGGTAGAATTTTATTAAAGTAGTAAATATTGAAAATCATTGAATTGAGGATAATTTTTGAAAATAATTTAAATTTTTGATAAAATTTCCTTACTGTCTTAAAAAAACAAAATCTTTCGACCCTTTTAAGAAAACACCATTCACTTGCATAATTTACCATGATTTATGAAAATGATACGAACTAAAAAAATTAATTTCATACCATTTTAGAAATTAAATATATTGAAAAAAAAATAGAATTTATTTTTTCTTTGTAACTTAAATATTCGAAAAATCAAAATTATAAAAAAAAATATGAAAATGGAGCAGAGAGCAACAGGAACATTGTAATAATGTTCCTATCGTTTCTGTATGAACCTAAATGAAGAAATCAATAATTATTAACAATTAAATCTTGGAATAAAAGAAATTAAGATCGAAATACAACTATAAATATAAATGAGGCAAAAAATGTATAAAAGCGCTTAATTACAAATTATTCACCCTGTATGAAAAATTATACGACGAAGTATGTCGAACATTATTCTAATGTTAACTAGAATAACATAAAACTTATATAATAATGATAAGTATATTTTTAACTTAATTTTTATCTAAATAGATAATTACTAAAAGTATCTAAGTAAAAGTATCTAATTAAACCTAACTCGGTTTCATATTACTAAAGTATTCTAATTTTTAAATATATAATTTAATTCGATAAATTAAATATTAGATTTTACATTATACTAAAAGAATCTTTAAACTATACATTTAAGTAACTATAAATATTATTTAGAGCCACTTCCATCAACACCGATTAAAACTTAATCAGCGATTAAAACCTCAACCAACCAATTCATGTACCTACACAAATGGCTAAGTTAATTTTGAAAACAGATTTTAATCTTTGATTACCTTCAAATCCGACTTTATGGAACTGGCAAAAAATGGTTTAGAAAATGTAAAATTTCATCTCATTTCAAAAAGTAAAATGTCAATTAAAAATACTTTAAAAGTACATAAAGTATTCTTAATTTACAAAAAATTATCAATTTTTTTTTGTAATTTTTTGTTTCATTCATAAAAGCGCTTCATTTTTATAATTTTTTTCTTCAAATTTTACATATATCTATTTTTTTTAAATTAACTAGTGTTAAAAATCTAAAATACAATTACATAATTTAATAGTTTTTTTTCATATAAAATTAAACTTAACTTATTTTATAAAATATTATATACAGTATAACGATCATATTTCATAATATTCAGTCGCAAAAATTTGATAAAAAGAGGTTTTATTTTGTGAAACACCTTCAACTTAAAAATAATTTTAATTATGCTATACCTGTTTTCCATTCAGATTGACGAAATGTTCAGCAACGCATCGGTCCACAGCATCCTTATCTTCAAAGCTGAGAAATCCGAATCCTGTCGTCCAAACGTAACACATTGTTTAACAAAATAACACCAAACGAAATTTTCTTCCATGTAAATAATCTTAAATAATTTTCAATTGTGAGGAGGAAAAATAAAATTTCTCACAAATTTTTCACAACTCGTTTCTCGTTGAAAATTGCTTTTCTTAAATTCTACTCTCTCACTCTCTTTCTCTCTCTCTCTCTCTTAATCCAAATAATTCAAGTATTTTGCAATTCAATAATTATAATAATCTATATTTTATATAAAATTAAGAATCTAAGATTAATATTATCAGGGTGGCCACAAGTTTTAGTTTATCAATTTCCCTGACATTTCCCTGACAATTTACTGACATTAAAATTACTTTCCCTGACAAAATTCTTTTTACAGGAAAATATATGAATATTTACGGAAAATGAGTAAAATTTATGAATTTGAATAATTTCTAAAAATTACAATTACAACCCTTCCTGAATTCAATTATTTTTTACAACTAACTTTCAATTAAACTTCATCTCTGAATCAATTAATTTAAATAATTTCCCAAAAGTTCTTCTAGAATTCAATTATTAAATACAAAAATTAAATTTTTTATAATAACTGTAATTATATACCTAAATATAATAGTTTTTCAATTTTGAATAATTTCCAAACAATTAAAATTTGGTAAAATCTTTTAAAAATAATTGAATTTTTGAAAAATGATCAAATTTTTGAAGAATTTTAATTATAAACAAGACCATGATTTCTCAAAAATTTTAATAACTCCAAAAAGTAAATTTTCATAAATTTTTATTTACATCGTTAGAAGATAATTGAATCTTAAAAAATTATTATAAAACAATTCTAATAATTAGTTTTTAAAAATATTTTAATGTAATTTTTCGAAAATAATTGAATTTCTTACAAAAAATTTTGTATTAATTTAAAAAACTAATTAATTTTTTTTTAATTTTAATTAAAAATTTTGAACTTGATAGTATTCTCCAAAATGTTCAAAATAATTCTAAAATGTTATTATATTTGTATATATGTATGTATTTGAATTTTTGGAAATATGTAATTGAAAATACTAAAAACATTGAATTTTAAAAAATTAGAAGCTAATTTTCATTTTTAAATTTACTTTTAAAGATTTTTCATTAAAATTTTTGATATTTCAACTATTTTTAAAATTTGCAATTAAAATTCTTCAAAAAATGATTTTTAAAAATTGTAAATAAATACTTGAAATGTTTGTAAGAAAAGTAGAAAAAGTCGCAATTTTTGAAAATAAGTCGAAAAAATTCTCAATTTTCTTAATTTCTCTGACAAAAATTTTTTTCCTGACATTTCCCTGACTTTACTGACATGTGGCCACCCTGATTATAAACATTAAAGGAATAAAAAGTTAATTCAAACGCATATCCAGATTGTCACTTAACGAAATTACATACATTACTTTGCATTTTAAAAGTGAAAACCAAAAGTTGTAATTTTTTTGTAATTTATATTTTTACTAACAAAAAATGTATCGAAATTCAAAATTTCGAAAAGGGTCCAGAACCAGAAGAGTCGTTTTCACAATCAATTGTAAAAATTACTCTCAAGATTTTTAGCCCTTTTCAAATTCATTCAAAATTTCAATCATAACTTTTTGATTTTATAAAAAATTGGTTAAATTTAAAAAATAAGAAACTGAGTCAAAAATAAAAATTTCTAGAAAAATAGTTACTAAGCAGTTCTTGCATTGAAATCAAATAGAATTTACAACTGACCTCCACAGTTTAATTGTTTTAAGCTATGTATGTAAAACTTGAAACAAGACAACAGCCTAATTGAGACTTAAGCTATACTTAATACAAACGCAAATTACGTAATGTAATGTAATTATGTGTAAAATACCTCTAAATTAATTTAACAATGATAACAAGTCGCAAAAGAATTTCTAACAAACTTTTCCAATAGATTTAACTGATTATTTTTTATCATTTTCTTTTTTTCTTTTTAATATTGCATTATTCGAAAATTTTTAAAGTTAAATCAACTGTAAATACTCAGATTGCTAGAAAATCCCTACATTTATAAATTTTATAAATTTACTCCAAGGATATCGTAGGCAAATCTCCTTATATAGAAAATCTAAATTCATTAGTTGAAAAAAATTCATGATTACAATAAAAATAATTTTAAAAAATACTCGATACTTAGTTAATTTAGTGTAATATTAAAAAAATTAAATATTGACAAAAAAAGTAAATTAAAATATTTCGTTCAAGTGAAAACCACTTTTCACGTGGTTTTCAAAAACAGGTTGTAAATATAAAAGAAAAATCACACTAAAAAGCTAATTTTAAGTACATTTGCCGACGATACCCCTGCCTTATAAACGCTTAAAAGAATTCCCTTGAATTTTTAAAATTAAATTAACTATATTCTTCTTTTAAAATTAAATTCAAAATTATAAAATTTATCTTAAAAATAAATCGAGGCGCATTTCTCTTAATATTAAAAATAAGAAAACAAATCTGGATATAAATTATCATTAGTAATATTCTAGAGTTAATTAAAAGAAAACATAATCTCGTAGAATTAAATTTAAAATATTACAAACATTTTTATGCAATTTATATAATAAAACTTATTGTATAAGATAAAGATCGTCTATAGCAGATCAATAATTCATATATACAACAATAAAAGCTAATGCTGCTTATACAATATTTGGAATTGTATAACGACAGCATTAACAGTATTGATTGCATTTTATACTTTAAAATACCAACTCAATAGATTTCATAGAATATATAATAAAAAAATACTACCTTGTTATCTGATCCACTTGTGACAAAAATAAAATTTTCAAACAAAATAAGATAATAACAATAATAATTATAATTACAATAATAATAATAATAATAATAATAATAATAATAATAAAACGATAATAATAATAAAAATACGATAATATTGATTAAATGTCTACAAATTATTCAAAATTTAGGTAAAAATTTTTCAATTTGAGAAAAAAGTTTTTTTAAAAATAGTATTTGAAATAAATTGTCAATAAATTGTTAACAAATTGTCACAAGTGGAGCAAAAAATAATAAAAAATAATTTAAAAAGTTAATTTTGCTCTTACCCCTTGATTTCTTTTTCTCTTGATCGTACATGATGACAACTTCCATGACCTTGCCAAAGCGAGTGAAAAATGACCTTAAATCGGTTTCAGTTACGTTACTTGGTAAACCACCGAGAAACACTTTAGGAAATCCTCCACTGCGTTTGGGTTTTTGCAAAGTGCGTGGATTGCATGGTTTCGGATCAATCTGGATTTTTTTGAAAATTAATTTTTATTTTAGTGATAATTCATATTCATATCAACTTCCTTAAATAATTAAGGAAAATCGATAATTTAACAATTAATAAAAATTAAATAATTAAAATTTTAACGAAACATATGAAAACGATTTTTCCAAAAGTTTCGTGCGTTCAAGTAAACGATATTTTCTTACTTCTTTTAGTATTTTCTTCCAAAAACAATTTTGTAAATTAAAAAAATTAATTTTAAACTAAGTAAAAGTTTAATTTTAATTTAATTTTTTTTTTGGCAGTAATTTTTTTAAATATTAAAGCAGAAGAAAATTTCTTTCATTTGAACGTTAAAAACCAGGAAAATCGAAACAAAATTTGATCCATAAGTTTTGAACGTTCAAATGAAGGAAATATTTTTTACTAAGACAATTTTTTTTTATAAATTTTCAATTGTCATTAGAATTAAATTTTATAAACTTAAATTTAACATTTAGAAACATTAAGATTAATTTTTTGGATACAATTTTTTTGATACAAAGCGAAATTATTGTAATAAAATTTAAGAAAAAAATGTCGTTCATTTAAAGGTTTAGAACGTTTATGATCAACGATCGGAAGAAAAAAAATACTTTTTACTCCAAGAATATTTACTTTTTTTTACAAATTTTTATTTTCTAATTTATTGATAGAAAAATATTGTGAAAATTTTTTTTTTCGACAAAAATTTGAAGGAAAAGTATTTTTTCTTCTAAATTGTTGATTAAAAACATTGTGAAACTTACAAACGTAACATAAACAAAATTGTTAATATATTAATTAATCAAATTGTAAATTTAGTCAAGTTATTGTAAAATATAAATTTAGTAAAGTTATTGAAAATTTAGTTAATTTATTGTAAATTTAGTCAAGTTATTGAAAATTTAGTTAATTTATTGTAAATTGAGTTAAAATTATTGAAAATTGAGTTATTGAAAATTTAGTTATTTTATTTTAAATTCAGTTAAAATTATTGAAAATTGAGTTAAAATTATTGTAAATTTAGTCAAGTTATTGAAAATTTAGTTAATTTATTTTAAATTCAGTTAAAATTATTGAAAATTTAGTTAGAATTATTGTAAATTTAGTCAAGTTATTGAAAATTTAGTTATTTTTTGTAAATTCGGTTAAAATTATTGAAAATTTAGTTAAAATTATTGAAAAAATTACTCCAAAGTGGAGAAAGATAAACGCATGAAGGGAAATAAATTTACTGAAGGGAAACGGAACTTACAGTTCGTCCATCAAGTTGGTGCGGTCCATTTTGCAAAACTAAGGAGACATTAGCAGGATCACTGAATGTGACAAATCCAAAGCCACGACTGCGACCGGATTCGCTATTCTTCATTACAACACAATCAATAACCTCGCCATATCGGCCAAAGTAACGCTGCAAATTTTCTTGGGTTGTCTCCCACGACAAACCTCCAACGAACAGTTTTCTGTAAACAAAAAAAAATGTCTTCACTCTGCAATTTTTTCTCAAAAAAGAAATTTTCTTCAATCATTTCAAACTTTTTCCTTTTTCAAAGATATTTAAATTTTCCCTACATTTATCAATTTATTATTAGAATTACAGAAAAATAATAATTTATTATTAGAATTCCAGCAAAAGAAGTAAAACAAAAGAAAAAATTTGAGCAATATTTTTGAATAGATTTTGAGAAGATAACATTTTTACTACAAAAAAAACTGCGAAGCATCTTTGAAAACAAAAAAAAAAACAATAAAACCTAGAGAGAGAGAATAGAAATCATTTCGAAACACAGATTTATCTAAGAAAAATAGTCTTATACGATAAGGATACGGATAAGGATGCTATCAAATAGTAAAAATTTCGGGCAAAGAGCATAAAATACCGGCACTCAGTATTCACCGGCTTTTAAGATCAACATTCCTTTATGCACAATTTCTCCTCGTAAGTGCAATAGAACTCAACACCGATTGGACACATTTGACGACATCCCAACTGCGATTGGAGCAAAGAGCAGACTCGCCACGAAGGATGAAATGAAAGGACGCACGGGAAGTCGGCATTTTCTTCAACTAACACACGATCTCCATTATGAGTAATCGCGTCAAAAGTTTTACTTTTTCTCACCGAGAAATTACAATATTCCTTCAAACCCCACGCCAATAGAGAGTTAAAAAATCAAATACAAATCAAATCAATGAAAAATGCATCAAAACTAATCGAAACCGGCATTTTATCTTTTACGTCTTTTATAAAGATAAAGAGACTAGAGCCCCGTCAAATATATACACATTTAGAATAGAAGTCAAAAACACGCGTCTAATTACTCACGATAGGGAGATAATAATTAAAAAAACCACTTCATAGAATATCATGAGAAAATAAAAATGCAGTTACATGATGAAATTCCTTGTAAATCTATTGCAATAAATTTGTTAGATGTCTCGCGTATTAAAACTGATTGTTCCGGAACGCTCGACCGATTTCTAAAGTGAAAGAAATGGGGATTTTAGATTGCAAATAAAGATTAAAACAACTTACCCCTTTTCGTCGTCGTCCATTTCGTTTTTCACTCGCATAATATTTCACTTATAACTACAAAATCTCAGGTAGATTTTAAATGCTTGTGGGAATATGGCACGATGCTTTAGCGCGGACCAGCGCGGATGAGGGTAATGGCTTCCACGATGAACGCAACGAACAGAATGTAAACGTAACGAAGAGACGCGCGTCACTTCCGGTACTGCCGAGTCAATACAGCAACTGAACAGGTACGTACCACGCTAAAAGGGGCCCTTCCCTTCTGAATTTCTACCAACCGCTTTTTTTATTTACTCGTTTTTAATATTTATCATCGATCAAATTACTTGTTTATAAAATAGTCAAAAATTGTCAAATATTAAATTTCCCAGTAGATATTCATTACCACAAATTGTTATTAATGTCGTTATATTTCAACTCAACGGCGTCGAAAACCGGTTTTTCATATAAACTTTGCATTTTTTCTTTTCATTATAATTATATATATTTTACTTATTTTAATCCTATTGTTTGCAAAGTTGCTTTAATCGGTTTGATGTTTCTTAACTGAATAATAATTACGTTAGTAAACAAAAGCTTAAAAAAAAGAAACCTAACCTTAAAATTCTTTGAAAAAGTTAGTAAAACAAAAGAAGTGAAAAAAACAAGTATCTATTTTCCACTTATATTGTTTACATAGTTTTCATACTTTTTTCATTTCTATTATTTTAATGATATTAATAATACTTAAATTTTTCTTTTTTGTACTTTAGATCTTAGAAAATAATCGATTTCCTACATGTGCTTATGAGACGCGAAAATACTAAATATTTTTAAATACCGAATATACAAAAAATTATTTTATATTAACTTCATATAAGGTTTTTATTTAATATTTATAATTTTATAGTTAACAATCTTTTCCGGTAATAACAATAATTGGAAATTTTATTAATCCATTTATTAACGTAGTCACCCCCGCCATTTTATTATTACACGTAACGCGGGAAATTTAAAATTAAAATTGCATATAACGTACAAAAATAATTGTTATTAACAATTAACGAAAAGTAATGTTATTAACAATTTTTTCGAATAGTAGCAATATTCGTTGAGATTTTTTATTTAACTTATAGTAACTATTATTTTATTAGCTTTCGCATTTTGTCGGAAAATATTTTCAGGAATTCACATTTGTAAATGTGTTTGCCTACCGTTAGGAGCAAAGGAAAAATTTTGACAATTTTATCAGGTGTCAAGTACAAAACATGGTTTTTGTAAGTATTTTTATTAACGGTTTTCGTAAATTAATTAAATTGAATTGTGTTATAGATTGTAAATTATTACATAATGAATCATGCAATTGATTGCAAAGCTATTCTCTTTATTTCTTTCTATTACCAATTGACCACAGAGTTGGCTAATTAATTGTTTTTATTGAACCATCAAAGGGGAATTCATAAAAAGAAATACAGGATAAAAATAAAAATTTATTTAGTTTTATTTTAGTGGCGCCATTGTCGTTTTTCCTTTTTTAATTAGAACTAATTTCTAACCAAAAATTTTGTTTATTCTCAGTAAACAAAAAAAAGTCAGTTCTTTTTTGCTCTAATTATTCTTTTCAGTTATTCTTGGTCTTTAAAATTTTAATCAAGTTCTTTGCAATCTCATCCACTTAATATTCTTCCACTCAATATAAATATCTTGAGAATTGTATAATAATTTCGTTTCCGTTACGTATTTTCTCGACACGTGCGAAGTGCAATAACGTGCATTTGTTTGGAACGAAAATATTATTCTACGGAAGTATCAAATTATTTACAACATTCGTATTATACAAGTGAAGAAGAAAACTACAATTAAAGGATTATTCTCTTTATTAAGTAGCCAAGGTTTCCATGATATTTTTTTACTCTCTTTGTTATTCAAATCGTTCAAATTGAAAGAAATAAAAAATACAGTTAAAATGAAATAAGAACAATAAAAAGAATTTTACATATTCAATCATTTAATTTTAGCATTTCGAATTTTTTTGTCGTTTGCTTTAAATTTGTTTTTTATTAAAGGGAATAAAATTTAATTTTCGACATTTGAAACAAAAGTTGCATTTAAATAAAAATAATTTTTTGGCAGTAATAAATATTTGTTAAAATTTAGGTTATGTCATTTAAATATTGTTTTTATTGACGAAAATTGTATTTTTTATTAAAATTATTCAAATTCAAGTTAAAAATATTAAAAATTACATTTTGACGCTTTTACCGAAATTGATTGAATTGAATTCAAAATCGTTTTGTTTTTCTTTATTTAAAATTAATTATTATTATTATTATGCAAATTACCAAATTTTTCATTTTCAAATATGAATTTTTAAATACTTTCATATTCAAACTTTAAAAAAATTAAATTATTAACTAATTTGCTAATTAATTATTCTTACTTATTAATTTGCAAAATTATAATAAAATCCTTTGCAAGAATTCAATTATTTCCATAAATAATAACACATTCTTCGTAAGAATTCAATTATTTTCAAAAATAGTAAAAAATTTTGCAAAATAACAATTATTTTGAAACAAAATTTTAATTTTAATTTTTTTTCCGTGCAGGAACTAAAATTTTCAATATTTTCAATGTAAAAACTTTTGAAATTTAATTATTTCTAAAAATTACAACTGCAGTTGTATTTTTTAGAATTTTTAAACAAAATTATTCTAAACTTTAATAATTTTTTAGAAAAAATATTTCAATGTTTTACATTCACAACAATTAAAATTTCAAAGAATTCAATTTAAAAGCTTTTGAAATTTAAAAAAAAAATAATTTCTATTGTATCGTTTATAATATTCAATTATTTCCCAAATTTTCAGATAAAATTCTTAAAAAACACGATTATATTTAAAAATAATTTTAAATTATATTTAACTAGCAAATATTACGCGCGGAACGTGATATTCAATTTTTATTATTATTATTATTATTATTATGCAAATTACAAAATTTTTTAAAATCTTTTTATGCTTAATTTTAATTTATATAAAAATAGTAAATTTAATCAAGAAATCGGTGAGATCAAATACGCTAAAAATAATCACGTAGTTAATTAAATTGTGTCCCACACGTGTCTCTCATTAAACTGTGGTATCCGTCTTTCACTGATAAGACGAATACAATAGACAAGACTGATTCCTTCTCTTAATTAACAATAAATAATCTCATATATTTCCAGACGATGAAAGAACTCCTTCTTCACCGACAATCTAGATAAGAAGAGGATTTTTTTTCGGATGCTGCAAAATCCTGGTTCAGGGTCAGTAAAAATACAATAAAAGTCAGAAATGGATCAATGGCAAAGGTCAGCTCTCGCGATGTTGCGCCTTTTACCTGGAGGGATACTTTTTTATTGTCAAGGATTCAAGGTTTGGATCGAATAATGAAACCAAGAGGAATCAGGAATATAAAATCACAGTTACTGAGGAGCATGCACAACATAGAGCTCTCTCGTCTGTTTGTTCTTGCTCACGCTCCAACACTCTGGATTAGTTGCCACTGCGGCTTCCTACGAGCCGCACGTTTTCAAGAAGTATATCCGTCAGAGAGAGACTTTCTAATTTTTCAATCTTCTTTTATATATTAGATCATTAAGGTGTTGATAGAAATTTTATTTATCATCAGTGATATAAACAATATTTTTTTTTATTGCAGTGTAACTGGTTGTCCGCGACAAGTTTCTAAGAACTGCGACAAAAACCCCCTGTCTCTAAACAGTGGCATGTTTTTTAGGGGGAACCGTGGCGCGGATGATGATAGTGTGTCGTGACTTTCGGTGAAACCGGTTTTCCTCTTCAAAGAGTTGTGTGTTTTATACGTCACTGGAATCATCCAAGTTATAGGCTTTAACGGGATGAAAACCGGGATTCCGTCTGACTTCGCAACTGTGAGTTTTAGATCTTAAACTAGATCACTATTGAATATTGCATTATTTCTTTTTTATCTCTGTTCAAGAAACAACTGAATTGAATTATTACTTTTTTTTTCAAATGAATTTAATGTTTATTAACACTCGTGGAAACTATAAATCTTTTTAAGTACTTTATGGATCATTTTCAAATTGATGCTATTCTGTTCTTCAATTCAATTCGGAGCAAAATTAGAAAATTAATCTTATTTACAATTTCTTTAAAGATTTTTATGTTCAGTTTCGAACGTTCGAATTAATCGTTTTTTTGTCAGTTTTTTATTTTATATTTTATTTAAAAAAATTATTTCTTCTTCGTAAGTTTAATTAATTTTAATTAATTTCGTAAGTTTTAAACGATCAAATTTTTTTTCTGTTAAAATATTTTCCGAAAATGCTAATTTAGTAAAGTTTACAACGTTTACATTCAACTTTTTAGAAAAAAAATATTTTTCTACATAAATAATACAAAGAATAGTTTTTTTAGATCAAAAATTAATTTCCAGAAGAAATATTTGTGAACAACTTTTATTTTTTTGTCACGAAAAATATTTTTCTTTCAATCGTTGATCATAAACGTTATGAACTTATTTTCCTAGTTTTCGTTCAAAAACGTTCAACTGAACGAATTTTTTTACTTAAATATTTTTGAAACCTAATATTCAAAAAAGAAAAATAGAAATTAAATAATTAGTTAAGAATTAATTTTTTCAACATAGGAAATAATTTTTTTGTACAAAAAAAAATACAATTTAAAAAAATATTGTCGTTGATTTAAACGTTCGAAACATTAGGAGCATTAAATTTAGAATAATTATTTACCTTCGATATTAAATTTCAAATAAAAAATTAAATATAAACGATGAATTTTTGAATTAAAAAAGTCAGTTTGAAAGTTTGGGGATAAAATTAGAAAAATAGGATTTAAACGAGTAAAATCTCATATAAAAATAGAATTAAATTTTTGATAATAAATTCTGAACAGAAGTCTTTTCAAAAATGTATCATCATCATCATTCAAAAAAACGCATTCCTTTGAATTCTAAAGCTCACTTGATTCAAATAGTCGCTGTCACTGACTCATGGAATTTTCTTTTTTCCCATAATAATACATTCCACTGTATTTACATTGCTTTTTTCCATTGTTACACTATCTCTACTGTATATTCTCGTAGATTTTATTTTTTTTATGTATTTTATTTATTTTTATTTAATTTTTACTTTTTATATATTTTTATTTAATTTTTACTTATTTTACATTCTTCTTATTTTTTTTCCCCCCTAAAATCAAGATTCACGAGTTCGATAGACATTTTTTCTCATTAAAAGTATTTAGTAAAATTACCGCGATCGTTGTAAAAAGTAAAAACAGAATTAAACATTTATTATCTTCATAATTTATTTTTTTTATCACTTGACGCGATAAAATTTTTATTTTATGAAGAAAAAAATTAATTTCGTTCAGAACTTTAAGAACTTTTAAAATCGGAATTTTTTATGTTACAAAAATTTTGAACGTTGAATAAAATGAATAAAATATTTTTTCAATTATGAATATTTTCATAAATTACTCACTGAAATATAATTAACAACATTTATTACAAATTCGGGAACTAAAAATTATTTTTCAATACGTGACTCAATATATTATTTAAAGAATAAAATTAAAATTTGAAAGAGAAATAAATAAAATTCGTTCATTTGAACGTTCAAAATTTTAAGAACATCTAAAATCGAAATTTTTTCTATATATAGAAAATATATATAAAAATAAAAGAATTTTAATTATTTTAATTTTTTTTAATTTTAATTTATTTAATTTAATTATTTCGTGCCAAAAATTTCGTTCTAAAAATGTTGAACGTTCAAACTGAATGAAATATTTTTTTCAATTATGAATATTTTGATAAATTTCTCACAGAAATAAAATTAAAACATTAATTAAGAATTTGGAAACTAAAATTATTTTTCAATACGTGACTCAATATTATTTTTAATAATAAAATTAAAATTTGAAAGAGAAACAAATTTCATTTCATTTGAACGTTCAGAACTTTAAGGACTAACATCGAAATTTAATATTTGATAGAATATTTAATAGAAAATATAATATTTAAGAAAATATATAGAAGCAAAATAATTTTAACTATTTTCATTTTTTTAAATTTTAATTTAATTTAATTTAATTTAATTTAATAATTTCGTGTAATATTTCTTTGTTATGTAAAAGGGCCCGTATTATTGACGATGTTTGATATATTTTCGAAGATATTCAATATCAGATGATACTCTTGTAATTTTATATTAAGTCTTACATTGTTTCGCTGCGAAAGAAGCGACTCATGTTGCAATATATATGCAATTTCATTGCAAAGTAAGGGAAGTATTTTTTGCCATACATATGATTGTATCACATAAAACATATACACGTTACTCTTAATCACTTAATAGGAGAATGAGGGTTTTATTGCTCCTGACGAGTAAAACAAAGTCTACACCACAATGAGAGGAACTTACATAAAGAATAATTTCAAACTCATATTTAACGTTCGAATGAATAATTACTACCTTTTAATGTTCAGCTCGTTCAGCACAATAGTTTTTAGAGACATTCATTTTGTCAGCTTTTTCTTTCTTCATATTCCCGAATAAAAAAAATATTTCGATTTCAAAAAATATTTCTAACTCCACCTTTTTTTTTATAAATTTACTCTTTTTTTATTTTCCACTTTTTTTATAAATTTACTCTTTTCTATTTACCCTTTTTTTTATACATTTACCCTTTTATTTCTATTCATTTACATTTACTTTTTTATTGCTGTTTGTTACATATAATGATATAATCTCGTTTTATGGGTAAATTTGTTAGCAAAATGATTGTATTGTAGAAAAAAAGGAGTCGTTTTTGTTAACAAGAACACTACAATCAAGTTTTTTCACGCAGTAAAGAAACGATGAAATATTCTCCTATATAACCATTACGGCGATTAGACCTTGAAGACAATTTAAGAAGCGTTCGAGAACAGAGTTAATGAGCTTCCCGGTGAAAATTCTCAGGAACTCGCTTATATGAGATTCAGTCGTGAGAATGTTGCTGAATTCAAAATTGCATGATCAACTGTACAATCGTGTTAGACAAAGTCTCATAATCATAACAGCCGTAACTTCTTCTTCTTCTATCAAGAAACTATAGAATTTATTAAATTTACATTTTTTTCCTATATGGAAAATTACATTATTAATCTTTTCCTCAAAGTCGTGTTTAAACATTTTCTTTAATAACCAAAAAAAAAAACTAGAATTGAATTAAAAATTTACTGCATTGTGAATTAAAGATTGTTACGGACAATTCAGCCACGGGCGAAACGAATACTTTTTATTTTTTACTTTAGGTTTACAATTGTTTACTAATTTACTTTCTAGAAATTGAAATTGAAACGGTAGAAACTAACTAAAATTAGTTAAATTAATTAATTAATAATATTAATAAATAATAAATTAATCAATTTATTAATTTTACTAAATTTCCAGTAGATTCATAATAAAAGTAAAAATATAATTTTCATTTAAGTAAAAAATAAAGTCACTGTGTTTTTATTCAGTTTTACAAGAGTGTATTTTTAAATTAATTTTGACACAGATAGTAAAATTATTGCATTCGAAATACGTTAAATAATGGTCTTACTATTTTTCAGATAGACGATTCACAATAAAAGTAATTTCTACGCCGAAAAAAAAGATTAGAGAACAAAGGCGTTTTAAACATTAATCATGAAATGATCAATGAACTGTGAACTGTCGCTGTTCAATTCTTTCCCAGAAAGTAAAAATACCACAGAGTTAATATACCTTGAATATCGATTGGTTTATAACGGCTTTTAAATCTTTATTTTTTAATAATAGAGAAGAAAGCTGCTATCAATTCATTGTCAAGGTAGATTGTTCAAAGTCTACAACAATTTTTCAATTTGAAAATTAATTTTAGTTTCTGAATTCTAAATCGTAAATTTATTCTAAATTCGAAATTCAAAATTCAAAATTAAAATCTAAAAATTCTAAAATCGAAATTTAGTTATTACATAAATAATTACGTAAAAATTTTATGATTGTTGATTTTCCAAATTTATTGATTGTCAGTTTCTCGAAAAATTCCGAGTATGAGTAATTAAAGTAAAAAAAAGAAAACAAACCAACTTGCAAAGAGTTTTAGACTGCTGAGCATGCATTTGACCCCATTTTTTTAAAGACAAACGTAAACTGAATGATCTAACCGTTTTCATAACGGCTTACTTTTTCCTCTTCTTGAACTTGTAATCGATAAAATTATTCCCATTATTTATGGGTTTCGTTTAATTGCGTAACTTTCTCATACCAAATGGAACAATTTTCCTTATCTTCTCTTATAAATATAGTGTATAGAACACACAGCGGGTAAAATAAATTGGAATTTGATTTCCTGCTTCCTTTATTGTTATCTAATTAATTAAAGAATTATGAGAATAATTTTAGTTAAGATTAATTAACTTCGAGACTTTATTTTTCAGAAACTCGATCAAAATAATTTTTCATTTATACGAAATGTTTACTAATAATTTGTTCTTTATGCGAATTTTTTTTCTTTTAACTAAATTCAACTAAATTAATTTTTAAATTATGCGAATTTCTTTTCTTTCAACTAAACTCAACGAAATAATTTTTTCATTCGTGCGAATTTTTTTTTTTTTGAACTAAATATATCTAACAAGAACTGTTAATATTAGAAATTGATTTGAAAAAGAATTTTAATTCAAATTTTAGAAAATATTCCGAAAATTTGGAAAAATTGTTGTTCTATTTTTTCAAAAGGTTTTACATTAAAAGTATTTAAAAATTTTAATTCTTGATGGAGAAATAAATAGATAGTAATAAATATTCAAATATTTATTTAACAAAAGATATTCAATTTTTTGATAATTTAATTTGGAAATTGTGAAAAAATTTGGTTTTTAAAACATTGTAATTAAAATTTTTTGGAGATAATTAAATTCCCGAAAATAATTTCAAAAAATTAAAAAAAATTGTAAATTTTGTCAAATTATAAAATTTGACAATTATGAAAAAATTTTATATTTTACAGAATTTTATTTTTTTACTTTTAAAAATTATTTTTAAATATAATCGTATTTTTTAAAAATTATAACAAAAAATTTATAAAATAATTAAATTTTACCAAAAACTTTTTGTTATTCAATTATCATTAAATTCTAATAAGAATTGATGTAAAAAAGAATTTTAATTGAAATTTTTAAAAATAATAGATTAATATTAAAGTTTTGTATAATTTTGTTTAAAAATTCTAGAAAATAATTAAATTTTGAAAGAATTACAGTTGTAATTTTCGAAATATTTAAATTTCAAAAAGTTTTACATTGAAATTATTGAAAATTTTAGTTTCTGTGAAAAAATAATTAACAATATAAATATTTAAATATTAACTCAAGAAAAATTATTGAACTTTTAAATTTTAAATTATATTTAATAGAATTTAATGTAGAAATTCTAAAAAATGAGTTTTTTTGAAAAATTGTAATTAAAATTCTTTTCGAAGATAATTTAATTCCCGCAAATAATTTTAAAAAATTGAAATAATTAGAAATTTTATCAAATTTTGTTGAAATAAATTTTGTATTGCAAAAAATCTTAATTTTTTTACTTTTAAAACTGATTTTTAAATATAATCGTACTTTTGAAGAATTATATTTTGAAAAATTGTATTTTTAATAAAATCATAAATTTTTATTAAATTTCAAAAAAAACTTACAAATGGCCTTAAAAATTCACGCCCGAGAAAATAATTTAAAAAATTGAAATAACTGGAAATTTTATCATATTTCATTGAAATAAATTTTATGTTGCAAAAAATTTTATTTTTTACTTTTAAAAATCATTTTTAAATATAATCGTATTTTTGAAGAATTTATACTTCGAAAAATTATATATTTTTAATAAAATACTAAATTTTCATAAAATTTCAAAAAAAAAAAAAAAACTTACAAAAATAAAAAAAGTTACAAAAAACAAAAGTTTTTGTAACTTTTTTTATTTTTGTAAGTTTTTTTTAACAGTGGGTCTTAAAATTTCATATCACAATTTACAAATATTATACTTGTAACAAAAAACAAAAATGGATAAAGTTATTAAAATAAATTTTCTTCTTTGTAGGTCGCATCGCCAGAAAAGGGAAAATTCTAACGGAAACTGTCGATCCTGCTTTCATTTAGAAAGAAAAACAATTTTATTCTTTTGTTGAAAAAAGAGTGTAACAGAGAGCATCTGGTAGCCAAAAGCCATAAAACTTAGCCGTATGTGGATGCAGATATACACAGCTTCTTCGAAGTATCTGGTTACTCAAGGAGGGAAACCAGTTGCCTGGATTTTACTGAAGCGATGTTACACTCAAAGAAAATGAACCAGAATTTTTTTCTGTTTTTTCTTCTCATCATTCTAGAGTCAAGATTATGGAGCTACTAATGGCACTGATAACATCCTAATTCGGTAAAAACTCTTTCTCAATATCTTCTCTTATCTTCATATTACAAGACAACTTTCACCACACATGTGTATAAGAAATCTAGAAATGATAAGCTATAAATAAATTCTGTTTTTTTAATTAAGAAAAAAAAGTGGAAAAAATCTTAAATAGCTATTTAAAAAACGGGGCGTATAAACTCAAGGAAACCTGAGATAAAAATTACTAAATTTTTCAAATTTCAAATTTTTTTTTATTTATTTATTAATTTATTTATTTATTCAAAAATAAGTTCCTTTTGGAAATTTTTCTAGAATTTGTTTATAATTAGTAACTATATTTTCTTTACCTTGTATGAAAAAATTTCTAAGTTTAAAAACTCTGGGAAAAATGATTATTTTTATAAGTTTTTCTTAAAAATATGGGAAAAAGGGAGAAAATTTATGATTGTAGGTGTTTTGGGGGATTTGATTAATTTAAGGGGATAAAATAGGGGAAAAAAGAAAAAAAGGGGGATTAGATAAAAGAGGAGGCTAAGTGTGATCTCTGGAAGCTTGTTATTGTCAAAATTCATAAAAACGTAAAAAAAACTAAAAAAAATAAGTGCAGGAATCACGTCAGTAAAATTTTTATTTAAATAGAATGAAAGAAGATACTATTTTTCAAGAAAAATGTTAAAAAATGTTAGATAACAACAATTAACTTGTAAATTAACTAATGTATTGTAATTTTAATCAATTACAATTTTTTATCAACACTTGAAGCTTTAATTGTTAAAAATTTGATTAGATAGATTTTGATAAAGTAAATAAAATAATAAATAAAATGAACTTTGGATTGATAAAATTAAATTTCGTAGCAAAATTTTTTTTCATTAATAAAACTAGGTAAATAGATAATTGTTGAATTTATTGATTATTTTGAAGAAAATAAATATTTTTAACTAGGTAATGCAAATTTTCAAAAAAAAAAAAAAAAAGTAGCTTTTAGTGTCACAAATATAAAAAAATATCCAAATAGTACAGGGTTGCCACAGGTCAGAGAATTTAGGAAAAAGTCAGGGATTTTTATCAAAAAGTGCTGGAAAAAACTAAATTTTTTAGAATTCATAAGGAAATTCTGAATTTTGGTGTCTTTTAAAGAACTTAGATTTTTGAAAAATTTTAATAATTCAAATTCTTCTGAAATTAGTGACATTTTTCAATATGCATTTAATTAATTCTTGAAAATAATTATTGATTTATAGAAGAATTTTAGTTAAAAATATACTAAAAGAAATTGAATTTTAGAGAAGTTACAAATGATTGCAGAAATTCAATTATTTTCAAAAATAATGAAATTCTTCACAGAAATTTAATTATGTTCAAAAATTTTTTTAAATTCTCGCAAAAATAGCAATTATCTTTTATAAATAATAAATTTTTTTTCCGAAATTCAATTATTTTCAAAAATTTTGATAGAATTCTTAGCAAAAATTCAATTATTTTCAAAAATTTTTCCCAATTCAATGATTTTCAATATCTACTGTATTTTAATAAAATTTTCCAAAAGAATTCAATTATTTAAAAGAAATTTTAATAAAAAATTCAATTATTTTCAAAAATTTTTCCCAATTCAATGATTTTCAATATCTACTGTATTTTAATAAAATTTTCCAGAAGAATTCAGTTATTTAAAAGAAATTTTAATAAAATTCTACGCAAACATTTAATTATTTTCAAAAATAATAAAAATTTGACATGAATTCAATTATTTACAAATTTTTTATAAAATTCTTCGCAAGAAATCAATTATTTAATAAATTATTTATTTTTGTATTTAAAGAGTTAAATTATTTTTCCAAATAATAACATTTAATAATAAAATTTTTAACGAGAATTCAATTATTTAAAAAATTTGAATAAAATATTCTTCACAAGAATTCAAATATTATCAAAAATAATGAAATTTTTAATACAATTTTAATCAAATTCCTCGAAAAATGTAATTATTTTAAAAAATTTTATTTAAATTCGTCAATAGAATTAAATTTTTTTACAAATTTGTTGATAAAATTCTTGGGGAGAATTGAAAATTCATTTTTGAGAAGCATTCAATTATTCAATAGGGTAAGTGTGTCAATTGTGGCGGGTGCTCCAATTATGGCGACTTTGTAAAAAATAGAATTATTTACTATTTTAGAATAATATAGTTATTTGAAAATGATAGAAAAAGTTATTTTCGACCTTACTCGATATAATTGTACGAAAAAAAACACATTTGAACTATTATTGGTTTAATTATTTAAGTACAAAAATTGTGCCCCGCCATAATTGGCACATTTTCATTGAATGTGCGTGCTCCAGTTATGGCGCGCAACACAACCTCTAAATACACGTTATTTTCCCCGCCGTAATTGGCGCGCCGAAATTGACTCAACCGCGCCATAATTGACGTTTTTAATCCTAATTCTTATTGCTTTAATTTTGTTTAAATAATTAATTTTTATAAAGTTTTTATAAAAGTTTTATTATCTATATGACACGGGCTTTTAGTTTAATAAGCCATAAATTTACTTCTTTCATTATAATTTTTGAATTTTCTATTTCAAAGACGGCTAAACCAGAACCGCGCCATAATTGGCACACTTACCCTAAATGATTTATTTTTGTATTTATATATAATTGAATTCTCGTAGAATTTTCTAATAAAAATTTATTTAAAAATGAATTTTAGTTAATATTTTAGAATATAATTGAAAATTAAATGCGTTCTAGTTTGAATTTTTAGAAATAATTAAATTTTGAAAAGGTTTCAAATTAAAATTTTTGAAAATCTTAATTCTTATGGGAAAATAATATTGATTAAATATTGGTTTCAAAATGAAGTTATTGACGTTCTTGAATTTTTTTACAATCAAAGAAATTTGTAAATAAATGTAATGGAAAATTTTGTTGAGCATCTAATTATTTTTAGTGTGAATCGCAGAATATTCTTTAGGGTCAGGGAAGAAGTCAAATTTTTGTCTGTAAATCAGGGAAAAGTCAAGGAGAAACCAAATAAAATTTTTGTGGCAATCCTGTAGTAGGAAATCATAAAAATGTATAGCAAATAATATATTTTAGTACATGAGTACCTAAAATCTAGAATATTTATTTTATTTTTTTCATTTAAAGTTTAGGAATTCGTTGTCGACGAAATAAGGACAATGGGAACCGAGAATGAGAAAAAGTGGAAGCTGCTTTCATCGAAAAAATCAGAATTTTTGCGAGGCCCACATGAACATCCATGGAAAAGGTGACGACAGCTAAGCCAGTAATGCGTAAACGACGTGGATTAGCCAGTGCCATTTTGGGCCTAACTCTAGGTCTTCTTTTGGGTTTTATAATCCTAAATCATCGAATTTCCGCTCCCTCTGTTATTAATCGTTTCAATTTCACATTTCCAACGAATATGGAGCAAAAGAATGATATCACATCATCTGGATTCACGGATGAACGATCAGTGAATGCCTCATCTTCATCATTAAATTTAGTTTTCGTCGGTGTGATGACTGCCCAAAAATATTTAGAAAATCGAGCGAAAGCCGTTTATGAAACATGGGGAAAAGAAGTACCAGGAAAAATAGCATTTTTTGCCTCTGAATTCTCAACGGTACCTGACAATTGTCCAGATTTACCATTAGTCTCACTTCCCACTGTTGACGATAGCTATCCACCACAAAAGAAATCTTTTCTTATGCTCCAATATATGTGGAATAATTTCGGTGAGAAATTCGAGTGGTTTTTGAGAGCCGACGACGATGTTTATGTGAGAACCGATAGATTGGAAAAGTTTCTACGATCCGTTGATTCGAGGAGGGCAATGTATATTGGTCAAGCCGGAAGGGGAAACTCAGAGGAGTTTGGTTTATTATCATTGGAGTATGATGAAAATTTTTGTATGGGAGGACCTGGTGTGATTATATCGAGGGAGACGTTAAAAAGAATTGTGCCACATATTAAATATTGTCTTAAGAATTTATACACAACACATGAGGACGTTGAACTTGGGAGGTGTGTGAAAAAATACGCTGGGATTCCTTGCACCTGGAGTTATGAGGTAATTAATCAAAGTATAAAAATTTACATTTTCATTTCCTCATCTAATTTAATAATAAAATTCATTATTCTAGTGTAAGGAAGGCGTGCGATTAAATAAATAGAAAGTAAACGAAATAATAGAGGATTACTACGAAGGCAATAAATCAGATTCGGAGAAATTTATTTTCGAGAAATAAGACAAATTATTGAACGATTTAATTATTATCAAAAATATACAAATTAATTATTAACAAATTTTCTCTATCGAATTACACAGGGCTCGAACTAGGGTCCATAAATTTGCTAAAACTCCGTGAAAATCCGTTTATTTTTAAAAAAAAAGTCCGTAGAGTCCGTAATTTGATTCAGAAAAGACGAAAATTTCGAAAATTATACGATATAGTTTGGAGAATTTTAGAGAAATTACAAATAATTGCAGAAATTCAATTATTTTTAAAAGTAATAAAATACTTCGCGAAAAATTCAATTAGGTTCGAAAATTTTTTAACATTCACGTCAAAATTTCAATTATTTTTAGAAATAATAAACTTCTTGCCAAAATTTCAATTATCTTTATAAATAATAAAATTCTTCTTTGAAATTCAATTATTTTCAAAAATTTTAATAAAGTTTTTGGCAAAATTCTACAGGAATTCAATTATTTTAAAAATTTTTAATAAATTTCTTCAAAATAATTCAATTATTCTTATAAATAGATAATATAATTTTCACAGGAATTCAATTATTTAAAAATTAAAATACAAAATTTCATAAAATTTATGGAAAAAAATCAATTATTTAAAAAGATTTTAATAAAATTTGTCGCAAGAATTCAATTATTTTTAAAAAATTTAATGAAAATCTCTTCAAAATTTCAATTATTTCTATAAAAAATTTAATAATTCTTCTCCGAAATTCAATTATTTTCAAAACTTTCAATAAAATTCTTGGCAAAATTTCAATTATTCTTATAAATATAAATCTTCTCCGAAATTAAATTATTTTTATGAATAACACAATTATTTTTAAAAATTTTAATAAAAATCTCGTCAACATTTTAATTATTTTTAAAAATACGTAATATAATTTCAATTATAATTTCAAATTATTTTAATGAATAATAAAATTTCGTCAAAATTTAAATTATTTTTATGAATAATGAAATTCTTCTCCGAAATTCAATTATTTTCATAAATAATAAAATTTTTACAGGAATTCAATTCTTTAAAATACAAAAATTTCATTAAATTTTTAAAAAAATATCAATTATTTAAAAAGATTTTTATAAAATTCATGGCAAGAATTCAATTAATCAAAAAAAAAAATTAATAAAAATCTCTTCAAAATTTTAATTATTTTTATAAAAAATAAGATTCTTTTCCTTAATTAAATTATTTTCAAAAATTTTAATAGAATTCTTGGCAAAATTTCAATTATTTTAATAATTGATTTTAATAAATAAAAATCTTCTCCGAATTTCAATTATTTTTATAAATAATGAAATTCTTCTCCGAAATTTAATTATTTTCTAAAATTTTAATAAATTTCGATAGTAAATAAATAAATTTAAAATTTTAAATTATTAATTTAATAATTAAATTAATTATTAATTTTGTATCTCTAGATTTTGAATTTGGTTGCAAATAAATAATAAACTACTAATCTGCCTATCTATTATTGCTTCAACTGAAATAATGCTTTTTACCTGAGAAAAATGAATTAATTATAAAAAAAAAGAAATTAAATTTTTCTAATATCTCATACTTTGTTTGCAGTTTATCTGCACATGTAATGCAAAAGAATAATAACAATAAAAAGTTTAGTAATAATATTTAGTAATATTTTTCACGCATTTTAAATTTCAAAAAATCTTTCTAAAAGTCAAATTACCAATGTTTATAAAGCTTGTGTTGAAAATAACAAAGCATTTTCTATGTTCATAAAATTTTTTTATTATTTAAAAGATAAGTGGAAATGTTTTTTTACTATATTAAATACATATCGTTGTACTAAATTTTATATATACATTGTTATATTGAAAAACAGAAAAAAATTTGGAAAATTTTGGAAAAACAAATTTCTATTTTACTATTGATATTATAGGTATGTCTGATACAAAAAATAATTTTTCCACCAAATAGAAATGTATAAATTATCAAAACAATTCTTTGTAGATTTTTTTAATGATAGATTTTGTAGCAATTTCTTCATACATAACTGTCGGGATGAGTGTTAAAATATTCTTTTTCCATCGTTTTGTACTTTTCAATTTGATTTGCTAAATAAGTTAACCAGTTGGACTTTTCATAAATTGTGGAAGTTTCAAATTTTACATATACATTTCTTATACCGTTTTTAATAAGAAATGCTTTATCACTTACTACCTTAAGATCTACCTTAGGCAGTATTACGTAAATTTCTCCATCAAGTTGAAGTACGTCTTCCAAACTTACCATTGCGATAGAATCCGTAATTAGCAATTTGTTATTCAGCCAATACAACTGGAAATTTATATTTTCATAATCATATGAGTTTTTATTTTCTTTTAATTGGCTGCTACAAATAATGAAACTAGTCGTTTCGAAAACATCTCCTAAATTCATATCATTAATGGAAGTTTCTGTTTTCACATCCCTAAAAAAACAAGATTTTGAAGTGTCATTTAAATCTGAATTTGGATTATAATTTCGTATAGCCAAAGTGTATAAGGCTCTTTTTATTCTCCAAGATGCGGGATTATCGACATCAAGTGTCAAAATATTTTTCAGTAAAATTATAATAGCATAATAATCTTCAAATAACATTAAATCGTTCAAGTTTCTCTCGTTGTAAGATTCAATTAATATTTGGGGATCCAGTGCAGGTGCATTCTGAAAATACCTTCCTCTCAGATAATTAATACGCATTTCTGCTTGTTGTGCACTTAATTCATATGCTTCCAGAGGGGAATTGTATCTCAAAAAATTGTAATATTCATAATTTTTCAATTTTCTAGTTTTGCTCCATTCTGGTGGATTTCCAGTTCTGTTTAAATGTTCAGCAAATCCATACATTTCCACTTCATTCATTATGTATTGACTTAAAATTCCAAATGCTTTCTTTAGATCATAATTAGGAAGATATTTTTTTATCACATTGTTTTTAACGCTATTAATGCATCCAAGTTCGTAAAGTCGTTCAGAAGGTGATATTCTTGTTGATTCTAATTTTCCAATTAATACAATTAATAAAATTGTTATAATATTCCCCAGGACAACAATCGTATTCATTGTTATTGAGCAAAATATTTTTCGTACAAAAATGATCAAATTTGTTAATATCAACTGAAGCAAATTGCTGAATAATTTTTTCAGTTTTCCCAATCGATCCTTCTCTAAAATAATATTTTATAGGTACTTAAAATATAATTTTAAAATAATATTAAACATTTTTTAATTAGAATAAAGTAAGTAAATTTAAAGTGAAACTTCTTTCTAATGTAAATTGAATTATCATTAATTAAGGATTAAAAATAAACTGAATTTACTAATTGAAGTTCACAATGTATCAATTACAATTTCTAAAATGGTCATATATTTTTAGCAATTTTTCGAACTAAAAATAATATTTACATACCTTCTTGAATATCAGTTGAAATATGTATAGTATAGTTTACAGAAGCCTTAAATCTTCAGAGTGCTGTTTTTTCTATTCACATATAGTTTTTGCAAAATATTTTTAAATTGATAAGAAATAATCATTCTTAGAGTCATAAAATATAAAATTTCATCAAACTTTTTTAAAAAATAAAAAAAATATTTCCTATTTTCGTTATCTTTTTTTAATACTCTAAAATAACTGCAAATTCTTCTATAAAAATTTTGTACTTATCATTATACTCATTTTCATAAAGTTTTTTGTTTTTAAAGATAAAAAAATAGAATTTCTACTTACATTTGGTATATAAGGGTTTTTGGGGTCGCTGAATTCGAATTTGACCTTTATTTTTAAAAATTCAAAATGGCGGACGTAATTTTTAAAATTCATTTTGATTTTTCTCAATTTCATTATCGAAGGATAGTTTGGGTCGCTGAATTCTCAAATTTGACTTTCAAAATGAAAAATAAAAAATGTTGAATTCATAATGAGGGACGTAATTTTTTAAATTTATTTCGATTTTTATCAAATTTTGAACTTTATTTTATATCCTTTGCATTAGCTGATGCATACTAATTTTTATAATTTTATAAATCTCTGTTAAAAATTGAAAAATATTGAATCCATATTGAATCCACTTATTTGAATATTTTGCCAAACAGGGAAGGGGTTAATAAAATTTTTCTTTCTTTCAAATTTTGCGCCAATAAAATTCATTAAATTGATAAAGTTCATGAAAATTCTTTCGTTAACGACATGAAACGATGGCGATATCAAATTGTTTCGTTTCAGTTCAAAAATTAATTTGATTTTTTTTTACTTTTAAAAATTATTTTTAAGTATAATCGTATCTTTGAATTCATGCTTTATTGTTATGAAAAATTTAGTTTATTACTTTTAAGTAAAATTTTTTCTTATTTGACTTGGACTTAAAATTTGTTTAGTAATTATATTTTTCATTTTCACTCCGTAAAGTTCGTATTTTTAAATATTTTCACTGGTTCGAGCCCTGAAATTACTACGAAGACCAATAAATCACATTCGAAGAAACTTATTTTCGAAAAATTAGACAAATTGAACGATTTAATTATTATTATCATCAAAGATATGCAAATTAATTATTATCAAATTTTCTCTATCGAATTACATTCGGAGAAGAAGAAACAAATTTCCTGACTGGAATTACATTTTAATTTTCTTTTTATTTCTTTTCTATTACATAGTTTTAAAAAGTAATTCACTAGGTCGTTAACTTTTTTACGGTCGTCCATTTATCGTTAAGTCTATTTCGGTCTCACCCTCGTCCCCCTATATATTCTCACTTTCTTTTTTCCTTTTCTTGACTCGCCATTTATATTACGGTCTTATGAATTTAGAAAATAATATCACTTACGCAAAGATTATTTAAATCTTCGAATTCCAATGACTGCTAATCTTTAATTTATAATTTATATATATCTTCGTCAGAATATAAATTTTATTTCACTTAAATTTTACATTTTGCGAAAAATTTATATATTCATATTCAAACTTTATATAGACACACGAGTCATTCTAAATTTAAATCCCGACCGACTACAACTTTGTTGAAACGGGCAAAAATATTATAACTCTTATTTAGTTTTGTGAAAAAAAAATCAACCAGGAAATAACTCAAGCGATTCATAGAAATCTAATAAAAAAAAGGGAATGACTGAAATAACATTTTTAAAACATTTTTTGGCTCTGCAATTTTTCAACAAAAAGTTTCAAATAGAAAATTGAATAAAGAGGATTTTTATTAATTTGAATAATTATTTTAACTCATTATGTAATGGTGAAAAATTAATTTTGCCTAATTGGGAAATATTTTGTAATTTTAGAATTGGAAATTTAATGTTGAAAGTAAAGTAATTATTAACAGAGCGCACAAATTGTTTATGCAGAATAGATTTTTATTAAATCATATATTAATGTTAATTAGCGTTAGAAGGTAGAATGAACGCATGAGGATGTCGGTTATTATAATCAAGCGAATTGCACCCTGCTAACCCAGTGACCATGTCGTCTTATTCTCTTCGTCTTATCACTTTAAATTGATCGTTGAGTTTCTGCTATCTCACATGGGTGACTGCACCTTAACAATATAGCAAAAATAAATCTCAGAAGTACTAGAAAATCATTCCACTTTCACATACCTTAACACCAAATTCAGTGCTTAATTTTATTTTGTAAATAAATATTCAGGCCTCGCACTCGATGATTAATTTTAAAAAACAAAAAGTAACAAAAAAAAGCAAAAAAGTAGCAAAAAAAAAAAAGAAAAAAGTAGCTTTTATACTGAAAAAATTAGTAAGAAAACAGTTACTATCGAAAATTAATTTTGACGACTAAAAGAAAACTCGTTTTTAACGATTCACAAAATTAACTTAAATTTTATTCTTATTTGTCTGAATTTTTCCTAATTTTCATCGAAAAAGCATTTACTTTTATTCTTATCCTGCTAGTGACTTCAATTCTAATTTTTTGCAAAATTCTATTATTTTCTGAATTTTAATTTCAAATTCTTAAAAAAAAACAGTAAAAAATAAAAATAAATAAATAAATACAATTTAAATGTTTAAAAGTAATTTTTAAGTATAATAAAAAAGTATAACAAATAAAATTCATTAAAGTATAAGATTATTAATTCAATTTTTAAATTGTTTAAAGGGATTTAACTATCTTCGAAAAATTTTAATTATAATTTTCCGATAGACTAATATTTCTTTCATAATTTCTAAATTGAATTACACTCATAGCTGGAACAATTTTTTTTTAAATAGATATTTAAATACTTAAATTAATTTTTCACAAGAATTGAAATAATTTTGAAATGATTTCCATGTCAATTTTTTTTGAATTTTCACTGTTTCTGAAAATTATACAATTCTGTAATATTCTTCAAAATCCGGCATATTTTTGTTGAAAATTTTAAATAAAATTAATTTAAAACTTTAATTATTTTTTAGGAAAATAATAAAATTTAATATTCAATTATTTTCTAGAATTATATCTGAAATTCAATTTTAAATTAATTCTTAATAAGGAAGTTCAACTAAAATTCAATTATTCGAGTACAAAAATAAATAATTTATTGATTAAATACTTTTTAAAATTGAATTTTTCTGAAGAATTTTATCAAAATTTTAAGAAATAATTAAATTCCTGACAAGAATTTCATTATTTATGAAAATTATTAAATTTCAACGAAGAATTTTATTCAAATTTTTGTGAAAAACTGAATTTTCTTGAACAATTATTAAAAAATTAAATTAAATTATTTAAAAATTTTTTAAATAATTGAATTTTCGTGAAAAATTTTATCATTTAAAAAAATAATTGAAATTTTGCCAAGAATTTTATTAAAATTTTTTGAAAATAATTGAATTTTTATGAAAAATTGTATTATTTTGGAAAATAATTGAAATTTTGTCAATAATTTTGTTAAAAATTTTGAAAATAATTGAATTTCGAAGAAGAATTTTGTTCAGAAAAATAATTGAAATTTTTTCAAGAATTTTATTAAAAGTTTTGAAAATAATTGAATTTCGGAGAAGAATTTTATTATTTATAAAGATATTTTAAATTTTGACGAGAAGTTTATTACTTCTAAAGATAATTAAAATTTTGACGACAATTTTTAAAAATTTTTGAAAATAATTGAATTTTTGCAAAGAATTTTATTACTTTTGAAAATAATTGAATTTCTGCAATTATTTGTAATTTCTCTAAAATATTCTCCAAATTATATCGTACAATTTAGGAAATTTTCGTCTTTTCTGAATCAAATTACAGACTTTACGGACTCTTTTAAAAAATAAACGAAGAAGAATATTATTTAATTTTTTAAATAATTGAATTTTCGTAAAAAATTTTATCTTTTGGAAGATAAAATTTTTATGGGGAAATAATTGAAATTTTGCCAAGAACTTTATTAAAGTTTTTTTTTCTATTGTGGAATTTTAGTGAAATTCTCAAAATTACCTTTTAAAGAAAAATTTCTAAATTTCAAGATTTTGCATTAAAATATTTGAGAATTTAATTATTTTCAAAATTGGTAAATAAAATTCGTCAAAATTTGATAAAATTGTAATATTTCAGGAATAAATTTTACTAAATTAAAAGTAGATTTTCTTACTTTTCAGTAAAATTTACAATTAGACATTATAAAATTGACTCTCGAAGTAACAATTTCAAAAAGCATAATTTACAATTTTCAATGTTAATTTTTGTTTAAATAATTGAATTCTTGTGAAAATTTTTATTATTTTAGAAAATAATTGTATTCTGGTAAAGAATTTTCTTAAAATTTTTAAAAGTAAATAATTAAATTTCTGAGAAGCATTTTATTATTAATGAAAATAATTGAATTCTTTCAAAAAATTCTATTCAATTTTTTTAAGCAATTGAATTTTTGTTAAAAATTTTATTATTTGGGAAAATAATTGAATTCCTGCGGTGAATTTCATACAATTTTTTCAAATAATTGACTTTTTTCGAAAAATTTTATGAAAATTGTATTTTAAATAATTCAATTCCTGTGAAAATTTAATTATTTATGAAAATAATTGAATATTAGCAAAAAGTTTTATCAAAATTCTTTTGTAGAATTTTATTTAAATGTTAGATATTAAAAAATCTTATTTTCGAAAAATTTTTGAAGATAATTGAATCGTTTCAAAGAATTTTTGTACAATTTTTGAAAATTCTCTTTTTAGAAAAATAGAAAATAAATTTTTTGAAAAAAAGTTGAAATGAAACTGTTAGCGAATTTAAAGTGGTGCAAATTCCCAAAGAAAAAGGAAAAAGTCGCTTTTAGTGTCACTAATTTAAGAAAAGTATCCAAATAGTAGAAACTTGTAAAACAAGCAGTAAATAATAGATTATAGTACATAAATGAGAGCGAAGTAAAGCCTAATAACTAAATAGCCAAATAAAAAAAACCGAACAAAAAATTAATGCCCCATTTTAAAGAAAATTCTGTATTTTATTTTTGTTTCTAGCATAAATAAAAAGCAGAGTTGCCACAAAGTCAGGAAAATCAGGAAATGTTTATTAAAACTGGAAAACTTATTGATAAAAAAAAATATAAAACTTATTTTTCTTCTACTCGTCCTCGAAAATTACCCCTAATTGACCATTTCAAAATTTTCTGATGATTACAGAGTTTAGTCACAGTCACTTGAATACGGAAGTTCGCTATTTAAGTTTCTTGTTATACTGTTATAAAATAACTTGTATACAAACTGCGATTATGTATAATATAAACACGATTATAACGCACGTGTTAACATTTGATTTTAATGATTACTTTTTGTTTATCTGATTTAGATGCAGTCAATCCTTTATCATAACAGTAGCGGGGACCAAGCTTTCACCGGCAAACTTAAAAGAAAGGAAGTTCATCGTGCTATCACCCTACATCCGGTTAAAAGCCCGCCGCATATGTACAGGGTTCATAATTATATGAGGGTCCGTATTATCTTTTATTTTTCATAATTATATTATTTTATTGAACCGCAAACATAAGCATCAACAATGTATATCGGCGATTAAAACTTAAATGCCAATTTTATGTTCTGACGGGAAAATTTCAAATGCTAATTTATATACGTATACATACAAATTTTTTTAGTCAATTAATTTTCGTGGTTGTGCTTGAAGAATTAATTAAATTTAAATTCTTTAAAATTTGATTGAATTAAACTATTTGTAGATTAAATTTTTCAGAAGTATATTTTACTAATTTTCCAACAAAAATTACAAACGGAAAAAAAACACAAAAATTTACTCTGAAAAATACGATTTTTAATAGCAAAATTTATTATTTTCAATGTTGAATTTTGTAGATAGAATTTTTTGAAAATTTACAAAAAATAATCAATTTTTTGAAGAATTTTAATCAAAAATATTGAAAATTCACGATTTTTCCAATAATTTTAATACTAAATTTCAATAAATCTAAAAAAGTAGATATTCAAAATTTTTAATTTACTTTTTTTGAAGATAATTGAATTTTCGGAAAAATATAATTGAAATTATTGACTATATTTGGATTTTTATATTATTTAGGAATATAATTCTAAGAATGACGTTCTCAAAAAATTTTTCAACAAAATTTCCTGAAGCTCTTCATTAGTTTTCATTTTCAAATTTTGATTTGAAGATTTTTTGTTTTAATTTTTGAAAATTCAATTATTTTCTAAATTAGTAGTAGTTAAAATTCTTCAAAATTTGATTAAATTAAACTGTTTCTGGAATAAATTTTACAGAATTAAAAGTATATTTTACTAATTTTCGAAGAAAATTTACAAACGGATTTTATAAAATTTACTCTGGAAAAAAGGATTTTTAATAGAAAAATTTACTATTTTCAATGTTAAATTTTGTACAAAAATTATTCAAATTTTCTTCGAACATGGTACAATTTGCTATTAAAAATTCTTAATTTTAGATTAAATTTCACTATTTTCGAAGTAAATTTTTCTAATTTTCATGAACAGAATTGTTTTTAAAAAAAGTGAAAATTAAATTTTACTGTAATTCAATTTACTACTTCAAAAATATTCTTATATAATTTTTTTTTAAAAGTATTTAAATTTCATACGAGAATTTTTGAATAATTGAAGGGCTACATAAAATAAGGGGACGAACGCGTGGTTGAAAGGGATAATATCAGTCAGGTAGCAGCGAGCGGCTCAAGGCTTGTCACTGCTACCCGACTGGTACTATCCCTTCCAAGCCTCGCGTTCGTCCCCTTATTTTATGTAGCCCTTCAATTTACAAAAAATAATCAATTTTTTAAAGAATTTTATTCAAAAATATTGAAGATTCACGATTTTTTCAAAATTTTAATAATAAATTTCAATAAATCTAAAAAAGGAGATATTTAAAAATTTTAATTTACTTTTTTTTGAAGATAATTGAATTTTAAAAATTTACCATAAAAAAGTTCAAAGAATTAGTTTTTTTTTAAATATTGTAAGGTAATTATTTTCAAAAACTAATTAAATTTCATAACAGAATTTTTGGACAATTTAAAAAAAATATTTTGCAGAATTTTAATCAAAAATATTGAAAATTCACGATTTTTACAATATTTTAATAATAAATTTCAATAAATCTAAAAAAAGTGGATATTTAAACAATATTTCAACAAAATTTCCTGTAGCTCTTCATTAATTTTCATTTTAATATTTTTATTTTAAGAATTTTCATTTAAATTTTTGAAAATTCAATTATTTTCTAAATTGGTATAATTAGAATTCTTCAAAATTTGATTAAATCAAACTGTTTCTTGAATAAATTTTATAAAATCAAAAGTACAGAAAATAATTAATTTTTTTGAAGAATTTAAATAAAAAATATTGAAAATTCACGATTTTTCCAAAATTTCAGTAATAAATTTAAATAAATCAAAAAAGGAGATGTTTAAAACTTTTTATTTTCTTATTTTGAAGATAATTGAATTTTAAAAAGTTATGATAGAAAAGTTGATAGAATTAGTTTTTTGAAAAGATTGTAATGTAATTAATATTTTTAAAAACTAATTAAATTTCATAAAAGAATTTTTAAACAAATTTTTAGAAAATTTGTTATTATTTTTTGTAGATTTTGAATTTTCGGAAAAATGCAATTGAAATTATTAAATATACTTCAATTTTTTTATTATTTCGGAAAATAATACTAAGAAGTATACCTTTTCAAAAAATATGTCAACATAATTTTCTGAAGCTCTTCATTAGTTTTCATTTTCAAATTTTTTATTTTGAATTCAATTATTTTCTAAATTGCGGTTATTAAAATTCTTTCAAATTTGATTAAATTAAACTGTATATTTTACTATTTTTCAAACAAAATTTACAAACGTATTTTATAAATTTAACTCTTGAAAAACTGATTTTTAATTAAAAGCAAAATTTACAATTTTCAATGTTAATTTTTTTATAAAAATTATTGAAATTTTCCTCGAACATAGTACAATTTTCTATAAAAAATTCTTATTTTAGTGTAAATTTTATCATTTCTCAAGTAAATTTTTCTAATTTTTAAATTTAAATTTAAATTTAAAAAAAAAATTGTCTTCGAAAATAGCAAAAGTTATTCTAGATCATTAAAAATTCTCACGTTTTCAATATCAGAAAAATTATTTCGTAAAACTGTCAATCTATTAATTTTGATTTAAAATAATTGTGCTAAAACTGACATTTTATTCTGAATCACCCGTATAATCGACGAGTTCTGTATAAATATTTTACACATTCTACAATTCACTTGCTGTGAAATTTTAATTGATGCATTTGAATATTTAGAAGTATATAATTTTATGAGTAGGAAGAGACAAAAACCTACGTGAAAAGTAGTATAATATATGTCATTAAGAATTTTTCCTTTCTTGATTGATAAAGATTAAAAATTTGCATAACTAGCTTGTGTAATATTAAAATTTCATTGCAGCAATATTAAATTGTATATATGCATTTTTTTATTTTTAGGGTTTGAAAATTCAAGATCTTCAGCAAAAGAGAATTCTCCTGCACAGGGATATCCATTCAATGGTCTCTAGCCTAGGAATAAATGTAGATAATTTGAAAAATTACACCTTAGCGAAAGGTGTAAATTTATTTCCAGAAAAATTCAATTCTGAGTATTATTTAGAAAATACCAATGTTCTCGGTAAGTTGAAAGTTTCTTTTATTTAGAATTGCCACAAAAATTCGTTTTCAATTTTCCCTACGATTTCCTAATCGAATTTTGTAATTTTTCTTGCAAAATTTTCTTCTAAAAAATTAAATATAGTTAAAAGCAAAATTAGTTACTGTGACAAACTTTCTCGATTATTTTCAAAAATTTCAGTAAAATTCTTTTAAAGAATTCAATTATTTTTCAAAGAATTTCAATTATTTATCTTATCTCTTATTCAGAATCTTACATTAAATTAATTTTCAATGACAATCGAATGCACTTTGTCATTGTACGAGCAATTGCATTTACCGTTTAATTCACTAGTGATTTACACAGCCTTGAAGTGTGCAGACGGCTTTTTCCTAAATAAGAGTCATTTGCAATTCAATTAGACTAATGATTTCAGGAACGAATACGTTTTACTCCACTGTCATTATTAATAGACCCACTTAGTAACAATTGTCTCGCACGCGAATTTTATTCAATATACAGATCAAATGCATGATTACTTTCCATATTCAAATTGTGTGATTGATAAGAAAAGTAATAGGTAATTTTAAACACAATAATAGTAATTTAAAAAAAGGTAATAGACATTTTTAAAAAATATTAATAATTTTAGAACAGTAATAGTAATTTAAAAAAAGAAATAGTAATTCAAAAAAAAAGAAATTTAAAAAAAATTAATAGTCACTTAAAAAAAGTATTTTCTCTAGTATTCGCATAAAATGATGATTGTATGAAAGCGCAACGTAATCGACTACATGACAAATCGATAATAATTAATTTCGGTCCTCCGCTCATTATTCAGACATTATACTTCAACACCTGTTACCTGAACCGGTTTATTGCTAAAGTAAAAAAAATACACAACACATTGGTAATTATGAATATATGCAGATTTCCTGGAGGGTATTAAACCCAACAAGAAGTATTCGTATTGATGAGTCAGGCTCATTTATTTCAATTATATATTTTAAGAGCTGAGGAAAAGAAATTCTTGCGTGTCGCGAATTGCAAAAAGTGTGATAAATTTTTCAAATGCTGTTTTTTTTATTTTTTATTTAATTTGACAAAAATGAATATTATCAAATGCTGTTCTTTATGTTGAGTCAATTATTTCTAATTGGACAAAATTAGATTCAAAAAAAACTTTTTAATTTAAATATTTAACGTTGATAATACTTAAATATTATTATTATTATTATTACTTAAAATAATAAATATTTTTTTATACTTTAATAACATTTAAATATTTTTTAACTAGTATACGAAAATTTAAAAAAATAATTGTATTCCTGAAAAAAATTTTATTATTTATGAAAATACTTAAATTCCTCGTAAAAAATTTTATTATTTGGAAAATTAATTGAATTCTTGTGAAGCATTTTATTAAAATATTTAAAAGTAGGTAATTGAATTCCGGAGACGCATTTTATTATAATTATGAAAATAATTGAATTCTTGCGAAAAATTTCATTCAAATTTTGATAAATAATTGAATTTGTTCGTGAAAAAATTTATTATTTGGGAAAATAATTGAATTCTTACAGAGAATTTAATAAAAAAATTTTAAAATAATTAATTTTTTTCGAAAAATTTCATGAAAATTGTATTATAAATAATAATTGAATTCCTGTGAAAATTTAATTATTTATGAAAATAGTTGAATGTTTGCAAAGAATTTTATTTAATTTTTTTTTTAATAATCAAATTCTCTTAAAAAATGTTATTGTTTGTGAAAATAATTGAATTCTGATATAACGCTTTTAATATTTAATTATTTTTCAAAATTTCAATTCATATTCTATTTTGAATCAATTGTTATTAGATTTCAACGATAATTGAAATATTTAAAAATAAAAATTTTTGAATTGTTTTTCAAATTCTTAGTTACAATTCTTCAAAAAATTTAAAAATATTTATAAATAATTTTTTGAAGTAAGAAAATTAAATTTTTTCAAACATAAAATTTATTTCAATGAAATTGAACAAAATTTTTAATTGTTTCAATTTTTAAAATTATTTTCGTGAATTCAATTGAATTACAATTTTTCGAAAAACTCATTTCTTTTAGAATTTCTACATTAAATTATTCAAAATTTCAATTAATTTTTTTTTTTCAATCATTTTTGTTGAATAAATATTTAAATATTTACATTGTCAATTATTTTTCCACAGGAACTAAAATTTTCAATAATTTTAATTTAAAACCTTTTGAAATTTAATTATTTCTAAAAATTATAACTGCGATTCTTGTAATATTTCGTTATTACCTAAAATAAATTAATATTCTACAAAATTAATTTTAATAAAAATTCGCTAATTCTTCAAACATACGATTATATTTAAAAATAATTTTTAAAAACAAGAAAAATAAAATTCTTTGCAATATAAAATTTATTTCAATTGAATTTGACAAAATTTCCAATTATATCAGTTTTTAAAATTATTTTGCGGAAAATCAACTTTTACAAAAAAATTTTGTTTACGATTTTTTAAAAATCTCATTTTTCAGAGTTTCAAAATAATTTTTTTCAAATCTCATTAATTTTCATTTAATAAATATTAATACTTATTGTTATTTATTTCTCCACCAGGAATTAAAATTTCAAAATACTGACAATGCAAAACTTTTTGAATTTTAATTTTTTCTAAAAATTAGAATTTCAATTCCTCCAATTCTTAAAATGTTTTCTAAAATTCTGTTTTAAATCATATCTTATCAAAAATTTGTACGAGAGTTCAATTATTTAAATATACAAAAAGAAATTAAATGGAATTAAATTCAAAATACTTTCAATGTAAAACTTTTTGAAATTTTATTACTTCCAAAAATTAGAGTTGCAATTTCTTGAATTCCTCAAAAATTTTCTGAAATTTTAACTGAAATTCTGTTTGGAATCATTTCTTATCAAACATTTGTACAAGAATTCAATTATTTAAATATAAAAAGAAATGGGTTGTTTCTAAAAATTGCAACTGTAACTCTATACTAATGGAATTTTTTTAATTTGCAAAATTTTCTTTCTCAAATTAAAAAAATCCATTAGTTAAATCCTATTCAAGATTTTAAATAATTTGATGTTTTTTTTAATAAAATTTTCTTATTTTACTGTCCTGTGAAAATTCTGTTAAATCTCGATTATTAGTATATAAATTTCTAATTTGACAAAATTAGTTTCAAAAAATATTTTTTAACTCAAATATCTAATGTTAATAATATTTAAATATTTTTTAATTATATTCTAAGCAAAGAGAAAATCTCGCAAAGACAAGTGGACTAAAAAAAAAATGATTTTTCCAGGAGTACCGCCCAGTCTGCGGTCATTTAAACCACGTTCGAGTGAAGAAGTAATTCCATGGAATTTCATCTCGCGGTCAGAATACAGTTTGGATGATTCAAATCCCCGGAGAAGAATACACAGCGATGTGAAGGAGGGATTAGAAGATATCACCAGGGAAGTGATGGCCTCAATAAATTCATGTTCTCGTCAACGTGGACGAATTGTCGAGGAGCGAACTGCTCTCTACGGCTACCAAAGAGTTGACTTCTTCGGAGCGGACACTATTCTTGATCTCCTGCTCGTCTATCGGAAATATCGCGGCAGAAAAGTCACTCTTCCAGTTCGAAGACACGTATATCTTCATCAGCACTTTACCGGTAATTTTCATCAATTAAAAATGTGACACTCATTAAATTCTTACTTTCAACTTTCAATTTTTATTACCAAGCAAGATTCTTTTTACAAAAATCAAGAAAAAAGATAAAAAAAAAAATTCTATTCATTTGCTTTTGTTACAGAACTTGTTAATTTCGGTAAACTGTACATAATTTCAAGAACGTTAACTTTTCCAGTCAATTTTTTCTAGTTAAGTTACCTTTGTATAGATAATTAAAATCTATTTCTTCTTCTTTTTCTCTTTCCAGGTTTAGAAATCCGAGAAGTCATTGATGGAACGGAAGTCAATTCAAAAGCAAAAAGTAGTTCAAAGTCCTTAAAAAATCTTTTCCCAGACATTTTTCTAGGATTGAGTTTTAGTTCGAGAAAAAATTCTGATCCAGTTCAGAGTAAAATTATCAATTTTATTCTTCCACTATCGGGACGTTATGAAATATTCGAGAGATTTTTACGTAATTACGAGGAAGTTTGCATTAAACAGGGCGAAAGAACGAGATTGTTTGTAATTTTATTTCCACATAAGAAAGAAGATTCGTTCAATAAAACGATAAATCTCGTTAGTCAATTGAAGAATAGATATCCAAGGGGAGAAATTAATGTGATAGAAAATTGGGGAAATTTTTCAAGGGCAAAAGCACTTGAAATTGGTGTCAGTACAATGAGAAATGAAGATCTAATGTTCTTTGTCGATGTCGATATTGTTTTTACTCGTTCTGCTTTAATTAGAATTAGACTGAATACTGTTATTAATCTCAGGATATACTTTCCGGTTGTCTTCAGTCAATACGATCCGAATATTATCTATGGAGAAAAGAGGGAAAAGACCGAATTCATGATCAATGATAAAAGTGGATATTGGAGGCAATTTGGATTTGGTATTGTCACTCTATACAAGGCTGATTACAGGTGAAATATTTTTTTGATATTCAATTCATAAGCGAAAAGATTCAATAAGAAAAAAAAATCAATAAGAAAAAAATTCATAAGCAAAAAGATTCAATAAGAAAAAAATTCATTAAGAAAAAAGATTCAATAAGAAAAGAAATTCAATAAGAAAAAAGATTAAAGAAGAAAGAAAATCGAGATTTAAAATCAGGGTTGCCACGCTTTTGCTCATTTCAAATTCCCTGACTTTTCTAGATTTTCCAGGTTAAAAAACGGAATTTTTCCAAGTTTTTAAAACTACATTTATATTTAACAAAATTTTTAGTTCTAACCTTTTTGAAATTAAACAACTTATAAAAAATTGTTATAAAACATAAAGAAATTGATCACTCCGAGTCTTCGACTCGGAGCAATCGATTTCTTCATGTTTTATATATAATAATTAAAAATGACCGACTGATAAAATCATTATTTTATATTATAAGATTATTGTTACTGTAACTTATTCAAAATTACTTTAATTATTTTAATTCAATTATTGTTTTCCGGAATTTTTAACTAAAATTCTTCTTTAAATTAATTATTCATTCATTATTAATAATTTCTGAAAAATTTCTTTCAACATTTTCAAATCCTTTTGTTTACAATTCAATTTTACGAAAATTCATCGATTATTTGAAAATTCTTCAATCAAATATATATTAGAAAATAAAAACTATAAAAATTTTTTTAAAAAAATCCGCAATTAAACTTTCTCAAAAAAATTAATTACACAGAATTGTAAGTTAAAATTATGAAAAATTCAGATTTTCAAAGATTTTGATTTGAAAACTTTTCAAAATTCTACTAGAATTCAATTATTCCATTTTTCTTAAAATTAAATTCGCATAAAGAATTTTATTAATAAATTTTTAAATAATTGAATTCTTTTGAGGAATTTTAATAAAATTGTTAAGAATAATTACACTTTTCGAGGAATTTGATTAAAATTATATTAAGAATAATTGAAATTCTGCAATGATTTTTATTATTTATGAAAATAATTGAATTCCTAAAAAGAATTTTATTATTTACGAAAATAGTTGAATCCCTGTAAAAATTTTATTATTTATGAAAATAATTGAATGATTGCGAAGAAATTTATAAAAAAAATTGTAAATAATTGAATTTCTGTTAAATTTTTATTATTTTATGAAAATAATTGAATTATTACCGACAAATTTAAAAAAAAAAATTTGTGAATAGGTAATTGAATTCCTCTGAAAATGATTAAAATTTTATTAAGAAATTTATAAAAATTTTTGAAAATAATTGGATTTTGTAGAAGAATTTTATTATTTTTGAAAATAATTGAAATTTTGACAAGAATTTTATTAATTTTTTAAATAATTAAGTTTCTGTGAAAATTTTATTACTTTTGAATATAATTGAAAGATTGCGAAGGAATTTATAAAAAAATTGTAAATAATTGAATTTCTGTTAAATTTTTATTATTTTTTGAAAATAATTGAATTATTACCGACAAATTTAAAAAAAAAAATGTGAATAATTTAATTCCTGTGAAAATGATTAAAATTTTATTAAGAAATTTATAGAAATTTTTGAAAATAATTGAATTTTGTAGAAAAAGTATGAAAAATTCAAACATTCAAAGATTATAATTTGAGACCTGCTTTTCAAAACTCAATTATTATCTAAAGTTTTAACTGAAATTCATATTTGAATCAATTATTATTAGAAAATTCTACGACAAATCAATTATTTAAATACAAACAAAAATAATTTATTGAAGAATTGAATGTTTTTTAAAATTGAACTCTCATTTAAAGAATTTTATCAACAAATTTTTAAATAGGTAATTAAAATTCTTTTAACGAATTTCAATAAAATTTTTAAGAATAATTTCATTTTTCGAGAAATTAGATTAAAAATGTATTAAAAATAATTGAATCTCTGTAAAAAACTTGATTGAATTGAGAAAAGTTTTTGAAAATAATTGAAATTTTTTCAAGAATTTTATTAAAATTTTTGAAAATAATTGAATTTTAGAGAAAAATTTTAATATTTATAAAAGTAATTGAAATTTTGAGTATAACTTTTTTTTAAACTTTTGACCAGAATTGAATTTGTGCTAAGAATTTTATTAGTTTCGAAAATAATTGAATTCTTGAGACGAATTTTTTAATAATATTTCTTTTTAAATACCTAATTATTTTTAGTACAAAAATAAATAATTTATTGAATAATTGAATGCTTCTCAAAATTGAATTCTCATAAAGAAATTTATTAGCAAATTTTTAAATAATTGAATTCTTTTGACGAATTTTAATAAAATTTTAAGAACATTTTTCGAGGAATTCGATTAAAATTGTATAAAAAATAATTGAAATTCTGCAATGAGTTTTATTATTTATGAAAATAATAATTGAATCCCTGTAAAAAATTGTATTACATATTTATAAAAATAATTGAATCTCTGTAAACATAAATTGAATATTTTTAAAAATAATAGAATTATTGCGAAGAAATTTATAAAAAAAATTTTAAATAATTCATTTTTTTTGGAAAATTTTATTAAAATAGTAGATATTGAAAATCATTGACTGGAGGAGAATTTTTTAAACAAAATTGAATTCTGCGAAGAATTTTATTACTTTTGAAAATAATTGAATTCTTGAGATGAATTTTTTAATAATATTTCTTTTCAAATACCTAATTGAATTCTTTTGTGAAATTTTATTGAAATAGTAGTAGATATTGAAAATAATTGAATTTTGTGATGAGTTTTATTATTTATGAAAATAATTGTAAATCTATAAATTTTTTTATTATTTATGAAAATAATTGAATTATTGCGAAGAAAAATTGTAAAGACAACTCTTTTAAAACTGAATTAAGAAATTTGAATTAAGAAAATTGAATTAAAGAAAAATTAGATTTCAAGAATAAGCACAATAACTTTAGAAAACAATAATTTTCCAGGATTCCAATCAAAATTCCCTGACTTTTCAAGGTTTTTTCATGGTTTATAAAATTCCCTGACATTTCCAGGTTTTCCAGGTTTCCAGGTTGCGTGGCAACCCTGAAAATAAATAATTATTTGAATAATAATTTTTCGATTTTCTTTATTTACAGAAAAGTTGGTGGTTTCGATCTGTCGATTCAAGGTTGGGGCAAAGAAGACGTCGACTTTTTCGAGAAGTCCGTGAAATCAAACTTGGAAGTGTTTCGTGCACCAGATCGCAATTTAATTCACGTCTATCATGGAGTTGAATGTGACTCTGAACTTTCCGGTGTACAATTATTAATGTGTAAAGGCACGAAGGCGGACACTTACGCGGGTACGGAACAACTCGCCGATTTTATTTATCGACATCCGGATTACTTACGATTTGCGAAAACGCGAAGGTTTCGAGCTTCGAAGCCAGGCGAATAAAAACTATCTGTGAATTAAAAATACTCTTTTTTTTAATATTGAATTTTGTTTTATTACTTTATAAGTAACTACGAATTAGAATTCAAATTAGAATTTAAATTATAATTCGAATCAGAATTCAAAAAACTTCTTTTTAAAATTGAAGGCTAACTTATTTACCTCAATGAGATTCAAGTATCTTTTTAGTTTCGACTTTTTAGTGATAAATTTTTTTTTTCTGACTCTAAATGCACAATTCTGTGCCAAGAAGATGATTTTTTAAAGACTTGTAAATACAGTGTATAATATTAAGAGTTTAAGAAACTTTAAAGACTTCGAAAGAACGTAAAAGAAAAAAATGTATAATAGGAAGCGTGTCATTATTTTCAACTATTTATAATTAAAAATTACAAATCGATGACTGACATAATATAATGACAGTGGAGAGAAACGATTTTTTTACGCTCAAATTGTAAAAAGTATTTTCCGATCGATTTTTTTTTATAAATATTATTTATATAATTCATCGACATTTGTGTAATTTTAATGCCGAGGAGCATTGAATATTGAAATACGCTTTATAGCTCTCTCTCACTCTATCAAATAATAACTGCGCTGAAATAGTTATAAATAAATGTGATATTACGGTGCCTTTAAAATTTATTCGATTTCATTTATTTCGTCCTGGAAAATTTAATTTTAAACTTTTTTTTTCATTCCGTTTGAATACAATCTAATCTAATTTTTCAATTTCGTTTGAAAATTATCGTAAAAATGGGAGAAAAGTTTAGTAAAACTGAATTATTGGGAATTTTTTTTACAGGCTGCGAACGCAATTTATTTGACAAAAAGGGTCGAAAAATTAAATTTGACGACTAAAAAAAAACTCATTTTAGTCGATTCTGTTTGCAAAAATTTCCAAAAGATGGTCACAAAAATTTAATTATGCATTTCCCTGATTTCTAGAAAGAAAATTAACGTCCTTCCTTATTCTGATAATAAGTTCAATTTTTAATTTAAATTTTCCCGGAATTATTCATAATTGTCAATTAGCTTTAATTATTTTTTCAAGTCAATTTTTAATTTTTCTAAAATTAAATTAGTTTCCAAATTTACAGTTAGAATTCTTCGAAAATACGATTATATTTCATAATAATTTCTAGAAGTACAAAAAGTAAGATGCTTTAAAAAATAAAACTATTTCATAATTGTCAAGTTTCGATAATTTTACAAAATATAAAATTATTTCAATTTTTTTAAAATTATTTTCTGGAATTCAAATCTATTTTTAAAAAGAATTTTAATTATTACAATTTTTCAAAAAATTAATTTATTTCAGAAATTCGACTAAATTTAATTATTTAGATAACCAATAATTTTTTTAAAATAAATATTTAATTACTTAATTGTTATTTTCACAAGAATTAAAATGTAAAACATTCTGAAATTTAATTATTTCTTAAAATTACAACTGTAATTCTTCCAAAATTTAATTATTTTTATAAAAAAGTTATTTAAATATTTTACTTTTAAAATTTAACAATTAAAATTTCAAAGACCTCAATTTAAAAGCTTTTGAAATTCAATTATTTTTCAAAATTTCCGAAAGAATTCTTCAAAAATACTTTTTAAAAGTTTTTTTTTTAAAAATTAAAATTAAAAATAAATTTTAAAATGAAAAAAATAAAATTATTTTAAAATACAAAATTTATTTTCATAATTGTCAAATTTTATAATTTGACAAAATTTACAATTTTTTTTCAATTTTTTGAATTATCTTAAAAAAAATTTGATTACAATTTTTCAAAAAACTCATTTCTTTCAAATTTCTACATTAAATTATTCAAAAGTTAAATATTTATTGTTATTTATTTTTCCACAGAAATTAAAATTTTCAAAGATTTCAATTTAAAAACCTTTTGAAATTCAATTATTTCCAAAAATTTCCACTACAACGCTTCTAAAATTCAATTTTTTTTTCAAAATTTTCAGTTCGATTTCTTCAAAAAAACACGATTAATATTTAAAAATAATTTTTAAAAGTAAAAAAATATTTTTTGCAGTATAAAATTTATTTCAATGAAATTTGTCGAAATTTCCATTTATTTCAGTTTTTAAAATTAATTTTCTGAGATTTCACAATCTTGAATAAATTTTAATTACAATTTTTCAAAAACCTTATTTTTCTCACAATTTCTAAATGAAATTATTAAAAAATTCAATAATTTATTGTTAAATTAATATTTAAATATTTATTATTTTTTTTCACATGGACAAAAATTTTCCATAATTTAAATGTAAAACCTTTTTAAATTTAATTATTTCTCAGAATTCCCATTACAATGCTTCTAATATTCAATTATTTTCCAAATTTTAGAATTCTTCAAAGATACGATTATTCTTTAGAAACAAATTTTAAAAAGTAAAAAAAAAATAAAATAAAATTCTTTCTAATATAAAATTTATTTTATTCAAATTTCAATAACTGTTCGAAAATCTCACGTTTTTCACAATTTCTAAATTAAATTATTCAAAAGTTAAAATAAATATTGTTAAATAAATATTTAAATACCAATTTTTATTTATTTTTTCAAAGGAATTGAAATTTTCCAAGATTTCAATTTGAAGACCTTTTGAAATTTAATTATTTCTCAATTTTATGTATTTATTTATTTCTACAACGCTTTTAATAATTATTTTATTTTAATTTTAACTAAAATTCTCTTTCAAATCCATTCGAAGTGTAAAATTTTACTTGAATTTAATTATTTAAATACAAAAATAAGTAATTAATAAAATGAATTATTTCTGAAAAGTTGCAAATGCAATTTAATTAAAATTTTCTTTCAAATCCATCCGTAGCAGCAAATTTTACTAGAATTGAGAATTGAAATAAAAAAATAAATAATTGATTTCTGAAAAATTAATTGATAAAATAATTGATTTCTGAAAACTTAATTTAAAAATATTAATTCTATTTCAACTATTAGCGGATTAGTAATGCAAATTCTCAAAGAAGAAACAAAAAAGTATTTTTTATTGTCACAATTCGAAAAAAGTATCTAAATCGTAGCAAATTGTAAAAAAAAGTAGTAAATATGTTTTAATAGAGGAGTACGAAGCTCGTTATTAATAAAAATGTAAGAAGTGTAAACTTGTCCTGTTAAGAAAATGCGGTTTCGCTTTTTTAGTAGCACAAAGAGAATCAAACGAATTCAATGAACTATAATAAAGCATCATTATAATCATACAATCAAGAGATATCACCCTTTAAATTACAGGCCGGAGTGATACAGGAAACGGTCGAGACTTCCCGCGTTTTCATTGAGTATGCATATGGTTGCTTTTAAAAAGTACCTATATACATATAATAATCATCTGAGAGGGCGATCGAAATGATAGTGTATTATAAGTTAAGGAGTTCATTCCTATAACCATTAAAAATTGCCCGTCGTTCTAAAACCGTTAGTCTCAAGAACAATTTAGAACAATTTACCACTTCTTACTCTCTATGCTTTTATTAAAGCAACTTTATTTTTACTTATTAATAAAGAAACTCGTTTTTATAGAATTTACACGAAAAAAATACAACTCCTTTATAAACACTTTATTTAGACTCTTTTATTTTAAAGATTCCGAATTACAAAAACACATAATACCTCTTTAAAGTAACACAGAATTTAATCATTTTTTTTTCCAAAGTTCATGACAAATTTAACACAAAGTTAAAAAAAGAGAATAAAAGAAACGGTGTTCTTCGCATTTTTCCAATTCGGCAAATATTACTATAAATATCTTAATTATTAGAAAAATATATGTATACAAAAAAAAATTCACAATCTTAAAATCTAAATAATTCGAAAAACAATTTAAATACAATCTGATAGTAAAATATCAGATCAGAAAAATACAAATGTATCATCTTGTAATAAAATACACATCTCTTTTTTCTAATAGATAACTTAAAGAATTAGAGAACAAAAATCGGCTAATTAACAAAGATTAAATTTTATTTTGATATTAATCAGAAAGCTATTTTAAAATCCACCTTCTTGATTTTCTTCTCCATTATTGAATGTTGGATTAAATTTTCTCGAATTCGGGGGCATATCTTGTGAATAGAAATGCTTCTTTTGTGCGAAGGGATTACGTTCCTGTGAATAGGAAATTCGATCTTGTGGATAAAACTCTTTCTCCTGGGAAAAAGATTGTCTCTCTTGAGGGAAATGCTTTCTATTATATCCCTGTCGGTTATTGTGAAAAAATCGTCCACCCCTACTCTGATTACCACGACCACGATAATTTGGATTGTGATTATTGTATTTATGTGGCATTCCTCCTCCTCTTCTGTTATTAAAACGATTATCCTGACCGTTATGAAAACGATTTCCATTATGACCTCCACGAAAGTTTGAATTATGACCCTGGAATCGTGAATTATATCGACCACCACGATTATTAAATACTCGTTGCTGTTGTTGCTGTGGTGGTAGTGGCGGTTGTTGTTTGAATCGATATTTTCTCTCTTCAGATCGAGGACTTCGACTACGACTTCGGGAAAATGATTTGGATCGATATTTGGGTGGTGAACGACTATAGGAGCGAGAAATTGAGCGGCTGTATTTTCTTTCGAAACTTCCTGATTTTCTGGATCTAATGGAGAATGATCTGGATCTAGAGCGTCTAGCGAAACGTAATCTTGACGATTGAGAACTGGAAGAACTGCATGATCGACTTCTGAGTCGATTAAAATACCTCTCCTCGTTCATTCCCCTAGCGAAAGCTTCGGGTGAATGACTATTGCCATTAACATTATTTTGCGAAGATTCAAATGATTTGGAATTATTTTTATTCTCAAATTGTTTATCGAATATTTCCTTAGGCACAGTTCTCTCTTTTGGAGATGAAATTTGTTGCGAATGATGATTACGCATTTGCTTTTGTGGATTTGAGGAATTATTTGATTCATTTTCATATGAATAGTTTTTGTGCTTACCTCCAGTACTGTCAATGGAAAAATCGTCCCAAGCTTTATTTATTTCAGTTTTGTGTCTGAAAAGAAAATTAATCAATTTTATTAATACTGCAAAAACTGATATTTTTTTAATATTTTATTAAAGAAGACGAAATTTTTATTATTTCAGGGTTGCCACAAAAATTTCATTTCTTTTTTTCCTGTATTTTTTCTGATTTCCAAACAGAATTGACTTTTTCAGTAATTCCTTCAAAATAAATTACAAATAGTTTAAAATAAAATTAGTTATTGTGGCAAACTTCCCTCGATTATTTTCAAAAATTGCAGTAAAATTCATTCGCAAAAATTAAAATTCTTTTAAAAAAATCCAATTATTTTTTATACAATTTTAAGAAAATTCAATTATCTCAATAATTATCAATTACTTGTTTATAAATATTCAATTGTCTTTAAAAAAATAGGGTTGAAATATTATTAAAAAAAACTCATTTTTTAGAATTTTAATAAAACTTTACAAAATTTTAATATTTTTCTTGATCCTTTTCAAAAAAATTTCAATAAATTTCTTTAAAAAATTCAATTATTTTTAATGGAAAGTTTCAAAAAAATTCATGCAATTGTCTATAAAAATTCAATAATCTTTAAAAAAATATAATTGAAGTAATAAGTTAAAATCAAAATTTTTTAGAATTTCAAATAGAATTTTTTAAAATTTTAATATTTCGCACAATTATTTTCAAAAATTTTAATAAAATTCTTTAAAAAATGGAATTTGAATAGAAAATTAGAAAATTTCAATTATTTCACAACTTTTCTAGTACTTGTTTATAAAAGTTCAATTTTCTTCAAAAAATAAAATTGAAGTAATTTGTACACATAATTTTTCAAGATTTTAAATAAAATTTTTCAAAGTTTTAATAACTCCCTTGATTATTTTCAAAAAATTATAATAAAATTCATTGAAAATTTATTTATTTTTGATAGAATTTTAAAAAATTTCAATGATTTAAAAAATTTTCAATTACTTGTTTATAAATATTTACTTAAATTTAAAAAACAGAATTATTGAAATATTTTGAAAATCATAATTATTGAGATATTTTAATAAAATTTTTTGAAACTTTTATATTTCCATTGATTATTTTTAGACATTTTTATAAATTTTTTTATAGAATAAACTTTTAATATAAAATTAGAAAATATTAATTATTTCAAACTTTTCGAATACTTATGTTTATAAAAATTAAATTATCTTTAAAAAGTAAAATTAAAATTTCTCAAAAACCAAAACCTCCCCATTTTTAAATAACTTTCAAAACCTCAATTATTTACACCGATTATTTTTGAAAAATTCAATAATATTTTAGAAAATTGCAATTATTTCAAAAAATAGCAGTTACTTGTTTATAAAAATTTGATTATCTTTAAAAAATAGTATTACAGTATTTTAGAAACCTATTTTTTAAAATTTTTAAATAAAACTTTTCAAAAATTGAATATTTTAAAGTCAAATCTGTTTAAAGTTAACTAATTAATAAAAATTGTACATTTCACAAATTTCAATAAAATTCATAAAAAAATTCCAATTATTTTTAACATAATTTTAGCAAATATCATTTATTTCAATAATTATCAATTACCAGTTCATGAAAATTCAGTAATCTTGAAAAAAAAGAACTGAAATATTTTAATAACATAATTTTTCAGAATTTTAATTATGAAACTTTTCAAAAATTTAATATTGTCCTGCATTGTATTCACAATTTTTAAGAAAATTATTAAATAATTCAATTATTTTAAATAGATTTGAAAGAAATTTCAATTATAACAAAAATTATGAATACTTGTTTATAAAAATCCAATAATTTTAAAAAATACAATTAAAAATTTTTTAAAGACTTCATTTTTCTGAATATTAAATAAAACTTTTTGAAACTTGAAATTTAAAAAATAAGTTTTTTAATTTAAATCTTTTTAAAACTAACTATTTAATAAAAATTGTACATTTCAAAAATTTCAATAAAAATCTTTATAAAAATCGAATTTTATTTCATACAACTTTAGGGGATTTCAATTATTTCAATAATTATCAATTACTTCTTCAGAAGCATTCAATTATCTTTAAAAAATAGAATTGAAATTTCTTGGAAACCTTATTTTTCAGAATTTTAACATTCAATTATTAAATGTAAAATTCCTCGAAAGTGCCTAACTGTTAAATTAAAATTCTTTACAAAGTCGATTTTTAAAAAAATCTGTAATGGAATTCTTTAACTAATTTCATTACATATTTTCAATTTACTTACCTACACAACATTCCAATTATTTTGATAATCTTCCTAAAAACCCAATTTTTTTTTAGAATTTGAAGTAAAATTATTTTAAACTTGAATAATTTTGAAAAGAAATATTTAATTACTATTATATTCTTCGCAGCAATTGAAATTTTTATGAATTTTAGTTTAAAACCTTTAGAAGATTTATTATTTTTTAAAATTGAAACGTTTTTTAAGATAAAATATTTTTTGAATTTCATTAAAATTAATTAACTTTAGGAAAGTTATTCTAGGATTTAATTGATAATAAATTTAATTATTTACTGAACTAAGAAAAATTTAAGCCATTGTTTTGAAATTCATTGCGATTTAAAAGTTTTTACAATGAAAAAAAATGCAAGGAAAGAGTAGTTTTGACCAAAATTTCCTGATTTTCCTAATCAATTTAATTTTTCTGAGTTTCCCTGAATTCCCTCTGCCTTGTGGCAACCCTGTATTTTTCTAAATTTATAAATATTTACCTTGAATCATTGGCATTTCTGTATTTATCACTTGAAGTTGAGGTACTTTGGGGAGAAATTCTAGACTCATGATAAAATAATTGAGATTCTTCTTCGTGATTTGCAAAATAAGCCGGATAATTTGAATTACCCTTCGGCAAATCTTGTAGAGGAGACATTCCATTATTCTCGAATTTTCTTCTTCGAGATTTATATTTTTTGCGATCTTCTTTCTTATAAAGTTTTTCTCTCCTCTCATCTTTGGCTCTCGATTTTCTCTCTTTCCTCCTCTTCTTTTTAATCTTCTCATTATTTTGCTTCTTCTCCTCTTCTCTTTCCATTTTCCATCTAGCCGCTGTCTTAAAAAATATTCTCACCTAAAAAAAACGTAAATGTTATCATTTCTTTTCTACGAAAATAAAAAAAAAAACAATAAAAAGAGTTTTGATTTTAAGATTTAAAATTTTTGAAAAATTCTATTCCATTTTAAAAAATATTAAATTTTAACTTAAACGTACTTTGTCTTCGTAGTCCGAGTCATCCTTCGACTTGTCCAAAAATTTACGGACTTTTAATTCGTAATCTTTAGTATCATCTTCTGAACCTATATCTCTTGGACCCTCTAAATCTAATAAATCATCATTAGTTTCAGGTAAAATATTGTACATGGACATTCTTTTGCTTAATGGCGATAGGGAAGCACGAATTTTTGAGTCGAGTGACTTTTTGTGTGAAGACGAACTTGTTGAAGATCGTGATTCACTGGAAGAGGATGATGAGCTTGATTCTGATTGCGAAGAATCACTGGATGATGAACTTGATGAGGAACTACATTTTCTTTTTTTTCTCGTTATTTTTCTTCTTTTTTGCTTTTTCTTATCTAATTTAGTTGTAGGGTTTTGAGAATCATTCTGATTTTCAATAGTATTTAATACTTGCGTAGAATGTTCATCGTCTTCCTCCATTCCCCCCAATTTTAAATATTCAATTTCATTTTTTGCAATTTCATGGCACGGATCAATGGTTAAACATTTATTGAAGACTTCAAGAGCTTTGTCAAATTCTTTTTCGTCCTCATAGTTCCGTCCTAATGCCACGAGTGTTTCAAGTAAGTATTTACGGGCATTTACGTGTGATTGATTCAATTTTATAGCCATTTCAAAATCATCGACGGCTTTATCCAATTTTCCATTAGTTGTATGTCTGTGAAAGAAGAAATTTTTTATTTAAAACATACTTGAAGGTGCTTAAAAGAAGTTTAATTAAAGAATTAAAGAAGATCAATTAAAGAAGATGAAGATTTGAGAAGATTTAAATTAAATTATAGAAAATTGGTAATTTTTTGTTACTTACAAACAACCACGTGCTACTAATCCTTCTTCATTTAAAGGATCAATGAGTAAGGCTTTATTGAGGCACTTGAAAGCTTCTGAATTTCTTCCTTCTTGAAAGTGATCAATTCCATCTGTTACATAGCGAAATGCCCATTTACTTGACTGTATTTGTCTTAATTTCACACTATATTCATCTAATGGAAAACCGTCTCTGCAAAATAAATATTATTTAATATAATCACAGTAATAAGTGAAGATGAAAATTAAGAAAGTTATTACTTTCTTAATTTTTATCTTAAATAAAACTTAAATTAAAGTATTTATAACTTAAATATTTATAAAACTTACCTCAGACCAATCATATGTGAATGATTATCCTGCCCTAATAATAACAAATCCGAAAGATATTTCGTATTATTTGGATTGCAAAATCCAGGACTATTCTCTAAAATGGATTCGAAAAATTCTCCTTTGTTTTCAACGATTCGCCTAAATAACAAACCAAACAAAAATAAATTTTAAAATATATTAAATATATTAAATATTCATCAATTAAATAAATAATAATAAATTTCAGCAAAATGTGAATGTCTATTTGCTACTATTATTTTACTCATAATACAATTAATAATAATTATTCCAAAACAAAAAAATTAAATGTTTCACAAAACAATTTACTTTCATTATTTGATAAAGTTCTCGTCTTTCGAAAAATCCCTAAATAAGTTAATTATTTTTTTAATAATTGTTAATAATTTTTACTCGACACAAAAATTTATTAGCAAATCTTGCTTTTATCTGTGAAAATTATTAAAATAAGATAAATAGTTCTACGATAAATGCATTGTTTTTTTATTCAAGAAATTATTTTAGCAGGGTTGCCACAAAATTTTTATTCTGTTTTTCGTCCAGACTTTTTCCTAATTTCCAAACAGAATTTTGAATTTTTTAAATTAAAATTGAGATTTAAAACTTTCAGATTGTCTAACAGTTTTTAAAATTAAATTACTGTGCGAACTTCTCTTGATTATTTTTTAAACATTTTATAAAATACTTTTAAAAATTCAATTTTAATAAAAATTTACTAAAATTTACTAAAATCTAATCTAAAAATTTACAAAATTTTAATAATTTCAAAAATTTTCAATTACTTGTTTATAAAAATTCAATTATCTTTAAAAAAAGAGTTAAAATATAATTTAAAAACCTATTTTTTAAAAATTTAAATAAAATTATTTAAAAATTCATTTATTTTTAATTGAATTTTAAAAGACTTTAGTTATTTCAAAAAAATTTTATTATTTATTAATAAACATTCAAATGTGTTTGAAATACAGACTTCAAGTATTTTAAAATCATACCTAATTATTCAGAAATTTTAATATTTCCCTGAAATATTTTCAAAAAATCCATTTAAGATTTTCTTTAAAAAATTCAATATTGAAAGCAAATTAGAAAATTTCAATTATTTCATAAAATTTCAAATAATTGTCTATAAAATCCAATTATCTTTAAAAAATAGAATTGAAATAATTTAAAAACCTATTTTTTTAGAATTTCAAATAAAATTGTTCGAAACATTAATTATCGATTTTTAAAAAAAAAATGTATTATCATAAATAGAATTTAAGGAAATTTCAATAATTTCAAAAATTATCAATTATTACTCTATAAAAATTCAATTATCTTTAAAAAATAAAATTGAAATATTTTAAAAACTTAATTTTTCACAATTTTAAATAAAATTTTCCAAAATTTTAATATTTCCTTCGATTAATTTTTAAAAAATTCAATTACTTTTTTTATAGAATATTAGGAAATTTGAATTATTTCACAAAATTTACAATGACTTGTTTATGAAAATTGAATTCTCTTTTAAAAAATTGTACTGTAATATTTTAAAAACTTAATTCTTTAGAATTTCAAACAAAACTTTTGGAAACTTTAAATTAAAAAATAATTTTCATTGAAATATTTTTAAAATTAATTTTTTATTGTAGATAAAAATTTCTTGAAAATTCAATTTTTTTAAAGAAATCTGTAAAATTCTCGAATAAATCTAATTATTTTCAATTTAATTTCGCTAAATATCCATTAATTCGATAATTTTTCATTAGAATTGTTTTAAAAATTGAAGTATTTTACAAAAATTAAATTAAAATTTTTCAAAAACCTAATATTTTCAGAATTTTAAATAAAATTATTAATTTCTATTCAAGACTTAAACAACTTTTTAACGAAATAAATATAATTATTCACTCCAATTAAAATTTTTAAAATTTTACTGTAAAACCTTCTGAAATTCAATTATTTCTGAAAATTGCAACAGTTTTTAACTAAAATCTTTTCTAATTATAATTTTAAGAATTATTAATTATAATTATAATTCATAAATTGAAGAAAATTATTCTAGAATTTAATTGCTTGAAATGAATTTAATTATTTGCAGAAATAAAAAGAAATCAAATTATTTTAAAATTCATTGTCATTCAAAAGTTTTCAAAGTTGAAAAAAATGCAAGGAGAATTTCTTTTGTACTAATTTCTTGAAATTTGGTATTTTCCCAGTACTTTTGATCAAATTCTCTGATTTTCCTGTAAAGTTTCATTTTTCTCTCATTTTTTCTAACTTTATTCTGATTTTTCTGACTTGTGGCAACCCTGTTTAAATTCTCATTTCAAAATTGTTTTCTTAGAAATCCAATCCAATTTTTTTCAGTTCCATAGCATTAAACTTTAAAAAGAGTATACAAAAGTTTATAGCAAACGTCAATAAAATATGATTGTCATTAATCTAGTACCTAGTTATTTTATACATAATTCATGTACAGAATATCAAATTTATGTGAAAAAAAACGTCCGATACCTAAACTCATAAAAATGTTTCAAACAATTCGAAAGTATTATTTTTTTTATCAATCATCACTATTTATATTATACCTTTATCAAACTAAAATATAGACATTTATTCTAAATTTCAAAAAAAAAAATATACTTATTAAATTATCTACTCGCCTGTAAATGTCCGGAAGTTCACTGGAATCAATAAGACCTAAAGGAGGATGAGGAATCAAACCCTCACGAGGTGTAATATTCATAGAAGCAATAATTCGTTCGGCTTCAACGTTCACATCTTTTACACAAACACAGACTAGATCATCGACCATGTATTCTCGAGTAACTCCATTTTTATCAACCGCTGGCACCGTACACGTATTTAATATTAAAGCCTGCAAGTTGAAAAGCCAATATTTCATTAAGCACAAGTAATATTTTCGACGAAAAATAATTGAAGCAAAAAGAAGAAAAGAAACTAAACATTTTTAATAAATTCATACCTTTACTGTAAGTTCAGGAACTACTCTCGGACAATCACTACAATTGCAAAGTACCTTTAAAAGGAGACCCGTGCTACTTTTTCCCATCACTTGAGTATAAATGATGTCTCCGGTAACCAAGGACTAAAAAAATATAAATTAGTCAAAAAATATATAAATTAGTTTTTAAAAAAATAGAAATATTAGTTACAAATCTCCAATTTCCAAAAATTACCTCTAAAAAGTTACGAACACGCTGAGACTCATCTATTTTAATGAACGAATCAAGTCCTGGCATTGTTCCATATGCCACTAAAAATATCACACAAGTCATTATTTCATTAATCATTCAATTAATTTTTGCTGAAATACCACAAAATTTTCATATTTCAAGAAGCAATATTTTATTCAAGTTTTTACCTTCATGATCAACATACTGACTGACTGGCTCCACGGATTTTTCTAAATTTGATTTACTATACAAAATGTCAGCCTTCTTGGCAATAAATTTTTGCAGCCTCTGTCTTTTCTCATTATCAGATTGACTGAAAAAGAATAAAGAAAAAAGCTATTTCATTAATTGCTCTCACAATTGAAATTGTCGGAAAAAATAAATTACGCAGTAATTGAAAACGAAGTATAGAAAAAAATGATGTAAGAGTTTACCAAAGTGTTTTTTCCCTCTGCTCGTAAACTTCAAAATTCGGTTTTTCAACAAGAAGCACTGACAATTCATCTTTTCCTCGTACTTCGTCCCAAGTTTTCTGTAATTCTTCACCATGATAATTTAAAGTTTGCTCAATTAGAATGGCATCCAATCCATCCACTGAATCCATTACGGTTGATTAAGGTGACAACCTAACCTACAATACTAAAAAAAACTATCTTTGTATATATTTCAGATCCAATTCTGTCAAAACGGAAAACTTTATATCGCGAACTTAAGGAAAATTTACTATTATTAATTTCACCCTTAAATTATTTAACTAGTTTAAAATAACAAATTATTAACAGATCGTTTCCTAGGACAGCAAACCATTTTTTAACGTTTAAAAAACGTGTTTCTAACGAAACAATAACCTCAAATTATTAAAATATTCATTATTTACATAAGTGAAAATTTGATATCAAATAAGTATATGTGAACTATAAATATAATAACCCACGAAATATTCCAAGAGAAAACCAAGAAAACTTACCTTGTTTTTAAAATGATGTTCACTTTTTCCAAAAATATTTGACATTGAGTCAAGAATATTTAATCTAAATTGTTACAAAAAAATGTAATTTTCACTTTATTTACAAAGGAATGTAAAGCAACGAAAAGCAAATTTGTTTGTATAATATATTCATTTTTCTGGCCAGAAGCAAACTATACAACACGAGCAAATACTCTTTGATCTCTGCAGTCTCTGCAGCACATTGTTGAAATATTTCCGGTTTAAGAACTAAGGAAATTGCGCAGTGTTCAACTGCGCATAAAAATAGTTCTACCGGTAAATTCCCCAAATTTAAAGTTGTATAATAGACCCAAAGTTTATAAAGAGAAAGAGAGACCTTTGTCCCAAATAAAAAACCTTGATAGCTAAAATTAAAAAACTAATTTACCTCTTGTATTTATTGAATTACATAAAAATTTTCATTCATTTACTTGGAAAAGTGAAAAACGAATTTTAGTTGAAATTTGCAAAAATATGAAAAATGAGAAAAGAATTTTAATGTTTGGATAAACAAATAAGCTTTTAATGGTTTAAGTAATTGACAAATATTTACGTGCTTTAATTATGTTAATTACGATTTTATAAATAAAATCCTTTTATTACGGATATGCCACGAAATTCGCTTATATGGAAAACTCTTTTTCACCATTTTCGTACGTGTACATTTTAAGTAAATAAATATTTATTTAAAAATATAATTTTACGTTGTCACGAATCTCACGAATTGATAACTAGTTTAGAAAATTATTACTTTTTTATTAGAAAGAAAAAAAATAAAATTTGTGATAATTTTGGTGATAAGTCTACTAATATTATTTTCTTACCGAAATTTTGAAAATTGAAATTTTTAGATAAATTTTAACAAAAAAAACGCATCAGGGTGAAAAGAACCTTAAAGGGACAAGAAATTTAAGGTTATGTTTATGATCGTTTTATCTTGATTAATCAACATTTTTTGTATATTTTGTAAAATCGAAAGTAATTCGAATGGAATATTTTAGATGTAAAAGATTTAAATATCATTAAATTGCACTGGGAGATAATTATCTTTTTGTACTTTAACTTTAAAGTTGGCAAACATAACCTAAAAATTTCATGTCACGATTGGCCCTTTTCTCCCTGATGCGTCACGGTGGTCACGGTGAATAAAAATAAATGCATAAATATCAATTTTGCATACTATCTGTCCCAGATCAGATATTATCAGACAATTTGCAATTATTTTCCATGCAGTGATTTTTGAATAAGAACAATAATTTTTACAATTTTGATCTGAAAAACACTTTGATTCAAGGTTCAATCCTTTCAATCAAATTGTTTTCTGCGAAAGCATATTATGTGAATGATTCAAGAAACAACAAATAATTTTGTACTTTACCAAGAAAAGATATAAATTAAATTTGAAATTATCGAAAATTAAATTCTTTACCTTTCCATCGAAACGAATTTAAGAATTCGACAAAATCGGAACGAAAGGTCCAATGTCTAATTTCGTATTTTATATAAAAGAGGTAAATTAAATATTAAATTTGTTTCAGTGAAAAGGTGAAGAATTTAATTTCCAAAAATTTAAACAATTAAAAGTTTTATTTGAATACAAAAATTAGAATTTTTTCCGTCTATAACGAATACTTGTCAAATTTTGAGGTTATGTTATCAAATTCGTTGTTTATTGGGAGAAAATTATAATTTTTATTCAAAACACAACAGTTAATTGTTTAAAATGTTGAAAATTAAATTCTTTACCTTTCCACTAAATCGAATTTAAAATTTAATTTACCTTTTTCATGTAAAATACGAAATTATCTCATTGTACTAATTTTTATTCTGATCTTTTGTCGGATTCCTCCTTTTTTTTCTTAAACTACTGTTTTCCTAATTTCTTTATTATAAATTTAAAAGTAACAGTTACTTAAAATAATATTAAATTCACGTTTATCTCCTTTCGAAAAAAATTTATCACCTTTTAAAAACTCGCTCCTCATTTCTTCTTTCTTCGAACATTCAGTGACATTAAACTTACAAAAACTGTACAACATGCCAAAAAGATTCAACTCCAAATATTTTTTTTCAGTATTTTTGTGCCTATATTTTCGGTATATTAAATTATACAGAAGTTGTTTACATACAACAAATACAAGTTGATTGTGTTGATTTTCGACGGTACATTTTTGTAAAAGAAGCATCAATAATTAATAGAAATCTTAAATTATTAAACGTGTCAGCTAGTAAGATTTCCTTCTTTTAAATTCGACAAATTTTCACTTTTATAATCGAACATAATTTTTTTTTTTGTACACGTCTATTTTTAAAAATATTGTACACATTTTTAGTTTCTCAATTATCTCAAAAAATAAGTAATTTGCAAAAAATTCCTTTTTTGCACACTATAAAGATTGAAGACAAAAGTATAATTTTATTAATTGTTGTTTTTTATTTTTTTTACTTATAGAATTACTCTCGTAATTCTATGATGAGGATAAATTCGATAAGCCACACGCAAGGATAACAGCGCGTATTTTTTGAAATTACAACAATTAAAAAAAGCAAAAAAAAACAACTTTAAAAAGTAAAATATAGAAAAAAATATAGAAAATATCTCCCATTGTTTCAATAAATCAATTATAGGTGACGACGATATGAATTCCCAGAAAGATATATCTAATATCTAAAATGGTACTATACAATTATGCATACAGAATTTTTTTCTTTATATTGTTAACGAAACAATTATTTTCAAAAACGAGAGAAAATTCGAAAATTTTCAACTTAAATATATTTTTAAAAAAATTTGAAAAGATTATCGCGAATCTTTCTTGGCCGTAGGAGTGCAAAAATAGACACTGAAATTAACGGTCTTTGTAAACTGAGAACAGAGAAAAAACGTACCAATAATTGGCAGCTTCAGAGCGATAAACAAGTTTTATGTGATGATAGTGAAACGAATCACCAAATCTTTGCTGCGATGGCTCTCTGAATTAAAACGTTCTTGCTTCTCTGCTTCATGCGTTCAATAAAAGTATCCTTGCCTTCCAGATTTTCCTCACCAGGTACAGCCTCCTCGCTCTGACAACAAATATGAGTTAGTTGTTTCCTTCGCAATGTTATCTTGCGCGAATGGCTCATCGTTATTCCTCAATATCTTGTCATATTTTCTGATCATCAATCATCATCATTGGTTGTTCAAAATTTATTTTTTTTTCTGAAACCTAACCAACCTTGTTTGTAGTGTCGGCCGCCTCGGTCTCGCCCCACCTCTCGTAGTCATCGTCGTCGCGTTCTTCGCCTTCGCTGAGAGGGCCTTCCTGCCTCTTGTTGGGTGGCGGAGGTTGTTGTTGTTGTTGCTGTTGTTGTTGTTGTGGTGGTGGTGGTTGCTGTGGTCCAGTTGATTGGCGATTTGCAGTGTCGTCTCCACTCTCGAGAATCTTATTGATCTTCTCCTTTGCTTCGTCGACTTTTCTCATTGGATCGGGTGAGAAGCTTCTGTCGCTGTATTTGTCCCGTGAGTAGGCGCGACGATCGCGGAAGTCTCGTCTGTCGCGGAAATCTCGGAAACCTTGTCTATTATTGTGAAAGTATCGACCACCACGATTATTATTTTGTCCACCTCGACCGCGATTATTTTGGTTATTGTAATTATTGTATCTGTGTTGGAAACCTCGTCGATTATTATTGTAGCGATTATTCTGTTGATTGTTGTAGAAGCGATTTCTGTTTTGGAAGTTTTGACCACCGCGATGGTTTTGGTTGTTGTAATTTTGGAATCTTGGTTTGTAGTAAGTTCCACGATTGTTGTTATAGGGTCGGAATTGTCTGTTGCGGTAGTACCTGCGTTCGCCGGATCGGCTGCGACTGCGACTTCTGGAATAGGATCGTGAACGTGATCGTGATCGCGATCGACTGTATGTGCCGGAAGGTGAGCGACTGTACTTTCTCTCGTAGCTTCCCGATCTTCTTGATCTGTTTGAATAGGATCTTGATCTGGAGCGTCGGCCCGATCGTGATCTGGACGATCCACTGCTGGAGCCAGATCGTGATCGACTTCTGGATCGTTTTGGCGGTCGATCGCGACTCATTCTTCTTGGCACTGTTCTTCCACTTGAGTCACGCTTCCTGGGCGATCCTCTTCGTTCGGAGTCACTTTCGGAATCAGTCAAAGGACCTTTCGAGGCACTGTGAGACTTACTTCCAGGGGGTTTGCTTGGAGGCTCTGGCGGTTGGTTACTGTTACTACCTTGACCGATGGGTTGGAATTTACCACCGAGATTGTTGGATGATTTGTTTGCGTTACTTTGAGGAGTACCCAAGGACTGGAATTTATTTTGCATTTGTTGTGAAGGATATTTTACAGGTGTCTTGGGTGGTGGCTCTTTTGGCATTGGTGGCGATGGTATTTGTGATTGTGATGCTCTTTTCTCAGCGAGCTCACGTTGTTGTTTTCGAATATTCAATTTTTCTAATGCTTGCCGCTGAAGTTTCTCCTCCATCTCATTATCACCGTCCTCATCGCTATCAACTCGCATTTTCTTCTCTGACGAATCCTGCCATTTCTGCATATGCACTTCTTTTTGCCTAGTTGGAAAGAAAAAATTCTTATTCAAAACATTCAATCTTATTTAAAACTAATTTTTCAATATTTGTTTAAAACTTGAATTCAGATATTAAAAGAGAGAATTAATTAAAAGAGAGAGAAAAATATTAAGAGAATTAAAATTCTCACCTAGCAGCTTGAGCAGCTTTCCATTTTGCATTCAAAGCTGCTGTGTCCAAGGAAGGCATCTTTGGCTCTGGATGAATTAACTGTGATTCTTGTTCAAAGATGTCATTAAGTGGTTTTCGTTGAATTTCTGAAAAAGTGTTACCTTTAATAACAAAAAAAAAAAACATTATGTAAATTAACAATTTATTGCTCAAATTCTAATATGTTTAGAATTTTAGATTCTAGAATTTTTATTCTTTTAGATCAAGTTTAGAACATTTAGAACATCAGGCTTCGCACTCGATAATTAATTTTAAAAAGTATCTTCCGAAAATTCATTTTGACGACTAAAAAGTGCGAAGCCTGCAACTTGATTGACTTAACAGGGTTGCCACAAAAATTTAACTTTGTTTTTCCCTGATTTCCAGACAGAATTTTGACTTTTTGCCTGACCCTGAAGAAAACCCTAATTTACTCTAAAAATTATTAGATACTCAAAAAAAAAGTTTTATTAAATTTACGTAAAAGTAAATAAAAAAATTTATTTCTTCAATTTTAAATTTCTTCAAAAGTAAAATTATTCGAAAACATCAATAAATTCTTTTTTAAATAAATATTTAATCATTATTAATTTTCCATTGGAATTAAAATGTTCAAAAATTTCAAATTTAAACCTTTTTGAAATTCAACAACTTAGCGGAATATTATTGTAAAACACAAAGAAAAAAAAAACACAAAGTCTTCGACTCGGAGTGATCCATTTCTTTATGTTTTACAATAATTATAAAGATAATCGAGTGACAAAATAATTTTATACTACAAGAAAATTGTTACTCTAACTTCTTCAAAATTATTTAAATCATCGTACTTTAATTATTATTTTCTAGAATAAATAAATTTTTAACTAAAACTCTTCTTCAAATCAATTATTTTTAATAATTTTTGAAAAATATTCTTCTTTGAGAATTTTTAAATTCATTTGTTTACAATTCAAGTTTACGTGAAATTTTATTTTTATTCGAAAATTCTTCAGATAAATATATGTTAGAAAATAGAAACTTGAAATAATTTCAAAAAAATTCATTCTACAGAATTGTTAGTTAAAAGTAGGAAAAATTCATATTTTCAAAGATTTGTATTTGAAACATTTTTAAAATTTAATTATTTCTAAAAATGCCTGCTATAATGCTTTTAATATTCAATTATTATCTAAAATTTTAACCAAAATTCATTTTTGAATCAATTTTTCTGAAAAAAATTCTACAAGAACTCAATTATTTAAATACAAAAGTAAATAATTTTTTCAATAATTGAATGTTTCTTGAAATTTAATGTTTACGATCAATTTTATTAACAACTTTTGAAAACATTTAATTTATTTTAAAGAATTAAATCAACATTTTACTGAAATTAATTACATTAAAGAATTATAGAACAATTTCTAAAAATAATTGATAACTTTTTGAAGAATTTAATTAAATTTTGTTTAAATAAATAATTTAATAAATAATTAAAATAATTTAATTATTAAATGTTTCTTAAAATTGAATTCTTTCGTCAAGTTTTAATAAAATTTTTAAGAATAATAACATTTTTAGAGGAATTTATTTAAAATTGTATTAAAAATATTTGAAATTCTGCGATGAAAATAATTGAATTTTGCCAAGAATTTTAATACTTTTGAAAATAGTTTAATTTTGCTAAGATATTTTTTTAAATTCCTGAAAATAATTGAATTTCTGTAAATAATTTTAATACTTTTGAAGATAATTGAATTTTGCTAAGAATTATATTAAAATTCTTAAAAATAATTGAAATTCTACGAAAAATTTTACTACTATTGAAAATAATTGAATTCTTGTAATGAATATTGTTATTTATAAAAATATTTTAATTTTTGCGAAGAATTTTATTAAAACTCTTGAAAGTAATTGAATTTTGCCAGAAATTGTATTAAAATTCTTGAAAATAATTAATTTTTTGCGAAAAATTTTAATACTTTTGAAAATAATTGAATTTCGCAAAGAATTTTATTAAAATTCCTAAAAGTAATTAAATTGCTGTGAAAAATTTTGTTATTTATCTAGATAATTGTGTTAAAACTTTTGAAATATTTAAATAATATTAAAAAACTCATTTTTATCAGAAATTTTTCCTTGACCTGTGGCAACCCTGGTTATGAACAAATAAATAAAAAAATTACCTTTTCGCTGTTGGGACGTTAATGGCACACGGGACTCTCTTTCGTGATAGGCTTTGACTGATTCTTCTCTTTCCCTTTCGCGTTCTCGTCGAAATTCTTCTTCTCTTCGAGAACTTTCAGCAAGCTTTTCTGCGTTGCTAAGAGGGGAAGGCATGTCATTAAAGTGTGCTACGTACCTAATAAATATGAAAAATGTACTAAACTCAGTTTTAACCATTTAACATTTAAAAAAAAACAATACAATTGACAAAAAAGCAATTTTTTTGTCAAGTAAAAAATAAAATTGCTGAAAACAATAAAACGAAATAAAAAAGTATAAACATTTTTTAAATTCCTCCATTTTTTTTCTTTTTCTACTTACCTCTTTAAAACTGCCGTCTCCTTCTCAACTTTAGCATAATAAGCACTAAGCTTAGACTCCAATTGTTCCAGATCTGGCAAGGAAGACTTTTTCAAAACTTCTAAATCTCTTTCCATTTTATCTTTGCTGCTCTTACGTTTCTTACGCTCCTCCTTCTTCTTCTTTTTACGATTCTTTTTCTCCTCCTTATCTTTATCTTTAGTTTTCTTTTCCTTCTTTTTCTTTTTCTTTGACTTTTCACTCTCTGAATGCTTCTTCTCTCTTCCTCTTTCTGTCTTCCATCTGTCAGTTTCGGCTAGGAATTTCCTTACCTAAAGAAAATATTCCCAATCATTATATTGAATTTTTAATGAAAAATTATCGAAAATTTAACAAAAAAATTTGTTAGTAACAAAATCTTTTATTAGAAAACTCACCTTTTCTTCATAATCAGAATCGTCCTTTGTTTGAACAAGAAAATTGCGTATTTTCATTTCATATCCATCTAATCCACTTCGCGATCCAGTTGTAATTGGTGCGACTAATTCATGTAACGAAGTACTCGCCGCTGGTGGATTATTATATTGAGCCATTCGTTTACTCAATGGCGATAATGAACCACGATCTTTCTTATGCTTCTTTTTATGAGATGGTGATCTTGAAGCTGAACTACCAGATGAGGAAGAACTGCTTGAATCTGAACTCGATGAACTTGAAGAACCACTTGACGAAGAACTTGAACTTGAACTCCATCTCTGTCTTTTTTTGGATCTAGATTTCCTTTCTTTTTTGCGTTTCTTCTTTTCTTTCTTACCATCGGGAATTTCATTTTCAGCTTCAAATGATTTGAATGTCTCTAAAGGATTTAATGCGCCAGAACCAAGTGTTCTCTTTTTAATGTATTCGATTGAATTTCTTGCTTCCTCATGATAGGGGGCAATTGCTAAACAATTTTCATAGGCTTTTTGAGCATCATCAAACTTTTTCTCATCCTCAAAACTACGACCCAATGCAACAAGTGTCTCAGCCATATATTTACGAGCATTTGCATGCGTTTGATTTAATTTCAGTGCTGTTTCAAAATCGTCAATTGCTTTCTTGAAACTTCCACTATTCGCATATCTAAAAATAGGAAATTTTTCAAAAATTAGTTCTTGTAAATAATTGCAGAAATATGTTTAATATTTGAGAAGAAGAAACATTAGCTTACAAGGCACCACGAGCCACCAATCCTTCAACGTTTCGTGGATCAACCACCAACGCTTTATTGAGACATTGGAAAGCTTCAGAGTGTCTTCCCGCTTTAAAATGATCAATTCCCTCCGCGACACTGCGGAAAGCCCATTTACTTGCTTGCGCTTGTCTCAGTTCGCTTCCATATTCATTTGGCGTAAATTTCTCCCTGGAAACAAAAATAAAATAATGTTAATAATATAATGAGAAATTATTTTATTTTGAAAATTAAAAAGGGTACCAGGCCTCGAATCAACTTTATGGAATAAAAAAAGTCGATTAAAAATAGAAGAAAGTCGAAAAAGGCATTTATTTTATTTTTTTTAATTTGTATAGTATTTATTTCATTTTCTACTTCTCTGACTCTTCAATAATTTATAAATTTTAAAATTCAATTACTCGCAACTTCAATAGTTTTATTAAATAAATATTTGAATATTTATTTTATTTTCAACAGGAATTAAAATTAAATAAATATCAAATATTTAAATTTTATTTCTTAAAGCTTCTTTTACTTAATTTCATTTTTCAATTTTCATTTGAATATTTTTCATTTAAATTTAAATTTTTCATTTTTGAGAATTCAATATTATTTTCAAAATTACCGATTAAAATAATCAATTGTTTGAAGAATTTCAATTATAAATTGTAAGAATCATTATTTTCTTCCAAAATGTTTATAAATCGAAAAAATTAAATTTTTTAAAATATTAATATAATCTTTTCTATTGTAATTTTTTTTAATGTATGAATTTACGAAAAAAATTTAATTGATAATATACAAAAGAAAATTAAGAACTGCTTTAAAAAAACTGTCAAAATAATTTTTTAAGATTAATTTTAATTGATATTCATTTGAAGATTTTTCAGAAAAATTTGTGAGTATTTAATTATTTCAAAAATTTTATTAAAATTCTTGAAAATAATTGAATTTCTGCGAAAACTTTTATAAAAATTGTTGCAAATAATTGAATTTTGACAAGAATTTGAATACTTTTAAAAATAATTGAATTTTGCTAAGAATTTTATTAAACTTCTTGAAAATAATTGAATTTTTGCGAACAATTTTATTAAAATTCTTGAAAACAATTGAGTTTTGCCAAGAATTTTAATACTTTTGAAAATAATAACATTCTTGTGATTAATATTGTTATTTATGAAAATAATTGAATTTTGACAAGAATTTTATTAAAATTCTTATAAATAATTGGAATTTTGCCGAGAATTTTATTAAAATTCTTGAGAATAATTGAATTTTGCCAAAAATTTTAATTCTTTTGAAAATAGTTTAATTTTGCTAAGATATTTATTAAAATTCTTGAAAATAATTGAATTTCTAAGAAAATTTTTTTTAAAATTGTAAATAATTGCAGGGTGGCCACTTTTTTTGTAAAAAAAAATTCACGGTCATTTCCCGGTCCATTCCCGGTCATAAATTATTTTTCCCGGTCATAAATAATAACTCTGAAAATAAATTATTCAATGAAAGATTGAAAGAATTTCCTGATTTTTAGACAAAACTTTGACTTTTTCCCAAACCCTAAAAATATTTTAGTTTACTCTAAAAATAATTTTTAACTTAAATAGATTTTTTGAAATAAATATTTAATTATTATCCATTATTTTTTCATATAGTAGGTACTCAAATTTCAAAAAAAAATTCAAATTTCAAATCCTTTAAATTTGAATAATTTTTAAGAATTGCTACTGCAACTTATTAAAAATTATTTTCAAAATTTCAATTCAATTATATTCTAGAAATAACTAAAATATTTCTAAAATCCACTTGTTTACAAGACAATTTCATGAAATTTTGAATAATTTGAAAATTTTTCAATTAAATATTACATATTTAAAAACATAACTAATTTGAAAAAATGTGAATAAAAATATTTTTAAAGACTAAATTATTCAGAATTTTTAATTAAAATCTTTTAAAATTCAACTTTTCTAAAACTTCAATTTGAAATTTTTTAAAATTCAATCTATAATAATATTAGTAATATTAATTTAACATTCTAAAAAATCGAAAAATTTGCTTATGAATAATTGTAAAAAAACTAATTGATATTAATGAAAAATACGGTTTTTTAAAATTTATTTTCTAAGAAAAGAAATTTTATTTATTTTTATTTACTTTATTTATTATTCAAAAATTCATTTTTATAAATTTCGTATCACTTTTGTTCTAATTAGTTCAAATTTTTAATAATTCTTATTTGTTTTGTTATAATAATAATTGCAAAAAAATTTTTAAATTGATTTATTTTTCATTATTTTATAGGATATGGAATTTTTTCTCTTTGAAATTTTTTTGACAAATTTAATTAAAATTATATTTTGTTTAATTATTGTTAGAAATAGAAAGAATTTAAAATTAAATTTAATATTTTCTTTTTCTAAGTCTGTTATGTTGGACAACAAAATTCATAATTTTCTTATAAATTCTATAAATTGAATATTTTTATAGTACTTTTTATAAAATTCTCTGACAAAATATAAATAGATTTTATAGAAGATCATTCAATCTTTTTTAATGAAATATAGTTAATACCTAAGTCTTAAAATAAATATTTCTATTTTTTCTCACAAAGTAATGTGTGTTTTTAAAAAAAAAATTCCAAAATCCCGGTCAAGATCAAAATTCACTGTCATTTCCCGGTTTTTCCCTGTCCAAAAAAATTTACTGTCATTTCCCGGTTTCCCGGTCCAGCGGCCACCCTGAATTGAATTTTGACAAGAATTTTAATACTTTTGAAAATAAATGAATTTTGTTAAGAATTTTATTAAAATTCTTGAAAATAATTGAATTTTGCCAAGAATTTTAATATATTGTTGAAAATAAATGAATTTTGTTAAGAATTTTATTAAAATTCTTGAAAATAATTGAATTTTGCCAAGAATTTTAATATATTGTTGAAAATAATTGAATTTTGCTAATATATTTATTAAAATTCTTGAAAATAATTGAATTTTTGCAAAGAATTTTATTAAAATTCTTGAAAATAATTGAACTTTGCCAAGAATTTTAATACTTTTGAAAATAATTGAATTTCTGCGAAGAATTTTGTCATTTATCAAAATAATTGAATTTTTTTTTTAAGAATTGCGCTAAAACTTTTGAAATAATCAACTATAATTTTAAAACTTCAACGAATTTTCTAAATATTTCAATTTTCGAAAATAAGTAATTGAAAATGTTGAAAAAAAGTGTAAGAATTACTTTTAAAAAAAATACGTGAATACAATTTTTTGAAAGTTAATTTTAATTAATTTTCATTCGAAGAATTTTCGTTAGAAAATTTTCAAGAATTTAATTATTTTCAAAATTTGTAAATTAAAATTCTTCAAAATTTGATTTTCAAAAATTTTAATGAAATCCTTTTTCAAAAAATCCATTATTTTCTATAAAATTTGATAATATTTCAGTTATTTAAAAACTTTTCAAACTAAACTTAATCAATCAGAATTAAAATCTTTTTCGAAAATTTAATTATCTTTTAGAAATTATTAAAAAATAATAATGATTTTGACTATATAGTTATTTTTCACACCAAAGAACTGGAAATAAATTTCTTTTTGTATCAAAGAAGTTTGGTTTCCAATATTTTTAGAAAAAAAAAGCGAAAAGATCGCACAATGTGAAAATAAGTCGAAAAAAGTCGCTTTTTTATTAAGTAGAAAAAGTTAACTAGTCGAAATAAAGTCCAAAAATTCAATATGAATTTTTGGATTTTTTTTAATTTTTTTTAAATTCAATATTAATTTTTGGATTTTATTTCGACTATTTATTTATTTTTTTATTTATTTCTACTTTTTCCGAGTCCGAGGCCTTACTTGAAATTATTTAAATATCTCACCTAAGGCCAACCATGTTCGAATAATTTTCTTGACCCAATGACATCAAGTCGCAAAGGTATTTAATGTTGTTGGGATTGTTGAATCCAGAGCTATTATCCATGATTGATTCAAAACTCTGCCCTTTGTTGTCCATTGCTTTCCTAGATGACAAAACAAAGTAAGGATTAGAATTAAAGAAAGAACATTATTAATTGTTTTTTTTTTCATTTCTTCATAAAAACGAACCGGAGCTGCTTAGCCAAGAGTTGTAAAACACATAATTCCATAACCATGACGACCGAATAATTTATTAACAAATCCATCGTGTGTCCATACTTGAATTGTAGTACTTTCTTCTTTCAATTGTATGAAATTTTTCGACATAATTTGTATTCATGAATCCTCTTTCATACACATTTTCATATATATAAAAGTCACACTAGATATTTGTCCAAGTCATATCAATTTTCCTGCTTATAATACTGCTCCTCTTCGGTTTCCAATGAATAAATCTGACAAAACTCTAATATTAAAGACTGCAAAGAAATATTTGAGTTTTCTTTTGGCGAATCTGTGTTTTTTTACTCTTAACAAGCAACTCTCGGTTTAAATGGATTAAAAACGAGCGTGGCGCAGATTTGTAGTTTCATTTTTTTTATTAACCCGAAGAATTTCATAGCGTAGAAAATTTATAATACACAACCTCAATATTTAGGTAAACTCATCTCTCACCTTTCGCAAAACCGCAAAGACGCGTATATATATTTTTTTAGCTAGATTTTTTGTATCATATTTATCATATGTTTTCTCAACACAAAAGCACACAGCCTATCGTCAGATGGTGATTGTATTTTTTTCTAAAAAAGTATTTTTTTTTTTGGTGCGATAAATAAAATTGCATAGCCCTAGGATAGTTTTGAGCCACGCTTTTTTGAGTAACATTTATTTTCTTCCAAGTCGACCAAAAAATGTATTTAGACGTAGTAAGAGTAGTAGGTCACTCGCCTGTTTTTTTTTTTGCATTTTGTGGTGTCAAGTGAACACATCATTTTTATTTGACATTTAAAGCTGTAAGTTTAAACGATTTATTAATTATTATTAAAGACGCAACTCCTTCAAGGTTTTGATTTCATGTCGAGGAGTTACAAATTCTCATTGCCTGGCCTCTAAAATATTTCTTTTTTTTTTAAATTTGTAAAATTGAATTTTGTATCGAAAGCAAAATCATCAACTAAAGATAATTTTAATTTTTATGTATAAACAAATGAATTTCTCTATAAAATAATAAAAAAATGAAAAAGAGACCAAGCAACTCAATTTATTGCAATACCTACCGTCTCGTCAATGCACTTAAAGGCCCAAAATTCATCTCAATTTTGGAAAAATCAATCTCAAAAGACATTGATCTCAATTGGTGCCATAGCCTGTACTTTTGATATCATATCACTAACGTGGATATAAAGTGAGTTTTTTAACGCAGCCACGCCAACAACCAATGGTAACGATTTGAATCATTTGCAATTCAATATATAAACTCATCGTCATAACGACTATCAATATTAACATTATACAGAATGTCTGGCACCTAAATTCATAAAAATGTGTCAGAGACATCAAAATCCGAAGTTATTTTACATTGTTAGTATCGATCGGGAACATAACACCGTTATACCTCTATTCTTCCTCATTCAATGTCAGAACCCTTTTATTGATTTTAGAAACCCAGGAAATAAAAAAGACACCCCTATATAGTTGCAAAGTAAGTACCCAAAATATTGATAAAACTTCAGAATACTTTCTTTCACGGTAGGAAAAATTTAGCGTATAACATACGATTAGTATCAAAACTCAATAGAGAAAAATTCTCAAATAGAGAAAAAAATTTACAGTAAATATTTCAATGTAATTAATAATTATGAATAAATATTATTTCTATGAACAGGATTGCCACAAACATTTAATTCTTTTTTTTCCACATTGACAGACAAAATTTTACTTTTACCCTAAAACTAAAAAATATTCTAATTCACTCTAAAAATTATCAGATACTAAAAACAATGTTGAAGAAATTTACGACTTTCTTCAATTGTAAAATTATTAAAAAAACGTCAATAATTTTAATTATAATAAACATTTAATTATTATTTTTTTTCATAGGAATAAAAATTTTCAGAAACTTAAAATTCAAATGTTTTGAAATTCAATAATTTATAAAAATATTATATTTTTTATAATAAAACATGAAGATACCGATCACTCCAAGTCTTCGACTCGGAGCAATCGATATCTTCATGTTTTATAATAATTAAAAATTGCTGAGTGATAAAATTATTATTTTGTATTATAAGAATATTTTTACTCTAACTTCTTCGAAATTATTTATTTATTTTTTTATTTTTTTTTTTATTTATTTTTTATTTATTTATTTATTTTTTTTTTTAATTATTTTCCTTGCCATTCAATTATTGTTTTTTGGAATTTTTAACTAAAATTCTTCTTTAATTAAATTAAATTAATTAAATCATTTATTTGTAATCATTTTTAATAAAGTTCTTTGAGAATTTTGAAATCCAGTTGTTTGCAAATCAATTTTATGAAATTTCGATTATTCGGAAATTCTTCAATTAAATATACATTAAAAAATAAAAACTGCAAATAATTTGAAAGGAATTGGAAATAAAATTTAAAAAAAATAGTTCTACAGAATTGTTAATAGAAAGAATGAAAAAATCAGATTTTTAAAGATTTGACTATGAAACCTTTTCCAAATTCACTTATTTCTAAAAATTCATCCTATAATGCTTGTAATATTCAATAAATTATTATCTAAAAGTTTAACTGAAATTCATTTTTAAATTAATTTTTATTAGAAAATTAGACGAGAATTCAAATTTTTAAATATAGGTAAAAATAAATAATATTTTGCATGTTTCTTAAAAATTGAATTCTTTTGGCGATTTTTAGAAGAATTTTTAAGAATAATTACATTTTTCGAGAAATTTATTTAAAATTGTATTAAAAATAATTGAAATTTTGCGATGAGTTCTAATCTTTATAAAAATAATTGAACTCCTAAAAAAAATGTTTATTATTTTGTAAAATAATTGAATCACTAAGAAGAATTATTTCTTTTATTTATAAGAAGAATTGAATTCTCGCGAAGAAATTAATTAAAATCTTTTAAATAATTGGTTTTTACTGACAAATTTTATTTTAAATAATTGAATTCCTGGGGGATTTTTATTATTTATAAAAATAATTGAATTTTGCAAAGAATTTTATTAAAATTCCTGAAATCAGGGTGTCTACTATTTTCGTTTAACAAAATTCCCGGTTATTTCCCGGTTTTTCCCGGCTATATCCTAATTTTTTCCCGGTTTTTTTTCTTATCAAATTTAAATTTAAATTTGATTTCAAACATAAATAAATCATTAAATTTTTTGAAAATAATGTTTTTTTCAGTAATTTTAATTAAAAACTTGGAAAATACTTGAATTAAACAAAGAATTTTTTCAAGTTTTTAAAAATAATCTTGTCTCTTTATAATTATAATTGAAAATTGGATTTTTCAATTTTATTAAAATTACATTGATAATAATTGAACTTCTGCAAAGAATTTTACTATTTTTAAAAATAATTGAATCCTTCCAAAGAATGCTATTATTTATGAAAATAATTTAATTCTTGTGAAGAATTTTATTAAAATTTTTGAAAATAATAAGCAGCAATAATTAATTCTTTACTTAATATGTAATAAACATTTAATTTGCTCAAGAAATAAATAAATATCATTTATTTGAACATTCAGAAATTTGAAATGATAAAAATTTAAGAGAAGTTTAATAATTATAATTATTAAATAATAATAGAATAGTATAATTTTTAGAAGCAAAAAATTGATTTAAAACTGTAAGAGGGACTTTAAATTTTAAAAATAAAATTATAATTATGGTCACTAACTTCCCTTGATTATTTTCGAAAAATTTAAATAAAATTCTTTAAAAGAATTCAATTATTTTTCAAAAAAAGTAAAAAAATTTCAATGATTTGTTTAGAAAAATTCAATTATCTTGAAACAATAGAATTGAAAAATTACAACAATTTTATTTTTTAGACAAAAAAAATTTTGCGAAAGTTTAATTTTATTAAACAATTTTAAGTATGTATATTTTTTTAAAATAACTAATAAAAATTTTAATTATTAATCTTCGGAGTAAGAAACATGAATACATTAGAATTTTACTCTTTATAATATTCAATTATTAATCAATTATTAAATTAAAATACTTTGAAAATTCTATTTGTTAAAAAGTTTCTAATGAATTTCTTTAACAAATTTAATTACATATTTTCAGTCGAATTTCACAATATTTCTATTAACTCCATAATTTTTTTTAAATTTATTTACATAATATATTTGAATTGGTAACTGATTTTTTATCATCAAATTAATTATTTTTAACTAACTTAAATTTAGAGAACAGTATAAATATCTATAAAAATTGAAATAAAAATTGATTTTTTAAAAACAAATTAAAATAATAAAACTTTTTTAATTTTTGTGAAAAAATTCCCGGTTCGGTATAAAATTCCCGGCTAATTCCCGGTTTTTCCCGGTCAAATAAAATTCCCGGTTATTTCCCGGTTTTCCCGGAATTCCCGGTTAGTAGACACCCAAATTAAATCAATTAAATCAATTATTTTCAAAATTATTAGAATTCTTCACAAAAATTTAATTATTTCAGAAATAATTAAATTTTTGTGAAGAATTCTAATAATTTTGAAAATAATTGAATTTGGGAAAGAATTTTATTAAAATTTTTGAAAATAATGTAAAATTGACAAATAAATTTATTAAAATTTTTGAAAATAATTGAATTTTGAAAAGAATTTTATTAAATTTTTTAAAAATAATTCAACTTCTGCGAAGAATTTTAATACTTTGGAAAATAATTAAATTCTTGTGATTAAAATTTTTATTTATGAAAATAATTCAATTTTGCCAAGAATTTTATTCAAATTCTTATAAATAATTGAATTTGGGAAAGAATTTTATTAAAATTTTTGAAAAATAATTGAAGTTTTGTATAGAATTTAAATACTTTTGAAAATAATTGAATTCTGGTAATGAATATTGTTATTTATGAAAATAATTGAAGTTCTGTTCAGAATTTTATTATTTATGAAGATAATTGAATTTTAGAAACAAATTTTATTGAAATTTTGGAAATAATTGAATTTCTACGAAGAATTATGAATTTATAAAAAAAATTGAGTTTTGAAAAGAATTTAATTAAAATTCCTGAAAATAATTTAATTCTTGGGAAATTTTTATTACATATTTTTAAAAATTAATTGAATTTTGCAAAGAATTTTATTAAAACTCTTATAAATAATTAAAGTCTGGTAATGAATATTGTTATTTATGAAAATATTTGAATTTCTACGAAGAATTTTAATATTTTTGAATATAATTGACTTCTTGTAATGAATACTGTTATTTGTGAAAGTAATTGAATTTTGTAGAAAAATTTATTAAAATTTTTAAAAATAATTGAATTTCTGCGATAAATTTTGATACTTTTACAAAAATAATTGAATTTGGGAAAGAATTTTATTAAAATGTTTGAAAATAATTTATTTATACGAAGAATTTTAATATACTTTTGAAAATAATTAAATTCTTGTAATGAATATTGTTATTTATGAAAATAATTGAATTTTGCCAAGAATTTGATTAAAATTCTTGAAAATAATTGAATTTCTGTGAAAAATTTTATTACCAAAATAATTGAATTTTGCAAAGAATTTTATTAAAATTCCTGAAAATAATTGAAATTCTGGAAAGAATTTGGTTATTTATCAAGATTATTGAATTCTTTTGAAGAATTGAGTTAAAAATTTTGAAATAATTAAATATATTTTTAAAACTTCAACTAATTTTAACAGAAATGAAATTTAAATTTTTTTAAAATTTTTTTAAATTTGAATTATTGTCAGAATTAGAAACAATTGATGGTTTTGTATTAGAATTCGTCGTAATTTCATATTTTATGAGGCAATTAAATAAGATACCAAAATTCTAAAAATTTAATTTTTTTACAGTACTTTTAATAAAATTTCCTACCTTTCTCCTAATTTCCCTGACCAATTGCACTTTCCCCAAAATTCCCTAATTTGTGGCAACCCTGATAAAAAAATGAATTTTTGATTTAAACAAATAAATGATTTTTTATGCTTTTCATATGTATTTAAAAATTAATTTTCAAGCAAGAATATCCATTCAACTTAAAAATAATATTCTGAAATTTTATCTTTCATTTTGCCTAAAGAAACTAATGCAATAACTATATGAAACATTTCAAGTTTCCACTATCGGCATGTTAACATTAACGTATATACATCCAAGTGTTTATAATATGTGTACGACAAAAAATATAATTGACTGTTAAGTGTAATAATTTTTTTTTCTTGTGAGGACGGCTAAATAGAGAGTGTAAACATCTTCAAGCAATCGTGAATTTAAAATACGTGAAAACACGAGCTGAAAGGTTAATAGGAATTCGATTCTAATAGTGATTAAATAAAGAGAAAAAAAAGAGAAATAATGGTATTAGCTGGAAACTTACTTGTAAGCATCGGGAAGGTCATCGGTATGGATAAGACCCATAGGTGGGTGTGGAGCCTGACCCTCGCGAGGGGTAACGTTCATGACTGCAACTACACGTTCAGCTTCAACGTTTACTTCACTCACACAGACGCACACCAGATCATTGGCCATGTACCCTCGTGTCACACCTTTCTTGTCCACCGCCGGCACTGTGGCCGTATTCAAAATCAAGGCCTAAGGAACAAAAAACGATTTCATAGAAATACTTATAATTAGAAACAAAAAACACAAATAAAAAACGATTTGATGAAACAAATAGAAAATTAACGATACTTTACGTTATTTTTACTTATTTACTCATTAATTCCTCAAGTTTTGAACGAAATATTTTTTATTGACGATATTTTTATAAATATCAATCACAAAAAAATTTAAAAACTGAAAATTTACGTTTAGAAACTCAGTAATTAATTTTTTGGATAGTGACGCAAAATAATTGCAATAAAAATTTAATTTCTCGAAGAAATAAATAAATTTCCTTCATTTGAACGTTCAGAACTTTAGGATCTTCAATTTTTTTTGTTACTCCATTTTGTATTTTATAAAAAAAAATTATTTCGTATTTAAAGTTAATTCAAACTAAGTAAATATTTAATTTACATATTTCTTTTACTTCCATATTACTATTTCAGTAAATATTTAAACAGAAAAAAATTTCCGTTTAAAACTTGAATTATTTTCAAATAAGTTTTTGATATTTTAAAAATATTTTTCTTCAAAATAATAAAGAGAAGTATTAAAGTGCTTCGAAGTAATAAAATTTAAAAAATCGTAAAGTTTAATAAAATTTTTAAAATCATAAAATTTATTTCAATAATAAAAATATAATCATTTCTGAAAATCACAACTGTAATAATTCTAAACTTTTACTATTTTCTAGAATTTTGGACTAAATTCAATTTAAAGTTTAATTGACCCGTATGTTAATAAATAAGAGTAATAAAATCATTATTTATACTACTAAAAAAATTATTTCTAAAAACGGCTACTATGACTTCACCAAAATTCAGATTATAGAATTTTTTTAAATTTTCTAGAATTTTCTATAGAATTCTTCCCGAAATCAATCATTTTTAATAATTTTGAAACAGTTCTTCAAGAGTTTAACTGTTTTTTTTTAAATTCACTTAGAACTCGTATAAAATTCAATTGTTCTCAATCTAATATTACGAAAATTCGATTATTTGTAAGTTTATTAATTAAACAATATGCATTCGAAAATTTGATTAATTTCAAAAATTTCGAACTATGTAAAATTTAAAAAAAAAACTAAGTTTTTTGGAATATTTAACAAATAGGGTAGAGTGGGGTAAAAAAGCCATGGTGTAAAAAAGCCATTTGAGTTTTATTTAAAAACTATTAAGCCGATTTATCAGCTGTTTAGAATATAAATACTATTAGGTAATACGCAACTTTTGAATCTAGTTTGAATGTTGTACCTAGATTAATATTGTTTTTATTGTAATTTTAATTTTTTGTTGCTTTTTTGAAAACATTTTGGTGAACTTTTCAAACATATTACAATTTGATTAAGTGAACGAATAATAAAAGTAAATGTTTGTACATAAGGAGAAAAGTATACCGAAAACGTATACAATGTTAATTTTTGGAAATTGAACTGAATTAACAATTTATTTTTGCTTTTTTTAATAACTGGTCTTGGGTGTAAAAAAGCCAGGGCAAAAAATCCATTGAATATTTTGTGAAATTCACTTGTTTTCTATTTAAATTAACCTTCTTATTTTACAAAATTTCTCGTGTTTATTTAATAAAATAAATTAAACACGACGAAAAAGTAGTTCAAAGTGCATTTAAAAAATAAACAGTGAATAAACGGTTGCAACGAAATATGTTATCTGTGGTAAAACTTAAAGAGAACTTCTAAAAAAGGTACGAAAAATTGTCAGTGCAAATGGAAAACAGGTAAACTTAATATAATTTTCAATTTTGCTTGCTAAAAACTCTTTCATAATTATTAGAATACTTTTCAAATAAGACTATTTGTCATATAAATAAAGGGAAACTATAAAAATACCTAAATTGATAACATGTTTTGCTAAAATCGTAGGGTGGCTTTTTCACCCCACCAGGTGGTGCAAAAAAGCCACTTGCAGTGCTTTCGTAAAACTCTTATAACTTAGTCCTTTCATGAGATAAAAAATATTTCCGTCAAGAATTTTCAAGCTTAATAACTAAACTTTCAATAACAATTGGAAATTTGAGAAAAAAATTTTAAATACAGATTTTACAACATCAAAAGTAAAAATGTGGCTTTTTTACCCCACTCTACCCTATAGATTTTGAAATTTAATTATTCCTAACATTTTTTACTAACATGACTCTTCTTCCAATTACTTTGGAAATTACTTCAATTATTTTCTAGAATTTTTAACTAAATTTCTTTTCTAAAACAATTAATTTTAATAACTTTTAAAAAGTTATTCTTGAATTCAATTACTGAAAAAATAAATTTTACTTAAAATTCGGAAAAAATTCAATTGTTTTCAATTTAATATTACAGAATTTCGATTATTCGAAAGCTTTTTAACTAAATAAATATACATTTAAAATTTTTAATTTCGATTAAGTTGAAAAAATTTGAACTAAAATGTTTCGAAAAAATTAAGTTCTTTAGAATATTTAACAAAAGTTACTCAAAATTTAGATTTTTAAAAATTTTAATTCGAAACCTTTTAAAATTTAATTATTTCTAAAAATTATATATATATCCAGAAATTTTTAACTTTCAAGTGAATGAAATATTTTTTATTACAAATATTTTCCTAGATTACTGATTGCAATAAAAATTAAAAACTTAAATTTTACATTTGGAAACTTAATAATAAATATTTTCGATAGTGACGCAAAAAATTATCATAATAAAAAATTTTATTTGAAGAAGTAATAAATAAATTTCCTTTATTTGAACATTTAAACTTTTAGGATCATAAATTTTTCACCACAACTTTTCCAATATTTAATTATTTTCTACGATTTTTAACACATTTTTTTCTAATTAAATTATTTTCAATAAATTTTAGAAAGTTCTTCTAGAATTTAATTATGTAAATAGTATTTTCAACGCTAAAAGATTTGCAAAAAACATAAGAAACCTTACAGAGAAAGATTTGACTTGTGTTTTTTTTCACATTTTGCAAACAAAAAAAAGGTAGCATTTTTTACGAAAAAAAATCGTAATCGTATTTTGTTGCAATATGTGAAAGAAAAGCTGAAAAAAGTCGCCTTTTATTTAAAAATTTTTATTTATTTAAATTTATTAAAATCTTTATTTAAAATTTTTTTAAAATAGGTAGTTGAGAAAAAAATTGGAAAAGTACTAAAAATTCGAGGCTAAAAATTAACTCACCTTAACACCAAGATCAGGAACTACTCTTGGACAATCACTACAGTTGCAAAGAATCTTTAGAAGAAGTCCAGCAGCACTTTTTCCCATTACCTGGGCATAAATAACATCTCCCACAACCAAACTCTACAAAAAAAGAGGAAAAAACATTGATTAATTTTTAAGTAAAACTTTTTTTTATTAATTTGTATCCTATCTAAAATTTTATAAAACTATTTTTTCCAAAAAAAAAAAGAAAAATTGCATACTTCAGTATTGTATATTAGAGATTCTTTATTTTTAATAATCGACCAATCGATGATTTTTTCTGAATTAACCTTTTCGGTTTCTGTTGAATCTATTTTTTTTTTTTTTTGAAAATTAAATAAAATTTAAAAATTAATTAAATCGTAAATATTAATTAATTAAATAATAAACTATAATAATATTAAATAATAGACATATAAACTAAATTGTAGTACCTAAATAAATTTACTAAAAATAGTAATTTTCTTTTAATTAATAAAATTAATTACCTCTAGAAAGTTGCGAATACGTTGTGATTTTTCCATTGTGACGAACGAGTCAAGTCCTGGCATAGTCGCATAAAACTCTGCAAGCAAAAAAACACAAAATTGTAAAATAAAAACATTTTTTAATAGTTTTTTCGATTATCGATCCATTATCAACAACTTTTTTACGATTGAATTTTTATTTTATGGAACCAACACAGATATTTTTCTTTTTCGATATTTCTAGAATTTACTTTTTTTTTCTAGAATTCTCAATATTTTGTTGAATTTATTTGTTCAAATGAAAATGAAATAAAAATAAAATGAAAAAGAATCAACGATTAAAAATATTAAATGTATTTTATCAAGGAAGTAACCTCAATAAAATACTTTTTTATAAAAAAATTTTAATTCATAAGAATAAATTTTATTACCTTCATCACCAAGTTGTTGCTTTATTGGCTCAGCAGTAGTTTCTAAGTTTGTTTTATCATAAAGTGAGTCCGCCTTTTTAGCAATAAACTGTTGAAGTTTAAGCCTCTTTCCTCTGTCACTAAAGCTGCACAAAATTAAAATTTTATGAATATTTACATTTCACTAAAATGATAAAGAAAAATACTTATAAACCATTTCTTTTTTTTCTTTGTTTTTTTTTTAATTTCGAAACATTATAAATGTACAATATAATCTATGATAATTTTATGACTGAAAATAACAGAAAAAAAAGAAGGGGGTAGGTATGTTTACTCAATTGCGGAAAACAGAGCCATGAATAATTAATTATTAAAGAGCTATTAGTTCTTGCTGTGACAGTTACATCAATAATTTTATATACATAATAAGGTCTGAATAAGTCAATTATTTTCTTTTCAAAAAAAAGTATCACGTAACATTAACATTAAAAATTATTTACTTTGATCTAGTTATTAAAAAGTTGTAAAAAGAACATTAAACTATTGTGAAACTTAAAAATTAAATTAAAATGAAATTAAAAGCATTGTATTGCATGACAAAATTTAAAGTTGAATTCACTTCCAAGATGAAAAATGATTTCCTAATTATGACCTAATTTAAATAGAAGGTTAAACAATTCTTAAACATGACAAAAGTTATATGCCACTTGTAATCAAACTGTTTTTAATTTTAAAAAACAATTTTAATTTATTTTGTTTGCTTTAAAAGAAAATCCTAAAATGTTATTTAAAAAAAAAGAAAATATATTTATACTCACAAGAAAAAAAATTAGAATTTTTGAAAAAAAATTCTTACATATTTAAAAAAAATAGTTTGCTTCTTTAAATACTTAAATTAAGTCGATAGATAAATTACCTTATCTTTCGTTTACTGAACGTATTAAGTTTTTTTAGTAGACCTTCGAAATATTTTCATGTCAACTTATAAAAAATTGAAAACTTGAAAATTTACAAGTGGAAAATAACCATAAAAGTATTGGGTATTAATTTTTGTAGTAAATTAGAAAAATACTACAAAATTTCTTTTTTCATGTTTAATTCATTTTTTTTATAGATAACGCAGCTCAGTGACGTTTTTTCCGTGATATTTTGCAACTAATTTTCTATTTTAGTTACATATTAAAAAATCGAAACCCTGTGAAATTCGCGTTTCCCTTTTAATAAGACTTTGTCGACTTGGGATTCGTAATCAGCGTGAAAAAACCACTTAGAAAAATATATATATATATGTATAAAAATTAGAATAGGAAATCCTGGAAGCTCATTCAACCCATAATTTTGTCAAACAATGTTCGAATGCAAAACACAAATTTTTTTCTTCATTACGCTTTTACTCTCAAAGAATAATAAATTTAAAAAAAATATTCAACCTATAAGAGAGTAAAATTAGAAAATTGGAATAAAATTTGTGCAAGATCATTTGAATATGTTGTGAGAAAATTTAGGAAATGAATTTAACTGCAAGTACCTGAGAGTTTTTTGTCTCTGTTGATAAATTTCAAAACTCGGTTCTTTGAGGTTAAGCATTACAAGCTCATTATCGTTGCGCTCGCTTTCCCAAACTTTCTGCAACTGTTGACCATGGTAGTTTAAGGCTTGCGCTACGAGACGAGCATCCATTGACTCCATTTCCGCTGAACAACCTAACCTGTAATACTGTGAGATTTGATGGTTCATAAAAATGAATAAAAAAAGTTGTGCAAACCCACTGGAACGCAATTTTATATAATTTTCAAAAAAATTCTATCAAAAAAGTTGTCACTCCTATCAACTCACTATCAATATCTAATTTTTTTTTTCAGTGTTCATGCATCGTTTCCAGGACGAATCCCAAAGTCCACTTTTTATCAGATACAAGATCATTCTTTTTTTTTTATTCATTCAGTTTTCTAAGATAAATTGATTTCTTTGCGTTAATTACGAGTCCTCGTGTCGCGTCTTGTAATAAACTGTAAAAAATATATTGACCCGCAAAACGCATCCTATTTTTTTTATTTATTTTACCTGGATCAGAAATTAGTAATATACCCAAGTTGTCAAAACATACCACATGAATATTTGTGATTATAAGGTCACCAGAAATTATTAAGGCGCGATATTGATTTTTCTGCGATAACAAAATGGTCGTAGCAAGAAGATATACACAATTATATAGAAGGCAAAAGACGCCATCAATATCATATCCCAAATGGCCACCATTGCGACCATTCCGCTTTTCGCTGAGCTCGCGTCATCCACTGATTATCAAAAGATGATATACAATTTCACAGATGCTAGAAAAGAAACTTACCTTGAATTTTACAATTACGTTCCGTTGATTTTAAAAACGTAAAGATAAATTAGACTGGGATCACACTTTGGCGATCAAATAATTGCGTTTTTTTTTATTCACTACATTATACGTATTGAGAGAACTCAGAGTTAAAGTCGTGTCAAACTGCGTTGAGCAACGAAACGACTACTAAAATTTCAGTGGGTGGGAACTACAGCACATTTCCTGTTTCATCAACAAAAATTATCTGCGCACAGCAACTGCGCACACGGAAGTCGCGACTGCTTTATCGACGTTGCTAGGTAAAAAAATAAATAATTAATTTCAATGACAATTGACGACGATAAAACTAATTCTTTTTTTTACCATTATAATTATTCAAAAATTAATACAATTTTTCGCAAGAATTTCATTATAATTACTTTTTGGAGCAATTCAATATTGTTTTCAAAACAATTTTAATCAAATTTCTCGAAAGAATACAATTATTTTTAAAAATATTAAATATTAAATTCGATTATTTTCAAGAATTTTAATAATGAATTCAATTATTTTCGACGATTTTGATGAAATTCTTTTAAAAAAATCATTGTTTTCAAAATTCTTAATAAAATTTCTCGAAAGATTATACAATTATTTTTTTTTGGTTATAATTATGGTATTATTTAAATTCAATTATTTTCTAGTGTTTTAATAAAAATTAAATTATTTCCAATAATTCTGATAAAATTCTTCGATAAAATTCAATTATTTTTATAAATTGCTAAATTTTTTGCAAAAATTCAATTATTTTTATAAATTGCAAAATTTTTTGCAGAAATTCAATTATTTTTGTAAATTGCAATTTTTTTTGCAAAAATTCAATTATTTTTGTAATTAATAAAATTCTTCTAAAAAATACAAATATTTTCAATACAATTTTAATAAAATTTCTTGAAAGAATACAATTTTTTTTAAATATTTAAATTCAATTATTTTCTAGAGTTTTAATAAAAATTCAATTATTTTCAATAATTCTAATAAAATTCTTCGAAAAAATTCAATTATTTTTAAAAATTGTAATAAAATTTTTCTAAACAATTCAATTGTTTTCAAAAGTTTTTAATAAAATTATTTTAAAAAATTACATTATTTTTACGAAATTTAATGAAATTCTAAAAAAATAATGTAATTATTTACAAAAACCCTAATAAAATTGTTTGAAATCATAAATTATGAATTTAATTAAAGATTAAATTTAATAAAAACAATGTTCATTGTACAAACGAATTCTTATATTTTTCATAATATACAATTACAATAGATTTAATAGCATTCAATGGGAAATTGTTATAAAAAAGTCTATATAATACACTTGTGAAATATTTAAAATATGTACCTTATTTCCCTTTTCTATTTACAAATATTTTTTAACTCTTTTAAGTCTTTTTACGCCTGAATGTTATTATGCATATAATTAAAATAATATTGCCTTTTAAAAATAAATATATTCACCGTAGATCAAGATTATTATTGTATCAAAAAAGTAAAAAAAAAATGATTTAATAATACTAAAATCATTTGTCAAAGTCTTATTCTTTCTTCTTCCTGGATTCAACGGATTTCTTTGGTACCACATTCCAATAATATAATAATTGTGAAACAATAACAGCATTTGCGGATGTTGAACAAATGTACATAATTATCATACTAGCATCTCCAGTCTCTTGGATTGACGTGAAAATTCTTGCGAGAGAACCGAAAAAAAGGAGAAAACCAGTTACGGCAGAAAGTTGGCCGGTACTGCCATTTAAATAATTCGTTCTTGCTTGGATAAACTGAAAAATGAAATGATATGTTTTATTATTAATTTATTCAGTATTTTTAAAAAAATGTAAAAAAAATAATTACTATTATTTTTTATTTTCAAACGATTTAATAAAAACTCGTTTCAAGAATTCAGTTATCTTCGTAAATAATATAAAATTCTTCGTAGAAATTTAATTATTTTCATAAATAATATAATTCTTTACAGGAAGTAAATTATTTTAATTTAATTTTAATAAAATTTCTCAAAAGAAATCAATTATTTTCAAAAATTTTGACAAAATTTTATTAGTATTATTATTTCTGAAAGTAATTGAGTTCTAATGAATAATTGAATCACTTTCAAGAATATTAATATAATTTTTCACAGAAATTTAATATTTTATCAAAATTTGAATGAAATTCTATTAAAAAATATTATAATCAAATTCTTACTATAAATAATCTTCATAAATAATAAAATTCTTAGCAGAACTTCAATTCTTTTCATAAATAACATTATTCATTAGCAGAATTCAGTTATTTTCAAAAGTATTAACATTCTTCGAAGAAATCAATTACTTTCAAAAATTTTAATAAAATTTTTTTCCAAATTCAATTATTTTTAAAAGTATTCAAATTCTTCGCAAAAATTCAATTATTTTCAAGAATTTTAATAAAATTCTTCGCAAAATTAAATTATTTTTATAAATAACAATATTTACTACAAGCAGTCAATTATTTTCAGAAGAATTAATTCTTCGTAGAGTTTCAATTATTTTAATAAATAATAAAATTCTTATCAGATCTTCAATTATTTTTACAAATAATCCAATTCTTCGTAGGAAGTAAATTATTTTAATTTAATTTTAATAAAATTCATGGAAAGAATTCAATTATTTTCAAAAATTTTGATAAAATTCTATAAGAAATACTGTTTCTATAAATATTTGAATTTTTGTGAATAGTTTAATTAATTTCAAAAATTTCAATAAAATTCTTGACTAGAATTCAATTATCTTCATAAATAATAAAATTATTAGCAGAACTGAAATTATTTTCAGAAATAATACAATTCTTTGCAGAAATAAAATTATTTTAAATCAATTTTAAATAAAATTTCTCCAAAGAATGCAATTTTCAAAAATTTTGACAAAATTCTTCGAAAAAGTTGAATTATTTTTATAAATAATAAAATTCATTCTAGGAATATTTTAAATTTTTGGAAAGAATTCAATTATATTCTAAAATTTTGATAAAATTCTTTATAAGAATTAAATTATTTTTAATACAATTTTAATTTAAGTTTCTTGAAAGAATTGAAGTATTTTTAAAAATTTTAATATAATTTTTTGCAGAAATTCAATTATTTTGAGAAATTTCAAAAAAAATATTAGCGAGAATTCAATTATCTTGATCAATAATAAAACTTGATAAGAAAAATAAAATAAATAATAATTTTCAATTAATAATTAATTAAAGATAAGATAAATTCCAGAGTTCGAAAGACTAACAATTTTTACGATTTAAATTCAAAGTCAATTAATTAAGATTTTAAACGATGAATATTTTTATAATTTAAAATTTTAATTTACTGAAATACAAACTAAATAAAAATATTTTAAAATTAGTTTCGATTGAAAACATTATAAAAAGTTTACAAAATGAGTGGAAATTAACAGAATTTTTTTTGTAAAATAATTAGAAAAATTTACATTGAAAATAGTCAAAATTACTAAATTAAAAATCGTTATTTTCAGAGTGAATTTTATAATATAAGTTGTAAATTTTGTTGAAAATTAGTAAAATATACTTTGAATTTAGTATAAAAAGTATTAAAAAAAATTCTAAGTTTAAAAACTCTGAGAAATAATATAAAAAGATTTTTAAGTTTCAAAAAAAGAAAAGTATGATCCTAGCTATTTTTAGAATAAAAATATTTTATCCCTGACAGTTATTGTCACTTTTTCATAGAAATAATGAATAAATAAATACACTTACTCTACTAACAAGAAGAATGGGTATAACCATTGTTTGACCAACCCAAAGAACTTTTAAAGGAACCGAATTGCTAAAAACTGCAGCAATCACTGCCGTATAAGCTGCAAGAAATGCCGATGCTTTCGCAGTTTGTCCATTATAATACATAACAAGCATCACAATTGCTAAAGTTTGAATTCCTAAAAATACTCCATCACCCCAGGCACTGAAAATAATATTTAATAAATTAAAATTACGAGTAGAAGTTATAATTACTTCAATTTTACACAAAAAATTTAAATAGAAATCATTTTTACTTGAAATATTTGAATAAGAATTTTATTATCAGTATTGTCTTGCAAGAAATGATAAATAAAAATTATCATCGCATTGCTGTTTCATTAAAAATTCTGTAAAAGTAGAGAGTTAAGATATAAATTAATTTTTCACTTTGAATGCAATTTTTTAAATTAATTAGGTACATAACATATTATATATATAGAATATATTATAATATAAATAAAAGATGTTTTGATTTATATAATTTTATGGCTTCCAAAAAATATTGAATTAATATATTATAATGTTATTTGACCGAAATATTATATTAATTATTATATTGTAGATTATTATAATAATTATGTTATACAGAATCTTACCTAAATGGAAATTTATTTGCAAAACTGTAAGATATGACAGCGGTAATGGCGAATAAATCCAGAATTACACTGTAGGCATTAATTCCCTGGGCACTTTTATTATTAAGAATTTTAATTATCTGTGGCACTTTTACTGAAAATAAAGAAAATATTATAATAAATCTTATCAGAAGTCATAGGTATGTACGTTTCAACAGTATTTCTTCTTTAAATTAAAATAGAAATTTTTATTTCTACTTAAAAATGGTAATTACTACAGCAATTAGAAGTGAATAAATTTGTAAAGTTAATTTATTGATGCATTTACTTACCAAGTAATGATCCTAGAATAATTGCTATCCCCAATCCTTTGCTAAGAGTCTGTTTAAAACACTCAGCTGAAAAGGGCAAGTATAATTAAATTAATCATTTTTTTTTTATTTTTTTAAATCGTTTTCAAATCCTAATTTTTTTTAAATTGTATAGTTAAAAAGGAATCCTATATCTCTGATTATTAATTGTAGTTAATTAGTCAATTAGTATTTAACTGATTAAACAGATACGGGTGATGTGGCTAATGTAGAGAAAAATATTGTAGAATTAAAATACATTTAAGAATTGAAACAATAAATACAATTTGGAAAAGATTGAAAGCCGTATGTCTACTTACCGTGTAAAAAGTCATATTCATCGAAATATCGTTTTATACATTGATCTGAGAGTAAAAATAAGGCCGCCTGACGTACAACTTGCGCCATTTTGGTTTATAGACTGAATGAGACAATCAGGATCAGGAATCGGAAAATCAGGCCTGATCGGAATTGTTCTGCTACTTATAACGACAATGGAATGCGCACATTTCTGCGCAGATTAGTTTATCATCTGCCAATAAAAAGTAAGGGCGCGAAATTTAAAGAGGAAAAAATTCCAAACTCCCGCCAAAATAATTCTTGATGTATATAGGAAAAATAATTTTCTTTTGTATAAAAAAATATAAATTACAAAAAACTATTTTATCTATCATAATTTATTTTTGATAAAGTAACAAAAAGCAAAAATTTATAGTTGTGGGTATTATTGAAGTCAAATACATTGTTACAAACTGTCATGCAACGTAGTATGTAAACATTGTTTTGCAACATCATGAATCGTAAACAAATGGTATATCAAAAAGATCAAAATCATCTGGTCTGTGAAGAATGATATGGAATATTTTACCTTTTATCTCTACTTTGGAAATTTTTTTTCAATATTTTCAATAAAACTCGGTTTAATTATATGCGAGATTGGCAACAATGCAAATAGACAAAATTTGACAAATTTGACAATTTTGACATTTGGAATTCTAACCTCAAAAAACAGGTGTTTATAGTGTTTTTGCGGTTTTTGCTTTTTGCAGTTTTTGAGTATTGAATATATTGATTATTTGATCGATTAATCATATTTTTCGGAATGGATCCTCTATATAAATGGACTGAATTCTATTTTTCCGAAATGTTACGAATTATGGTAAGAAATACCTTGATTTTAATTGTTACATTCGCAGGTAATACGAATTGTAATAGTTTTCGATTCTCGAGCAAACTTTTTGAGAAAATTCTCTCGAAAAGAGAATTATACTTAGTATTTTATTTTTGGAATTAGAATAAATATAAAAAAGTAAATAGATGACTAAGGAATATGCACCTGATAAAGATTTTTTTATTTTCGGAAAAAACCAACTTCACAATATGCACGACTCATCTGACATTTTTGTTTATTTTCAACCTCAAAATTTTTTAGTTTTTTGACAAAATTTTTAGTAACACAAATTCTTTTATAAATACAAAAAAGGGCAAAAAAATTCAATTTCAAAATTTTTATCGAAGAATTTAAGGTATTTTTTCAGAATTCAATATTAAAAAACTTAATCCGATTTTTTGATAATTACAAAATTATTATGTTCTGTTGGTGTGGAATTACAATTAGAAATTGAGTTATATTTATAAATAATACAATTGTTTACAGAAAGTAAATTATTTTAATTTAAGTGATTTTAATAAAATTTCTCTAAAGAAATATAAATTATTTTCAAAAATTTTTCTATAAGTACTATTATTTCTGCAAGTAATTGAGTTTTAATAAATAATTTAATTATTTCAAGAATATTAATATAATTTTTCTCAGAAATTCAATTATTTTTTAAAATTTCAATAAAATTCGTTTCAAAAATTCAATTATTTTCACAATTATGTAATGAAATTCTTAGCAGAACTTCAATTATTTTCATAAATAACAATATTCATTACCAGAATTCAATTATTTTCGAAAGTATAATAAAATTCTTTGTAATCTTTGTAATTCTTTGTAAATCAATTATTTACAGGAATTTTAATAAAATTCTTTGCAAAATTCAATTATTTTTAAGAAGTATTAAAATTATTCGCAAAAATTCAATTATTTTCAAGAATTTTAATAAAATTCTTGTCTGAATTCAATTATTTTACTAAATAAATAACAATTTTCATTACATAAAGTCAATTATTTTCAAAAGTATTAACAATTTTTACAGAAATTCAATTATTTTCAAGAATATTAATATAATTTTTCTCAAAAATTCAATTATTTCCCAAAATTTCAATAAAATTTGTTTCAAGAATACAATCTCCAAAATTTCAATAAAATTTGTTTTAAGAATTCAATTTTCTTTAAAAATAATAAAATTCTTCGCATAAATTCAATTATTTTTATAAATAACAATATGCATTCAAAAGTATTAAAATTCGTCGTAGAAATCAATTATTTTCAGAAATTTTAATATAATTCTTTCTCAAATACAATTATTTTTCACTTATTTTCAAAAATTTTGATATAATTCTTCAAAAAAGTTCAATTATTATTTTTATAAATAATAAAATTTATTGTAGGAATATTTTTAATTTTTTGAAAAAATTCCATTATATTCTAAAACTTTGAAAAATTTTTATAAATTAGTTTCGATTGAAAACATTAAAAAAAAGTTTACAAAATGGATGCAGAATTAACAGAAGTTTTTGTATAAAAATTAGAAAAAAATGTACATTAAAAATAGTACAAATAAATATTTAATAAAATTTCTAAGTTTAAAAACTCTGATGAAATAATATAAAAAGGTTTTTAAAGTTTTAAAAAAGAAAACTACCTTTGATCTTGGCAAAATTCAATTAATTTTATAAATAATAAAAATTTTCCAGGAATTCAATTATTTAAAATAAAATTTGCTAAAAATTTTTCCAAAAAAAACCAATTTTTGTTTATTTTTAACTTTAAAATTTTTTAGTTTTTTGACAAAAGTTTTAGTAACAGAAATTCTTTTATATTTATACTGAAAAAAGGCAAAAACATTCAAATTCAAAATTTTTATCGTAGAATTCAAGATATTTTTTCAGAATTCAATATTAAAAAACCTAATCGGATGTTTTTATATAATTACAAAATTATTGTTTCTTGTTGGTGTGGAATTACAATAATTATCAATTTAAAAATTACTAATTTAGAAATTAATTAAGAAAATGAGTTAATTTTTATTGTCTAGATAATAATTCTCTTCACACTTTCAGAGAGTGTGAAAACGTCATTGCTAATCTGGAATGTTTCATCGAAGTGTTTTTGTGGATGTTTAACAAATTAAAGAGCAAGACATTAATTGCTGTCTATGAGAGCAGCGATTTTACTCTTTCGAGCATGCAATTGTATCACTGAGGGAAAAAGTGGGTCAGATAAGAGGAGAAGAGAAGGGTTGATTAACCCTTTCCCTGGCTTTGGCCTTTGTACAGTTTGCCTAGATTCGTGGGCATTTGGGTGAGGGTAAAGCAAATGGGACTATCAGGGTGCCTGGCACAACCTCCCAGTCTACCCCTTTTTTTTTCCTCTACCCACTCTCAACCCAGTTGATCCGTTCACTAGGATAAACCGCTACTATCATCTGTCCTCAGTTCTTTAGAACACGCAAATATGTTCAGACATCCATCTCTTTTGTGGCTCTTTTAAATTAAATTTAATATCTTCGAAAAAATTCAATTAAAAAATGTCAATTAATTGGAAAAAACAATTAATAATTAAAAAATTATACAATTAATAATAAATTAATAATTTTAATTTACCAAAATGATTAATCGATATTAAATATTGAATAATTGGAAATTAATACAATTTTAATTAAATGTTCGTGTTCTGTATTTGGTGCTAAATTCACTCAAGTAGATAAAAAAATGTCAAAGGTACAAATTTTCGAAACAATAATTTTTATTTTATTTCTCAAATATTTCACAATTTTTTTTTATTGTCGACAGTAAATTTCATTGTCAAGTAAAAAAATTAAAAAATGTATATTTCTTTTATATTACACAGAGGGAATTCATATTCGTAGATAGAAGTTCACTCAACAGGTTTCATCACACACCCTACGACCCAAATTTTCAATTTTATAATTTCCAATATTCCATTTTTGTTAAATTTTATCAAATTTGCAAATTCGTCCTGAATTTTACTTCCATTCTATTCATAATAAAAATTTTATTTTTAAAAGTTTTTTTTTTCTTTTTTCCTAATTATATTTTTCTATTTTCTTCTGTGACATAATAAAAGGAAAAAAGTCATGTGATCTGTAATGACTCTTGAAACTGTAATTTAAGATTACGTTTCAGAAAATAAAATTCTTCGACAACATGAAATTGTTTAAAACTTTTTTTCTCTTTCTAGGTCGCAGTTGCAGTTCAGACAAGAAAGAAGGGCAATGAAACTTTTCCCATAAATCTAAAAATATACGAAATTACGGGCAATATTTAATATTGAGCTGCACTTAATGAACGGAAATAATGAGAAATTACAATCAAATTTGGAGTCAAGTGGGGAAAAAAAATTGGAGAACAATGAGGAGGAGAAAAATTCGAATAATGAAGTCGTCGTGGATCAAAAATCGACAGTGTTGATAGAACCGAATAATAATAATCCGGAGACGGAGACGAAAATTAATGACGGTTTGTGTAATTAATTCTTGTAATAAGTTTAGAAAAAAAAACCTTCCAAGAGAATTTCACGCTTATAAACAATATTTTAGACGAAAAAGTATTTCACAGAAATGTGAAAGTAGTTTTTTGATTAATAATAATTTACAAAAGAAATATTTGAGAAGAAATTTTTAATTATATTTTTCAAAAATTCTGAACTTTCGTTCGAACGAAAAAAATGATTAACAAGTATTTAAATATTTAGTTAACAAAAATTATTTTTATTGTTCAAATAATTTTACGTCCGTTATTAAATATTTTGTCAAATCAATTAAAATTGATTCCTGAAATTGATCTGATGACAAAAATTATTTTTATTTTGTAGTTTAATTTAGAACTTCGGAAAAAATTTGTTTTTTAAAAAATTGTATCTAATTAAAATTTCTGATTAAATTTTTTTAAAGGTAAATTGCTGAATATAATTTTTAAAAATTCAAGAAACAATTGAAAATTTTGTCAAATAAGAGAAACAAGAGATTTTATAATCTTATAATTTAAGAGATTTTTAATATTTTCTTTATTTTGAAACAAATTTCTTTTTCAGAATTATTAGAAGCAAAAGAAGACGCAGTGAATACATTCATTCCTCCGACACTTGAACAACGATTTTTACGAATTAAACAAATAGTGAAGGACGCAATAGTTGCTCATCATACATTTATGGTTTATGGAAGATCTCGAGTTGTACGAGAATGTTTATTGAAAAGAGGCTGGTGTGAGAAATTCAACCGAAAACCCAATAGTGGTAAAAATAATATACTTAATATACTACTATTTATACTTATAATTTACTTAATTTATAATTGAAGAGTTTTCATACACTTTAGTTGAAAGAAAACTATTTATAGTAGAGTAGGTATAAATTTTATATTTGCCTCCATTCACGTGAATAAAATATTTATTGCCTATATCTCATTAGGAGGTAATGGAATAACGATCTGCAGTGGAAAAATATTTCCGTTTTCTATTCTATTCAGTTATTTTTAAATTAAATTGTTTTTTTCTTTTATTTTCAAAACACAGTATTTGGTTAATTACTTTGAATTAAATATCAGCTTACACTAGTTTACAATTTATTTTCCATTTGTTTTTTATCTCCTGTAAAATCCCTCGATTTTATCGTTAAATTGTCATTCGGTCGAGGTTCTTATTATTCAATATTTAATTTAAAATATTTAATTTAATATTTAATTTTATTTAGTTTACATAATTATTTAATTTAGTTTCATAATACACTGAAAAAAAAATTCGGCAGAATGTGCTTTTTACTCAGGCAATTTTTGCCTAAGAACAAAAGCAATACACGTAAAGCAATTGTTTCTTTTAAAAAAAGGCAATTTTTGCCTTTAAAAAAGGTAAAAATTGCCTTAGTTAAAATTTTTGCCTTTTTTAAAAGCAAAAATTGCCTTTTTTTAAAAGAAACAATTGCTTTACGTGTATTGCTTTTGTTCTTAGGCAAAAATTGCCTGAGTAAAAAGCACATTCTGCCGAATTTTTTTTTCAGTGTATAATTTAATAATTTCCGTTCTTTCAGTAATATTATAAGAAAATTCTATCTAAAGTATTAAAAATTGTCAAATTAGTAAAAATCTTAAATAGTTTATGAATTTTCTTTTTCTAATTAAAAAAAATCCATAAGTTTACAGTTAAAATTTTTAGAAATAATCAATTATTTACTTTTTGTATTTAAATAAAATTCTCGTACAACTATTTGATAAAAAGTGATTTGAAAAAGAATTTCAGTTAAAAGGTTAGAAAATATTTGGAAAATTGGAAGAATTGCAGTTCAAATTTTTAAAAATAATTAAATTTCAAAAGGTTTGACATTGAAAGTATTTTAAAATTTTTATTCCTATAGTGAAGAAATAAATAACATTTAGTATTCAAATATTTATTAAACAAAAATTAATGAAATTTTCAAAATTTTATTTACAAATTCTGAAAAATGTGGTTTTTAAAAAATCGTAATTAAAATTTTTTGAGAATAGTTGAATTTCAGAAATTCAATTAATTATTAGTCCAAAATGAATGCAATTTGGGAAATTTAATTTAAAAATTCTGAAAAAATGAGGTTTTTAAAAAATCGTAATTAAAATTTTCTAAAAATAGTAAGTTAAACTCCGGAAAATAATTTTAAAAAATTGTAAAAAGTAGGAAATTTTCTCAAATTTTATTAAAATAAATTTTATATTTTCAAGAATTGGATTTTCTCACTTTAATAAATTATTTTCAAATATTATTGTATTTTTCGAAGAATTGTAACTAAAAATTTGAAAAATAATTAATTTGTACAAATATTTCTTTATTTAAATAAATCAATATTACTTTTTTAAATTTATTTTCAGAAAAATAATTATTTTGTACATTAAAAAAATTAATTTCTAATTTTAATAAATTTATTAATTTAATAAATGAAAAGAAGGAAAAGAAAATGAAGAATTCTCTAATTTTTCATTTTCATTTATTTCTTTTCATTTTTCTTGTTCGTTTTAGAATATTTTGAAAATACTTAAACAAAAAATATTTGTTCATTTTCGTTAAAATTCATTTAAATATGTCAGGGCAAATAATTGACTTCTGCCTTAAATAACTCATTTACTGAACTCAATATCTAATATTTAATTAGATTTAATTGGAAAATATTATAAAATTCCTAAAACTGGGTTAAAAAACTAGAGCATCTTAATAAACGTTTTTATGACTCTTGTACAAAAGTTTGTCCTTTGAAATTAACTAAAAAAAATTATAAGCACGCTAGCAAAATTTTAATTTGACAAATTAGACTTCATGTTATCTAACAAAATATATAAGAAATGCATATTTAGTTAAAATTAAAAGAGACAATTTGCATGTCAGATTAAAATCGCTATTTATAAGTTCTAGTACCAGAAATATTCCAGTTCTTTTTATCTTAATTGAAAAGAAATTTCTTCCTATATTCATAACACGAAATTAGTTTGATTCACAATCAAATTTAATTAATTAATTTTTTTTTTTGCAGCGGAACAATTTTTAAATGTGGATTCAAGTCCAGTTGCTCTCCTATCGGGAATTGGAGATCTCAAGGATCAACAAAGTGAAAAACAATTAATTTCCAAGATGCTCAGCAATCATCCCGTGGACTTTTTATGGAATGCAGGTTCAGAATGGCCATGCTGGCCGTCGCAGGATAATAAGACGACAATTTTTAACCGATATTCCAGAGCTGGTTTCACGTCCAAGGTAAAACTCGAAGGGTTTTGATATTTTTAATTATTAAAACTTGGAGAATAAAGAAAAAATAGAGTATAGCGAATATAGTTTTTAGTTTACTTAAAAATCAGTATGAATTTAATTAAAATTAAAAAAGCTTTAATTAAAAATTAACCAAAGTTTGAAAATTTTTTTTTTATTTTTGTGCCATAAATTTAATTTGAATTAAATTATTATAATTTAAATTCAATTTAATTAGAATTTAATATAAATTTAATTTAATTAGAATTTAATTTAAATTTAATTTGATTTGAATTTAATTTTTAAAATAAAACAATTTTTTGATTTTATAAACATTGATACTCGGGGGAAATGGTAATGAGGGATGAAAATTAATTAAATTCACATTTCGTGGTCTATATTGCTCGAAGAGGGTGAACGTCTTATACAGTTAAATTTGGGGTGCGAAGTAGAATTACATTTTTGACGTTAGGGGAATTTTCGTGCACGTCAAAGAAATCGTGTTCATAATTGGACCATAAAGAAGGTAAACTTGTGAAAAATCAATTGCTCAGGTGGGCCTGTGTTCGAATGTTAGGCAAATGCATTGGTATTATGAAGCAGGTGTGGCGAATACACTTTTTCCACGATGCTATAACTTGTGCCAAAGCGATCAAATGCACGCTTTCATTGAAGATTTCCGGTAAGCGAATCCTCAATAATCTCTAATTATCCAGTAAATAAATTTAGCATTCTCAAAAAGAACGATTTAAAAAATTATTCAAAAAAAGTATTTAAAAAAGTCTTTAAAAAAGTATTTAAAAATTATTTGAGTAATTATTTCAAATTTTGTTAAATTATTTTCTTCCTGAAAAGAAAATGTTGCGAAAAAAATAGAAATAGTTTATTTAAACATTTTTCGAATAGTAAATATTTTGAAACAATTTGGAATATAAATTGCAATGTTATAATATATTGATAAAAGAGAAAAATTGTTTAAGAATAATTTTTCTCTTTAAAAATCTCAATTTTAAAATTAAATTTAAAAATTTTTTAAATTGAGTATCATTTTTCTAACGACAAATATGATTTCAGATTGACAGCGTGTTTTGGATTGCTGAAATGGTTGGTTGATAAAATCAACGCCGAGGGTGAAAATTCCGCGAGGTCACCAACAGGCACGATACCTTTGAAAGCGTTAGATTTCGCTATAAGAAGATGTAGCGATTATATCGGCGCTCAATCACATGAGGATATTGATCAAGAATCCGAGAGGGTATGGTCACATCAATGGGACCAATTTATCTGCTGGTATTACAAAATTATTCAAAATCAAGCTCTCTTTGTTCGCAACAATGTCCCCTTTCAAGTAAGCTCATGAAAAGTTACTTTCAAGTTCCTCATTCATTTATTATTTATTCATTTCGTCGAAAATTCATTTACGTTTAACGAGCGTTTCAACAAAATCGCATATAAATGTTCAAATGAACGAAAATTTACTATTTTTCAAACTCAAATTTCATTACAATTGCGACAAGAATATGAAAAAAAAATTATTGCGTCAAATATAGAAAAAGAATAAATTATAATTAAAGTATTTTTTTTTTTAGAAAATAGGTAAAATTTTTTTTGAACTAGGTTTCAAGTTCACAAATAAGCCAGAGTTGCCACAGGTCAGGGAAATCAGGGAATTCAGGGAAATCAGGCAAAAATTAAGGGATTTTTATTAAAAGTAATAGAAAAAATTAAATGTTTCGAATTCAAAAGAAAATTCTGAATTTTTATACAAAACCTTAATATTATTTAATTATTTCAAAAGTTTCAACATAATTATCTCGATAAATAAGAAAATTGTTTACAGAAATTCAATTATTTTCAGGAATTTTAATAAAATTCTTTGCAAAATTCAATTATTTTCAAAAATAACAATATTCATCACTAGAATTCAATTATTTTCAAAAATAATAAAATTCTTTAAAAATTTTAACGAATATCTTGTTAAGAATTCAATTATCTTTACAAATAGCAAAACTTTTCGCCAAAAATTCAATTATTTTCAAAAATTTAAATAAAATTCTTTACAAAATTTCAATTATTTTCAAAAGTTTTTTGCAATTCAATAATTTTCAATATTTACTATTTTCATAAAATTTAGCAAAAGATTTAATTATTGAAAAACATTTTTGATATAATTCTAAAAAAATATTCAATTATTTTCATAAATAATAGAATTTCATTTAGGAATTCAATTATTTTCATCGCAGAATTTCAAATTTTAATACAATTTTAATAAATAAATTCCTCGAAAAATGCAATTATTCTTAAAAATTTTTATTAAAACTTGACGAAAGAATTAAAATTTTAAGAAACATTCAATTATTCAATAAAATAGTACAATTCGTTGCAATAATTCAAATATTTTCATAGATAATTTTTAATTCATCGCAGAAAATCAATTATTTTCAAAAATTTTAAGTAATTTTGCAAAAAAATTCAATTAGCTTGATAAACAACAAAATTCTTCCCATAAAATCAATTATTTTAGGAAATTAAAAAAAAAATCTTTTCCAAAATTCAATTATTTTAATAAATTTTTATTTAATATATTAAGTTTTCAATTAGTTTCAAAACTTGTTATAAAATTCTTTAATATAATCAATTTCATTAAAATTTTAATTAAATTCCTTAAAAGAAATTAAATACTTACAAAAGTTGTTAATAAAATTCTTCGTAAAATTTAAATTTTAAGAAACATTCATTTACTGAATAAATTATTTATTTTTTTATTTAAATAATTAAATTCTCGTAGAAGTTTTTGATAAAAATTGATTTAAAAATGAATTTTGGTGTTTTTAAATAATTTTACAATTAATGAAATTCGTAAATAAATGTAATAAAACCTTTTTTTTTTGAGTATCTAATCATTTTTAGACTGAATCAGAATATCAGGGAAAAGTCAGGGAAAAACAAAATTTAATTTTATTATAATTGCGTCAAGAATATAAAAAGAAACTATTGCGACAAATAGAAAAAGAATAAATTATAATATTTTTAGAAACAATAACATTTTTTTGAATTACTTTCAAGTTCACAAACATAACGGAATTTTTTTATTTTTACTTCAAAATTCAAATTTTATTATAATTGCGTCAATGATATAAATAAATCTATTGCGTCAAATATAAAAAGCATAAATTAGAGTTATATTTTTAGAAATAATATCGACATTTTTTTAAAATTACTTTTAAGTTCTTTCTCTCATTTATTAATATTTTATCAAAAATAATTTACGGTTAAACAACAATAATTCGAAAAATAGTTCAAGGGAATGGAATTCATTTATTTTTTCTTCGAAATGAAATTTTATTATAATATTGCGCCAAATACAGAAAAAAACGATTGCGTCAAATAAAAAAAACTATTGTGTCAAATATAAATAGAATAATTTATAAAGATTTCAAATAGTTATTTTCGTTATTTCTTTTTCAGACCTCGGATCGACTTTAAGGTGCAAAAAAAAGTCGCTTTAGTCGATTTAAAGTTATTTTTAAGTTATTAATTAATTTTCAAAAAATTATTTAATAAAGAAATTTTTAAAATTAATTTTTCATTTTTCATAATTTATGAAAGATAATATAGTTTTTCAATTATATAGAATTGAAAAATTTCCAAACAATTGAAATATGTTAAATTCTATTAAAAAAAATAATTGAATTTTTAAAGAATTTTAATTATTAATATAAACGCGATATACTCCAAAAATTTTAGTAAATCTAAAAAAGTCATATGTTGTTAAAATGTTAAAAATAATTGTAAAAAATTTTAATGTTATTATTTTTTGTATGTATTTGAATTTTTTGGAAATTTTTATTTAAAAATATTGAAAATGATTGAATTTTAAAAAATTTGAATGCAAAAATTCTAAAAATTATTTTTATCAAAAATATTTTAATATAATTTCATTTGTAGCTATTTTTCATTAATTACCATTTTTAAATTTACACTTGAAGATTTCTCATTAAAATTTTTGAGAAATCAATTATTTTCAAAAATTTTTATCAAACACTTTTGAAAAAAAAACAATTATTTTCAATTAAATTTTACAAAATTTCAATTATTGAAACTCTTTTTTTTGTAAATTTTGAAAATTTTTATGGAAATATTTGAAAATATTTGAATTCTTTCGAGAAATTCAATTAAATATGTTTTGAAAATAAAATTTTTTTATCGGGAAAAGAAATTTCGTTCATTTGGAACGAAAGCAAAATCGAAAAATTCTGTTTGATTATTTCTGACGAATTTTTCATTCCCCATTATTCGTAAGATATTAAAATGTTACCTTATTTCTCTATTTAATTTCGTATAATTAGATAATATTTCTTTTGCAGAAATATTTCCTCGCCTCTCGACACATTTTGAAAAAGGCGAAAAAATATTGGCCTCAATTGGACTTGGACGGCACTCTAAATATTTGGATTTTGAAACCGGGTTATAAAAGTCGTGGACGAGGAATTGTATTGATGAATAAATTAGAGGACGTCTTGGTAAAAGTCAATCCAGCAAATAAAACCGATACTCGTTTCGTTGTTCAAAAGTATATCGGTGAGAATATTTTCTTTCTTTGAATAAAAAGTAAAATCCTATTTAAAAAAAATTAATTTTGCTAATTAATTATTTTAATTTATTTGGAATTTTTCAGAGAGACCACTTTTAATTCACGATACAAAATTCGATATTCGGCAATGGTTCATGATAACGTGTGCTCAACCCTTAACTTTATGGATGTACAAGTGAGTGAAAAAGAAAAATTTTCTTCAAATCAGTCAAAAGTCAAGGAAATAGAAAATCTACTTTTACTGACAACTGGGAATAAAATAAACGACTTTTTCTTTTTTTTTTTGTACTTTGAATCGTCTCGACTTTTTTTTGCTGCAAAATTATTATAGACAAGCAAAATTATTTTTTTCGTAGATTTTAATTTTGTTCACAAAAAGTACAAAACTCTGGGATCTAAAAAAAACCAAACGAACCATAATTATAGAAATTTAAGTTATGATATTTTTTTATAAGTGCGATGCATTAGAAAATTTGCATTTGGGTTAATTAGACTAACAATTAGTTTGGAGTTTGTACCGTTTGAACGACTATATTTAGAATCGGTTTCTGCTTACGGAAATAATAGGTTGTGGCCAATGAGTAAATCAATGACTGTTGTTAACCCACTTATGAAAATTGCTCTAGTCCTATCAGATTATGGTTTTTGTAGAGATATACATATAAGTATGTTTAAATCATTGAAATTTATATCTTAACAATAAAAACACGCAATATTTATTTTTTTTCCAGAGAAAGTTACCTGCGATTTTGTTCTCAAAAATTTACACTATCTGATTTCCACGAATCAATTCATCTCTGCAATCATGCAGTGCAATGTAAATATACAAATTGCAATGACAGGGATCCTTCACTGCCAAATGACAATATGTGGGACGTGGCGACTTTTAAGGAATTTCTAAAGTGAGAAATTTAAAAATTGATTTTTACTTTTTAAATTTGTAATTTTTTTATTTGTTTTAACGTCCGTATTTTTAATTTGTTGATTGATGAAATTTTAATCAAACAATTTTTAAAATTGTTTATTATTTGCAATTTTTGTTTTACTTTCTCATGGAGAAAGGATTTTTTTTCTTTAATTTAACATTTTTTTCTAAATTGGAATTATTTTACAGAAGCAAAGGTCACAGTGAAGCTTGGGACGAATTGATATATCCGGGAATGAAACAGGGTTTGGTGGGCTCGCTTTTGGCCAGCCAAGAGGCGATGGATAGGAGAAGAAATAGTTTTGAACTCTATGGCGCTGATTTTATGGTAATGGACGATTTTTCCGTTTGGTTGATTGAAATTAACAGTCATCCGGACATGAGTTCTTCCAGTGCTGTTACTACTAGACTGTGTCGACAAGTAATGGAAGATGTTATAAAAGGTATAGAAAATGTTCAAAAAAAATTTTAACACTCGAAAAATTGTTTAGAAACTATAGAAATATTTCTATTTGTAAAAATACAATTAATTAAAATATGTTTCTTTTTTTGATTTTTCAGTTGTCATTGATTTTCGAGAAGACAAAAATGCGGAAACGGGACAATTTGAATTATCCTACAAGCAACGAATGCCAAGTTGTCAACCTTATTTAGGAGCTGCTTTATCTTTACACGGAACGAAAATCACGCCGTACGATAGAAAACCCGGTTCTTCGCCTCATGATTCAAAATCCCACATGTCGAAATCACCGATGGTAAATTTTAATTCTTTTAATTACAGAATATTAAAAAAATAGTTAATAATTTTTCATTTAGGTTGAATATTTTTTTTGTCAATTTCAGGTGAGTTTATCGCAGAAGAAATCGAACGTTCAGAGCCATATTGGTCCGATTATTATTGATCTCATCGAGGAATTAGAAATCCAACTGGATCAAGAATTCTCCTCTTATTATAAAGAAGAATCTCAAAAGGATACACTGCCAATACTTGAGGTTCCTCAAAAATTATCTGAACCTGCGCTTACGGAAACAAGTGCAAAGAAACTTCGTCCTATTGCAACTGCTGACAATCAAATTAAAATTAGAACACCGATTTCCCAGGTGATTTAACTAACAGTTATATTTTTTACAATCAATCGAAAAATCCAATTAAACTTTCAATTTGAATATAATTTTTTTTTAACTTTGAATTTTAATTTTCAATTTTAACTTTGATTATTTTTTAATTTCAGACGAATTCATCGAAAAGTCGAACACAATATAAAAATCCGATACAAATTTCTAAATCTGCCTCGCCCAGTAAGTGTTCAAAATTATCATCGAAAAACAGGAGTAATGACGAAAAGGTAAATTTTTAATTGAATGCATTTTTTTCTAATAAATGTAAAAGAAAAATTACCATAGTAAGAAAATTTTTTTTTTCACAGATAATTCGTTCGGCGGTGAAAAAAGCAATGAAAAAATATAAAAGGAACATTTTACAACCGGAAGTGCCTCAATTGCCATCTCTCGTGTCTCCTTTGCCCTCAAAAAGAAATGCAACGTCCGAAAAAGGGAAAATTCAAAAAAGACAATACACAAAAACGAAAAAAATTGAGGCTGACGTTCATGACATTTATGCTCTCGGTCAAGGAATTAAAGAATAAATTCTCGCTTCCAAAATCACGATGACGTTCAAGCTAAGATACAAAATATTAAAAATCTATATTTAATTATATTAAAATCTATATTTAATTATATTTAAATATATATTAAAATTCAGACTATTTAAATTAGAAAAATATTTTTCTCTAAAGAAATTATAATATTGTTAATACTGCTTTAATTCTATTATAGAAAATTTATTTTTGAAATTTTCCGTCAATAAATTCTATTATACAGTTTGAAAATAGTTTTCAATAGCCGAAGTAATTAAAATAGTTGAGATATTTACAACCAATCTCCAATTTCTCTTTAAAACCCATAAATAAATAAAAAGCCAAATAATTTATTTTATATTTAGGAATAGAAAAATATTTACACAATATTCGTAAATAATGAAAGTCAGTAATTCAGGAAGAAAATTATTTCATTATCGATTAGTAATAATAATCTAAAAAAAAATACTAACGAAAGTGAACGAAATTAAATTAAGTTTAACGACAGTTATATATGCGAAAAGAAAAATTTGCTGCTGTGAAAATAGCAACAAAGTGAACAAAATCAATTGGAAACAAAATGACTGTCGTATAACAAACTTTTCAAATTTTTCTAACAACTCATTTATCTTTCCTTGCAGTAACAATTTTTTTTAAAACCATTTTAATTTGCCATAGAAAAATCCTTCACTTTTCAAGCAGAAACACAGATTTTACACTCGTTGCATTTTTTCCGAAAATTGAACCCGATACTGTTATGGATAAATTTTAATAAATTTTGTTTTTTTTTCATCTGTCAAAATGGCGCAAACTGACTTGAGTCCTACGACTTCAGCTAAAATTACAATAATGAACAAGAAACGAGATCAAACTCCTGGACCAATTAAAACAGAGAAAATAAAAAACATTGATGGTGATGCGAAAAATAAATTGCAACGCACGTTCTTCAATCAGCGAGCGATGAGAAATTCAGTAATTTCATTTTCATTAAATTATCTTCTCTAATTTTCTCTAAATAAATTTAAATTCAATTAAATAAAAATTCAAATAGTAAATAAAATAATTAAATAAAAATTTAATTTAATATTTAGAATTTAATTTAATATTTAATAATTTAATAAAATTTAATAATTTTAGAATAATTAATTATAGTTAGAGGATTGTTATTAACGTTTCGTTTTTGAAAATATTTTCAGGAAAGAAAATATTCGAGTTCAAAGGTTAACAACGTTCCATCATCGAGTACAACGGATTCTTTCAGCGACGAGGAAAACATTAAAAATGTCGTCCGTTGGCTAGAAACACTGCCAAGCAATCAAGAATGGTGCAAATTGGAAGAAGATCCACTCGATCGTCAGGGAGATTTTGGAAAGAGAAAAGAATCACAAACCAAAAATGAAACATATGATTCAGCGCAACCATCAACTAGTTATCAGAAAAATCCTTCCGAATCGAGTAGTTCGGAGAAACCAGTTTCAATAATTAAGGAAACTACATTTAAAAAAACTCCGAGAAAAGTGACTTTCGAAAATCAACGAAGAGAGAGTTCCAAATTAACGACAGATAATCGTTTGAAAAAGAATTCGGACAATATTGGAAAGATGAAAACTTCTTTGGCAGCATCTTTGAGAAACGATCACAGGAGATCGGTGCCAGGTTATAAAAATAAGGAAGAGATGGTTCAAGTCAGAAGACATTCGTATAATTTGAGAAATTTGGAATCGAGAAAAATTAGTGTTATTGATAATCAGGAGAAGATTTCTCGGAGTCGACGAAGTTCTATTAGATGTCAGGAGAATAGAAGACGATCGAGAGATATATCTACAACACGTGGTCTAGAGCAGAATGAACAAAAGGAGGAGAGTTCAAATCCTCGGAAAATGAAATCTCCTTTTACAAAACAGGCCCGAAGTAGCACACCTAGTTTATTATCTGGTAAAAATAGGAAAAATTATCAAAAAATTCTGAATTTTGAAATGAACGAAATATTTTTTCATTGCAAATATTTTCGAGAATTACCGATTGCAATAGAAATCGAAAATGAAAAAATTTTTTATTTTAAAGCAAATTACAAATTTTTTTATTTTTAAATATCAATTTCAATTTTCGAACAATTTCGGATTTAGAATTCTAAAAAATACGCTTATTAACTAATTAATGAACTATTTTTGTTTTAATTTTTGATAAAATTCTTCGAAAGAATTCACATTCAAAAGTTTGAAAAAAATTCTTCATAAGAATTCAATTATTTTTAGAAATGATAAAATTCTTTCTAGGAATTTCAAATTATTTTTAACACAAATTTAATGTAATTCCTTGAAAAAATTCAATTATCAAAAATTTTAATAAAATTCTTCATAAGATTTCAATTATTTTCAGAAATCTAATTTTCTCGCAGGAATTTCAATTATTTTTTAAAATTTGAATAAAATACTTCGAAAGAATTTAATTATTTCAAAAATTTTAATAAAATTCTTTGAAAAAATTCTAATATTTTTAAAAATGTTGAGAAGTTTCTACACAAGAGTTGAATTATTTTCAGAAATAGTAGTATAGAATTTTGTTAAAATTTTTAAAAATAATTAAATTCTTTCGAGAAATTTCATAAAAATTTTTAAAAACAATTAAATTCTTTTAAAGAATTTAATTACAACTGGTATTGAAAATAATTGATTTCTTATAAATAATTCTATTAAAATTATTGGCCACATTTAAATTCTTTCAAAGATTTTTATTATAAAATTTTTTTAAATAATTCAATTCTATAGAGAAATTTTATTGAAAATAATTGAATTCTTGTCGAATTTCTTTATTATTTATGAAAATAGTTGAATTATTTCGATAAATTTTATTCAAATTGCATTAAATTTCAATTTAAATTTTATTTAATTTATTATTTATTTAATTTCTTTCGAGAAATTTCATTAAAATTATATTAAAATAATGAAATTTCTGTGAAGAAATTTTATTGCTAATGAAAATAATTGAATTTTATTATCTTTGAAAATAATTTAATTCTTGTAAAGAATGTTATTAAAATTTTTGAAAATAATTAATTTTTTTCGAGAATATTAATGATAACTGTATTGAAAATCATTAAATTCTTCTGAAAAGTTTTATCAAAATAGAATTGAAAATATTGAATACTTATTAGAAATTTTATAAAAAGTTTAGAAATTAATTGAACTCTTTCGAAGAATTCTATTATAATTTTTTAAAATAGTTTAATTTTATCGCTAAATTTTATTAAAGTTTAATTGAAAATAATTAAATTCCTGCAAAGAATTCAATTTTTTCATAAATAATAAAATTTTTTGCAAGAATTCAATTATTTTCCTAAATAATAGAATTTTTCGCAGTAATTTTAAATTATTTAAAAAAAATTCTAATAAAATTCTTCAAAAGAAATCAATTATTTAAAAAAATTTTGAGAAAATTATTAAAAATAATTAAATTATTTTTTCATAAGTAATAAAATAGTTCTAAAAAATTCAATTACTTTGAATACATTTGAATGAAATTTCTGGAAAGTATTTATTTCGATAAAATTTTATTAATATAAAAAATTTAATTATTTTCAAAAATTTTAATAAAATCCGAAGCAAAAATTAAATTATTTCGTTCATTTGAGCGTTTAAAAAAGATTTTTACTGTTAAAAAAATTGATAATTCGTTTTTTCCAGATTTACCACATTTGTCATCATTCAACTTAAACGAACTCAAAGATCTGGAGGAAAATGACAAAGCATCCGAGAAGGAAGTCCAATATGATAGACGAACAATAATTACACGATCAAAATTACAGAAAAATAGTGAAAATTTCCTCAATTCAGTTAAAGAAATCATAAATAATACTGATACCACTCAAGACTTTATAACTTCACTCAAAAAATGTCCCAAAACTCCAAATGAAAAAATGGACAAATTCATTTCTCGAAAAAATAGCGAAGAATTAAGAAGAACACTGATAAAATTAAATAATCCACTTAAAAGCAAACCTGCCTTTATAAATGCAAAATTAGAAGAAAAATTAAATTCTGAAATGGAAATAACTGTGAATCGATACAAACGATCTTATGCAAACAGAAAAAATTTCTGGTTAAATAAAGAAAACAGTTTCGATCAATTTGAAGAGCCTCCAGAAAAGAAGAAAAAATTATTATGCAAACTTTAATTTTGTTTAAATCCTTCTCAGTATTAAGTTTTATTTTTTTACAATTTTTCCAAAATTTGCAACAGTGTTTCAAACAACCGAGTTAATAATAAAAATGTTTACGCAGTTAATGTTTGTGTTTTAATTTAATTTATTTAAAATTTTTTTTTACTTTAATTTTGTTAATTTATTTAAATTTAATTAATAAATAATAAATTTTTTTATTTAATTAATTTAATTTATTAAATTTAACTAATAAATAAGAAATTTTTTTTATTAATTAATTTATTTAAATGAAATTAATTTGAATTTCCTGCCAAATGATTCATTCGCCATCTGGTGACGAAGTATACAACCACTGTTGCCAAAACAAACAATTTTTCAGTAGTAACTAGTAAACAAAAGTGTCAAAAAGCATACGTGTACTAAATAATACAATTTTTATCAAGAAAACAAAGTGTGAAAAGAGAAAATTAAGAAGAAAATGATTGTGCGAAGGAATATTTTACCTCGAACTGTAAGTGACATTTTATCAGTGAGCTTTATATTGATAATAACTCCTCTCATTTATTGGTTCGAACTCTGGCTAGTGTTACCGGAAATTTATGAATACGGGAGTTTCTTTTACATTTTTCACTTTATTTTCGGCAACTTTATAATGTTAAATATAGTGGGAAACTTTACATACACAGTATTATGCGATACAAGTACGCGACAAGTTCTAGTTAATTCAAGTGAGGCAAAAACAAAAACCGGTTGGAGGTTATGTTCGACTTGTGAAGCATTGGCACCTCCTCGCTCTTGGCACTGTAATATTTGCAATACTTGCATATTAAAACGTGATCATCATTGTATTTTCACCGCCTGCTGTGTAGGACACAAGAATCATCGTTATTTCCTCATGTTTGTTTTCTATTTATTCGTCGGCGCGACTTTTAGTTTTTATTTCAATAATTTCTTCATTTGGCGGAGAATAAACTTTGAATTTCCAATGTCAATTTTGAAGATTGTCTTTCCGTTGGCGATTTTTGTGTTTGGTTTCGATGGATCGATTGAACAGTTTTATTTATTGTTGTATATTGTCACGGTGATTGGAATGTTGTTCACAGGAGTATTGTGTGCCTATCATTTTCATCTTGTTTTCATTGGATGCGTCGCGAACGAAAAGGACAAAAAGAGGTTTACTTACAATCTTGGCTGGAGGCAAAATTTTTTGGAAGTTTTCGGAGATCGGTGGTACGTTGCTTGGCTACTTCCTTATTTTAAGTCGACGTTGTGTCATGACGGAATCACTTGGGATACTCCTGCTTCCTGGCAGGAAAATAGCACTAAGACAAAGTGACAACTTTTTCCAAAGGCCTTGAACTTTTTTGTCCAAAGAAAGTGAAAATGCTCCTATGAACTTGAAGATTTTAGTTTGATATTACGAAGGTATTTATTTGATTTCTAAAATAGTTCATCTTTGTTTAAAGAAAGAGTTTAATATATAAAAAAATTAATACTTGGACATTAATATAAAAAAAAATTGATTGTTTAAGTTTTGAAGTAATTCGAAGACTTTGTTCTTCAATAAAAGTTTGTGTGTGTGTTAATTTTATTAAAAACAAAAAAATCAACGAAAGGAAAATAATTTTTCATGTGTAAATCTTTCAAAAAAGAAAATTGTAATGAGTCTTAAATATACTAGCTATAAGAACAAATTATTGAACTAAATATGTGTGTTTACAATAAATCTAAAGACAGGGAAAATTTTAACATTTTTCGTTTCTTACTGTAAATAATTACAACAATAAAAATTTGGATTGATCAGTAATCTGTATATTCTATAAATGCAAGTACATTGGGCAAAATAATTGGAACGTTCAGCAATTTACAATTACACTTTTTTTTTTGTTACTTCGGAATGTTGGTAAAATAATATTTCAATTCTATCGTAGAGAAATATAGTATGTTAATGAATATGCTCACCGATATGGGTATTAACTTCTTAGAATATAGGTAAATTTTTTGGATCAAGGCACAACATGCTACACTGTTTGTCAACTAAATGAAAAAATTTTCTTTTTACTTTTTTCTCGGTAAAAAACTTGCTACGCAAATTAATAATTAATAATAATAATAATCTCGAAAACTACAATTCCCCCCAAAAAATTATATTATATAACATTCCCTCATCGTTTCGTAATGAAAATATTTTGACAAAGGAATATTTAAATCCTTTTTTTTGTAACATATATAATACGTATGTATCTCAATAATAGTGGATTTTAAAAAAAAAAACTTAACTACATTTTTAACCGCACATTACTTGACGAACAAAATCCTCGTAATTGATATTACCCTGGGAATCTTCGTGTCCTGAGAGTAGAGTTTCGACTTCCTCGTCGCTTAATTTCTCACCTGGAAAAAAATATAAACAAAATGTAAAATTTTTTTACTTGGCAACAATTTATTTTTACCTTTCTTGGGTAAAATAAATAATTGATAATCTCAGGGTTGCCACGCAATCTGGAAAACCTGGAAATGTCGGGGAATTTTATAAACCTTGAAAAAACCTGGAAAAGTCAGGAAATTTTGATCGGAATCCTGAAAAATTATTGTTTTTTAAAGTTATTGTCCTTATTCTTGAAATCTAATTTTTCTTAAATATTTCAAAATTAATTCAATTTTTAAAATAATTGCGTTTACAATTTTCATGGTGAACTTTAATAAAAGGTTTTAATTTGAAATTTTGCAAAATTTCCATTTTAAATGAATCAGAAATTTTAAAAAACCTAGATTTAAAAAAAATTTTAAGAACTAAAATTCAATTATTTTCAAAAATTTTAATAAAATTCTTGTCAAAATTTTAATTATTTTCAAAAACTATCCTCAATTTAGTGATTTTTAAAATATACTACTTCAATAAAAATTCCTAAAAGAATACAGTTAGTTTAAAAAATTTTTAATAAAATTCTACGCAAACATTTCATTATTTTCATAAATAATGAAAAATTTCCCAGGAATTCAATTATTTACAAATTATTTTCACAAATAATAACCATTTTTACAGGGATTCAATTATTTTCATAAATAATAAAACTCATCGTAGACTTTCAATTATTTTCAATACAATTTTAATGGAATTTCTCGAAAAATGTAATTATACTTAAAAAATATTTATTAAAATTTTTAAGAATAATTACATTTTATCAAAGAAATTCAATTATTTAAAAAACCTTTGCCTATATTTTCAATACATTTTTAATTAAATTTCTTCAAAGAATTAAATTATTTTCAAAAATTTTGATGAAATTCTTTGTAAAAATTCAATTTCTTTCAAAATAATTTTAACAAAATTCTTCGTAGAAATTTAATTAATTTCAAAATTCAATTATTTAAAAAGAAATTTTAATAAAATTCGTCTCAAGAATTCAATTATTTTCAAAAGTTATATAATTCTTCGCAAAAATTCAATTATGATTGAAAAATTTACAAAAATTCTAGTAAAAATTTCAATTATCTTTATAAATAATAAAATTATTCTCCAAAATTCAATTATTTTCGAAAATTTTAATAAATTTTTTTGCAGAATTTCAATTATTTTTAATACAATTTTCATCAAATTTCTCGAAAAATAAAACTATTCTTAAAAATGTCAGTAAAACTTGTCAAGAGAATTCAATTATTTAAATATTTCTTGATGAAATTCTTTATGAAAATTCAATTTTAAGAAACATTCAATTATTCAATAAATTTATTTTTGTATTTAAAAAATTGAATTCTCGTAGAATTTTCTAATAAATATTGATTTAAAAATGGATTTCAGTTAAAATTTTAGATTATAATTGAATATTGAAAGCATTATAACGTGAATTTTTAGAGATTATTGAATTTTAAAAAAGGTTTCGAATTAAAATCTTTGAAAATTTGAAATTTTCATACTTTTAATTAAGAATATTCTTATTTTATTGAATAAAGACTTTTAAAAGTTTAAAACTTTTTGAAAATCTTAATTTCTATGAAAAAATAATAATGATTAAATATTTATTGAAAAATAAAATTCTTTAGAATCAGGGAAAAAATCAAAATTTTTTCTGGAAATTAGGGAGTTATTTAATTTTGGTAAAATATAAATGTAATTGTAAAAATCTATAAAAATTCCTTTTTTTAACCTGGAAAAGTCAGGGAATTTGAAAAAAGGAGCAAAAGCGTGGCAACCCTGTAATCTTCAAAAAAAAAAAGTTAATTAATACTTATTTAAGGACAAAGTTAATTATGTAAAAGAGAAATATATTTTTACCGAGTGTCGTGAGAAGATGTCTGAGTTCGGCCGAAGAAATAAAACCATTTCCGTCTTTGTCAAAGTGACGCAATCCCTCGATGAAATCGTCAGCAGTATCAGATGTGCGTGCTTTGCTAATTGCCTGGTAAATTGGCAGGAAAACTTCGAAACTTATTCTTTCATCAGGTTTGTGCTGATGCGTGAATTTTTTAACATCCGACTCCGTTGGATTCTGTCCCAATGCTCTCAGGGCGTCGCCGATTTGTGCAACGTGAATTTTCCCATCTCCACGGCTGTCGAATAATTGAAAAGCTTCCTGAAACTCTGCAAAATAAATTCTCTATAAAGTTCTGAAAACTCTTCATTCTTAATTCAATTTAACGAAATTTATTTATTTCTTATTCGAATTTTCTTTGCAATATTAAGAAAGAAATTCTAAAGATTCTAAACTTGTTATTTTGAATTGTCATCTCATTTTAGACAAAACCGGGTGACAGTTACAGAAAAAGTTCGTTAAAATTAAACAATAAAAATTGACACCAAGATACAAATCACTTTTATGAATCACACTTTACCATCCATTGATGACATCATTCGCTGAGCCAATTCTTGATAACTGAACCCGTACATTTTTAATTATTTTAACTTTGTTATCAAATTACAAAAAAAACACAGACAAAATAATAATAATTAAATCTACAAGAATATCGGAACCCTTAGCAAACTAGCATTTAAAAAAACAAAGCAAGTAAATCAAAACAAAAGAAAAACAATGAAGTCTGTTTTCGAGTTTTGAAAAATTCGCCAAATAATCCGCGTAGGATGATTGCAAGTTGAGTGTCAAATTGCAACTAAAAATCAGCAAAGTTGGAAAAAAAAATATCAAGAATGGTCATCAAAGGACCGTGAACTGCATACCGACGTTCACTTTCAAATAGACAGCCATAAAAGGTAGCCCCTGATGCGAATGCTGTATCAAGGTGTGTCTAAAAAGGCAAAGATACTCTTGACCTGTATTAAACGTCAAAAAAAAGTGCCCCTCTTTGATATCGAGGTCCTGTTTCATTCTCAGAGCATTCACTTACCAGCCAGCTGATCCTCGGAATAAGAAGCCTGCAAACATTCAGAACGATTGCACTTTAAAACACTTGTTACTCGAGAAAAGTAATATTGGATAAAAGACACACAAAAATACAAACCATTTTTCTCCTTTGACGTTCGTTGTGTGTCGGTCTTTCTAACCTATGTGTTCCGTATACCGTAAACGCGTTTTGCTTTTGCCTTTTGTCGCTCTCGTCGCTTTATGACTAAAGTAGTCGCCTCTAAAACCGGAAATGAGTCAGTTGTGTATACAAAAATATGCAGAGTAGACTGTAGGCTGTAGGCATTGATCGAAATTTGTTTTCAGTAAAAATTCCAGTAATTTTTTAACTAAATTGTATAGAAAAAATTGTAGTTTTTTTCTATAAAATTGTAACCTCCGTTTTTCGAACAGAATTTATTTTTAATTCTAATAAATACCGAGAGTGTTAAATTGCAAATTTTCTAAGTAATTTTCCAAGATTCCAAGTCTGAAAAAATAAGACTAATATTTCGGCATTAGAGTCAAAACAAGTACTTTTTTTAATAATATTTACAAAAGGAAAATGTTTGATAATATTAAGCAATATTATCATAAATACTAATAATATTTTAATAACTTTATTTAAGAAATAAAATTTTTTCGTTGATGGAAAAATTATGGAAATATAATTTTTATTTTCCTGGGGAAATTTCCATTTTCTTTTTCTTTTCTTTAATAATTTCACATTTATTTTACAATTTATATTACAAAGTCACAGGATGAATTATAGATACACTTCTAATTTTTCAAAAATTTAATTTAATTAATTAAAATTAATAACAATTAACTACGCAAAGTTTGGAAAAAATTTACACTGAAAAAGGCACTAATTTGGAAGAAAATGTGCAAAATAAAATTATTAATTTATTAAAAAACTTAAAAATTAAAAACAATTGTAAACGTTAATTGTGAATATTTTGATACTTAAATATTTTAATGAAAAAAATTTAAATTCGGTGATTAAAAAAATTATTCAAGGGTATAATTTATTTGCTATATCAACTATATTTTTTCACTATCTTTCTCTTTCTATTATTTTTAATATATTATTTATTATTAATTTTATTATTAATAAATTATTAATTTATTAATAATTAATAAATTTTTAATTATTTTTATTAATTATTATTATTTTTCATCAAATTGTTTGCTTAATGTATTTACAGTATTAACGTGAGTAAAGTTTACAACATTTATTATCAACGATTGAAAAAAGTGAATTTTTTACTCACAAAATATAATAATAAAATTTTACAAATTTATTACTAAATTAATTTTATTTTACAAATAAAAATTAATTTAGTTTCGAAATTTTTCTTTTTCTTCGGTTGATAATAAAAAAACAACAAAAAAAATCTCTTAAGGTAAAAATTTGAATAAAAAGTATTTTTTACTAAAATAATATTTTAAAAACTTAATTTTTATTTTACAAATAAAAATTAATTTACCTAGTTTAGAAATTTGTCTTTTTCTTTGATAATAAAAAAAGCATAAAAATTTCTTAGGTAAAAAATGAATAAAAATTTTTGTTTACTCAAAAAATATTTCACAAATTTATTACTAAATTAATTTTATTTTACAAATAAAAGTTAATTTAGTTGCGAAATTTTCCATTTTTGTTTTGATTGATAATCAAAAAACGACAAAAAAATCTCCTTAAGTAAAAATTTGAATAAAAATGTATTTTTTACTGATAAAATAATATTTTACAAACTTAATTTTTATTTTACAAATAAAAATTAATTTAGTTTAGAAATTTTTCTTTTTCTTTGGTTGATAATAAAAAAACAACAAAAAAATTTTCTAAAAATTTGAATAAAAAAGTACTTTTTAGTCATAAAATAATATTTTACAAATTTATTACTAAATTAATTTTATTTTACCAATAAAAATAAACTTAGTTTAGAAATTTTTTCCTTTTTTGGTTGATAATCAAAAAAGACAATTAAAATTTTTAAGGTAAAGATTTGAATTAAAATACTTTTTATTCTAAATCGTTGATTATATAAACGTTGTAAAATTCATCAACGTGAGAATGAATGTATCTAACTTTTAACTGCATTTATTGATATATTTGATTTAGTTAATCTTAATAGTGAACTGTTTTTTAAAAAAAATGTACTTTCAGTAAAATTTGAGTACTTATTACAAGAATTTTTATATTCTAAATGGAAAAGTTGATTTTAAACAAAATTTTCTTTTAGATTCTAAATTGCTTGTAGCTATTTTTTTTACTATTATTAATGATTTTAAGGCCACTTTCATTTACGTAAATATTAAATATGAATATATAACAAACAACAGTCTACTTGGTCCTCTTAAAACAACATTTTTGTTTTCATACGATATAAACAATCTATATTATTAACATTTCAAATAGAAAATGAATAACGAAAAATAGAAGAAACCTAATTTATATACTAAAATCATTTGAGAATTAATGACCATAAGAAAAATAAATTTTTTATAAAAGTTAGAAATTATTTTTATATAATACTTTTAACGATTAGGGACCTTCTCCATGCAGCAATGTATAAATTGCATTTCTTAACTCTATATTTGGAGAAAAACTTTTGTCATGCAGGGGCTCATTAGTCATTGGACTTGTAAACTTTCCGCATAAGAACCATTCATTTATTGCTGCTCTCTCGTATGTGTATCCATCTGTAAAATAACGCGTAGAATTTAATTCACTATTTATTTTTACTTAACGTTTCTAATTTTAAAACATTAAAAATTGATTTTAATTTAATTTAATTTAATTCACAATTTATTTTTACCCTTTCGAATTTAAAAACATGAAAAATTGATTTTAGTTTAATTTAATTTAATCTAATCCATAATTTATTTTTCCGTTTCTAATTTAAAAAATTAAAAACTTGATTTTAGTTTTAAAGAAAAATTGGAAAACAATTATGTAAAAAAAAGAGACTAAAGTCCGCAACGTTTTCAGAAACCTTTTTTTTTAAGAAAAATAATTCAACTAATTTTTTTCAAGTTTAGAGACTTCATTTCAGTTTTAGAAATTAGAAAAATATTTGAATACCTGAACATTGAACTGGTTCCTTCATTATTTCGTGTGTAATTGGACAGAAAAATTCATGTGGTATATCAGCCTCATCAATTGGTCCAACATTATTAGAATTTTCACGCTTCAGCCAGAATAATTGTTTTTTGAGATTTCCCATTGTCTGAAAACAATTTTTAAACATTAAAAGAAAACTCAATTTTCTCCAAGAGAATTTTTTACACAGAAAAAAATTTAATATCTCACCTCTTCGTCTTCTTTAATACCCAGTTTGTGTATAATTTCATCTTCTGGTATATGCAATAAATGCCTGCCAGTAATTGATGTCATGTGTATATGTTTAATAATATTTGGTAATCCTATTTCCATCAACCATTTTGATATTTCATTGACAGACCATTCAGTAACCTTGAGAGTAATAATAAAAAGTATAATCAACAAAAATAAAAAAATAAATTGGAAAAAATACTAAAAGCATAATAATTAAAAAATAAAAGACGCCAGAAGCTTCTTTGTATAAATTGAAAAAAAAAATGTAGAAATTAAAAGTTCTTCATAAACCGGGTGAAATATTAAAAGTTTTTTTATTTTTCTACATTTGATTGATTATCTACATAAATATATATTTGTGTGTCTAATTTAAAATTATGTTTCTATTAATATAATAAAAAATTATATTTTTATTAAAAAAAACTAATATTATTATGCATAAAAAATATTTTTTTATTGAAAAAAACTTAACTTTGTGTATTTTGTATGCTACAATCATGCATCTAAATTATTACATATAGCGTGGACTAGGAGTCAGTCTTAAATTATTAATAATGTGCTTGTACTTTTTAATTACCCTCTTTGTACTATTTCTCAGTCTGTTTATTAACATTGACTGAGATACTAATTGTTCTGGCAATTTCCACACTAAAAGTCTTTTATCTAAACCGCCTGAAAAAATGACTCATTGTTAGTTACAAAAACTTTCTTTTTTGATTTAATTTTATTTTTAATTTAAATTAATGAAAATTTATTAATTTTGAAAAAATATAATTCGAAAATATTATTCTTCGAAAATAAGAATTGAATTTCTAAACAATTTTTCAAAGTAATAAAATTAAATTCTTTTAAGTATAAAATTGATTTCAATTCCCGAATTATTTTCGGGAATTCCATTATCTTCAAAAGAATTTTAATTACCTACAATTTTTCGAAAACCAAATTTTTTTTTAGAATTTCTACATTAAATTATTCAAAATTGAAATAATTTTTGTTAAACAAATATTTAAAAGTTTAATATTATTCATTTTAATTGAAATTTAAAGTAGTTTCAATGATTTTTTTAAATTTAATTATTTCTAAAAATCAAAACTACTTTTTGGAATTTTCGAATAAAATTATTTTAAAATAAAATAATTTTGAAAAGAAAATAATATCATTTTTTTAATAAACATTTAAAGATTATTATAATACTTTGACGGCGATTAAAATGTTAACAAAAGAATTTAAAAACCTTTAAAAATTTAATTATTTCTTAAAATTCCTGTTATAACGCTAATTGAACATTAGAAATCTTACATTTTTTTCAAAATTTTAACTTAATTCTTTTTTGAATCAATTATTTAACTACAGAAATTTTTGTAAAATTTAATTAATCTACAAATTTTTAGTTACAATTCTTCAAAAAGTACAATATTTAAAAATAATTTTTTAAAGTGAGAAAATAAAATGCTTTGAAATGTAAAATTACATAATTTTATTGAAATTTGAGAAAATTTCCTTCTTTTCAATCTTTCAAATTTAGTTTTAGAAATTCAACTATTTTCAAAAAATTTGAATTACGATTTTAAAACCTAATTTTTTCAAAATTTCTAAATTAAAATTTTTCAAATTTCATTAATTTTTGTTTAATAAATCCCGTGTGGAAAAGTGAGGTGGGCCCACGGTGGGTCCCAGGTGGGCTTCCCAGGTTCTAGGTGGGTCCCAGCAGGGATGGCCCAGGTGGGCGATTCCTTGGCTTGTAACGGTGAATCCAGCCACAGCCCACCTAGGAAAAATCCAGCTGGGGCCCATAGATTTAGTTTTCATTCAAATTAATGAATAAATTGTTTATTAATAACAAATAAGTCGAATTATAAATAAATAACGTTATTATTTAACGATTTTTACTTTTTTTAATGAAATTGTGACCAAAAGCAAATTCATAAATAATATTAGCATATATGTAGAAATTAATATATATCCTTTCATTTATAAATTAAAAATTTATAAAAAAAATTAGAAATTTGTTAATTAAATTATTAAACGGTATATATAATCACTAAATTGCATACTTATACGAATACAATGCAGAAAAATCGGAATAAACGCAAACCTAAGAAACAAATAAAATTTAACGCACGCGGGGATTGAACCTACGACCTACGGACTACTAGACTAACGCCCTAACCACTATACTACGGAGACTAACTACTGAACACCGACGTTGTATTGTCAGTGACTTGTTGATCTGCTGTAATGATTCAATAAAGCACTTACTGACACGAATACACCGTAACAAATAAATAGTTTAATAATAATAATAACAATATTAATAATGTAATAATAAACGATAAATATTCTTAAAATAATATTTATATTATTATGAAAAAAATATATCAATACATTTTTATTAAAAATGTGTTTTTTATTGTTTACAATCATTATAAACATTAATTTGTTGGTCTAAAAAAAAAAATTTTTTTTAGTTTGGACTTAGAAATTTTACTAATTAATTATGTGGACATTACATAAAAAAAAATATTGTGAATACATTTTTGTTAAAAACACGTTTTTTCTTAATCTAAGTCATTATAAACATTAATTTTTTGTTGAAAAAAAAATTTTTAGGTTTGGACTTAGAAATTTTTGCTTATATAATTATTGATGTGGGTCCTCAAAAACTGGGAAGCCCAGGTAGGGCCCAGCTCACGCCCACTTATAATATTATTTCGTCTGACCGGAACCCACCGTGAGTGGGTCAATAGACAAACTCTAAAATGCTTCCGTAAAATGTTAACATGTTTGTCAATTGTCAATTCATGTACGAAGATGACCATAATTACATCAAAGTTTTATTATTAAATGTTAAAGAAAAACTAAACTAATTAATAATTTTAACTGTAAACGATTTTTGTTATTATATATAATAAATTTTACTAATGTTATATTGCAGTCGTTATTGTTTAAATAAATAATTGTTGTTAATTAGTAACTCCTGACACTAGCTTCCAGAAAGATGCAGTTTTTTTCTAATTTTGCAATTAACTAATTCGAACAACATGAAATAAAAATAATTTAAGGTTTTAACAATTCAAAAATTGTTTAAACAAATGATTGTTGTTATTTACTAATTTTTGACACAAAGCACCTAAAAAAATGCAGTTTCTTTTTAATTTTGCATTTAACTGATTTGAAAAGTATGAAATAACAGTATTTTATGATTTAAACAGTTCAGAAATTGTTTAAACAAATAATTGTTATTGTTTATTAACTTTTGATACAAACAATCCAGAAACTTGCAGTTTCTTTCTAATTTTACAATTACTACTACTCTGATTAACTAATTGCAAAATAAGAAAAAACTTCATTTTTCTAGATGCCATGTGTCAAGAGATAGTAAATAACAACAATTATTTGTTTAAACATTTGATAAATTGTTAAAATTAAAATCATAAAACATCCGAATGATTTACTATTTACATTAGTTAATTGCAAAATTAGGAAAAAACTGCAAGTTTCTAAGTTATGTGTATCAAAAGTTAATAAATAACAACAATAATTTGTTTAAACAATTTCTGAATTGTTAAAACCATAAATTATCTTTATTTTATGTCGTTCGTATTACTTAATTGCAAAATTAGGAAAAAAATTGCAAGTTTCTAAGTTATGTGTATCAAAAGTTAATAAATAACAACAATCATTTGTTTAAACAATTTCTGAATTGTTAAAACCATAAATTTTCTTTATTTTATGTCGTTCGTATTAGTTAATTGCAAAATTAGGAAAAAAAATTGCAAGTTTCTAAGTTATGTGTATCAAAAGTTAATAAATAACAACAATTATTTGTTTAAACAATTATTAAAATGTATTAAAAACCGTTATACCTTGATGAGTTAATTATTAAATAAATAAATTCAGCTGGAACAACTTTAAAATTTCGGTAAAACTAAATGTCTGTTAGTGTAGTACAATAAAAGTTTATAATTATTGACAATAATAAATTGTTTAAAATAATAATGATTATTATTATTATGAATTAATTGTAGAATGATTTATTGTGAATAGTTATATTTAATTTTCAGACTTTTTCTATTATAATGTTAATATTTTTATGAAAATGGGAAGCCCAGGTGGGGCCCAGCTGGCTCCCAGTTTTTAACTGGGCTAACTTGGGCAGATTTCCACACGGGATATTTGAATACTTATTTTTATTTATTTGTTCATCATTTATTTGTTACAATTATTGTAATTTTTCTAAAAGTCAATAAATTTTTTATAATTTTTGTATAAAATTATTCAAAACTTTAATCATTTTTGAAGGAAAATAATATATTAATAATTTTTTTAAATAAACATTTAAATATTAGTTGTACTCTAATGGCGATTGAAATATTAGAAATATTTCAGTTTAAAAACTTTTTAAAATATAATTATTTTTCAAAATTTTAACTGAAATTCTTCTTTAAATCAATAATTCAACGATAATTCAATTATTTAAGTACAGAAATTTTTGTAAAATTTAATTATTTTGCAAATTTTTAGTTACAATTCTTTAAAAAAAATACAATAATATTTAAAAATAAATTTTATAATAAGTGAGAAAATAAAATTCTTTGAAATATAAAATTAATTTTCATGAAATTTGCGAAAATTTTCTATTTTTTCAATATTTTAAAATTATTTTCTGGAATTTAACTATTTTTCGCAAGAATTTCATTATTCTCATGAATAATAATATTTTTTAGAATAATTCAATTATTTTCAATACAAATACAATTTTAATAAAATTTCTCGAAAGAATACAATTATTTTGAAAAATATAATTATTATATTCGATTATTTTTAAGGATTTTAATATAAATTCAATTATTTTTAAAAATTGTAAAATTCTTGGCGAGAATTCAATTATTTTTATAAATAATAAAATTTTTCTGAGAAATTCAATTATTTTCAATACAATTTTAATAAAAGTTTTTGAAAAAATATAATTTTTTTTAAATTTTATTTAAATTCCATTATTTTCAAGAGTTTTAATAAAAATTCAATTATTTTCAACAATTCTGATAAAATTCTTCAAAACTTCAATTATTTTTATAAATTGTAAAATTTTTGTCAAGAATTCAATTATTTTTGTAAATAATAAAATTCTCCTGAGAAATTCAATTATTTTCAAAGCAATTTTAATAAAATTTCTCTAACAGGTTCAATTATTTTTAAAAATTGTAATAAAATTTGTCTAAGCAATTCAATTGTTCTCAAAAGTTTTTAATAAAATTCTTTGTAAATTTCAATTATTTTTAAAAATTTCATTAATACAATAGATAATAATAATAATAATTATACAATTTTACCTGTTACAAAAAGCGTTGAGTCTTCAGAAAATGCACAAGACGTGATAAGTCCTCGATGATTTTCGAGTACGTGTAAACATACTCCAGTGTACTGAAAAAAATTGTTTTATCTTAATTTCCTTTTTCGATGTCAAGGAATATTTTTCATTTTCATATTTAAAATTTTTTGAAATACATACGACACTCCAAAGTCGAGCAGTCTTGTCAGTCGCAACACTTCCCAAAATTTCTCCTTGAATCAGAGAAAATCTCACGTCCATAACATTGCCTCCATGTCCCGCCAATTGTTTTCTCAATTTATACGAATATCCATAATCACTGGAGCCTCTCGGTTCGTCATGATTTTCATTAATAATATCGATTCTCCATAATTTCACGTATGAATCGTTTCCACCTGTTGCCAGAAGATACGACAGATTGTCACCGTTCGTATTCGTTGTAAATGTCCCTAAAACACAGGATTTAGCAAATTATCAGAAAAATATTTCTTGTTCTTTTTTTCTTAAAATCTTATTTCTTCTTCTCTTATTTAATAAATTTTGGAAAATGGTTAAAAAAGTTATTTAGTATTTTTTCTAACTATATTTGATAAATTTTAATGATCCCAAAGTTTTGAACGTTTTGAACATTCACATAAACGGAATTTATTTATTTCTTCTTCAAAATTAAATTTTTATTACAATAATTTTGCGTCACTATAAAAAAAAAATTAATTATGTAGTTTTTAAGTGTAAAATTTATGTTTATAATTTTTATGACAATTAGTAATTTCTGTAGGTATTTTTAATAACAAATATTTCTTTCATTTGAAAGTTCAAAATTTAAGAATCATAAATTTTATGAAATAGTTAGAAGAAAAGATAATATACCTGAAGCGGTGAAAATTCCTGTAGTTGGACTAATATCACATCCTTGGACACCTAAATCGTGTCCATCCTTGCAAAACATTAATAAAGCAGACGCAGGATCGTCACACTCGATATCGTAGAATGCCCAGGTTCCTTCATTGCATCCTGTTACTAAATATTTTGAGTCCGGTGTAAAAGCCACCGCAGTCACTGCTTCGGCTTGTCCTCCAAAAACTCTGTAAATTAAAAATAATTTTTCAAAAAATAGTTCAAAGTAAATAGTAATAGTAAAAACTCGAGAGATAAAATAATTTTCTCTTTCCTCTGTATTTTTTTTATTCGTAAGTTTTTAAATGCCTCCAAATAATCAAATCAAGAAAATAAAAAATTCTTCTAAAATATCATAATTTAAATTTAAAAAAAATAATTAATAGTATTAGAAAATACTCGAGAGATAGAATAATTTTTTCTTTTCTCTGCATTTTTTTATACGTAAGTTTTTAAATGCCTCCAAATAATAAAATAAAAAGAAATAAAAAATTGTGCTAAAATATTATAATTTAAATAAAAAAAATAATTAACATAAAATATTTAACATTTTTCGCAACAAATCGAAAAAATAAAAAAATTATTCACTCTCGATTTACAATTACAATGAATTTTGGATAATTGCTAATAAATCACGTTTCAAAAATTCTGAACGTTCCTCTTTGAACAAAATATTTTTTCAATATATTTTCCTAAATTACTGACTAAAATAAAAATCAATAAATTAAATATTTTGAAAAATTTTAGCTAAATTATTTTCTAACACGAATTCCAATATTTATTTTAAACAAAATTTGAAATTAAAAAAAGAAATTAAATAAATTTTGTTTCCTTTTAACATTCGGAACTTTAGGAATAACTTTAGGTCTCATTAGCGTCTATTATTAGATACTTGCAATAGCTATTGAAAGTAAAAAAAAACTTTTGCTATATAAAAGTTTTATAATATAAAAATAAAAGAATAATAATGTTTATTATGAGTGAGAGAAAGTTTAAACAAATATAAATTTAAGGAGCATATCGTATATGAAATGTGTTAGCCAAATTCTATTATACAGTCAAATTAAATTATAGACTACTGTTTCAAGTTCAAGGGTATATTAAGAATGAAGGTAGTAATGCAACATTTATTAAGTCAAGTCGTTAACTTATTTCTAAAAGTAGTGACATACACGTAATGTTAATAAAGATAAATTCATTAATTTCTCATACAGAAATATTTGATTAGAAATTAAATGTCAAATAATCAAAATATTGCAATCAATGAAAATTACTGAAATGAACAAAATTATTTATTTTGTTAATAAATTTTGGGAAATTGTCTCTTTATTTAAATTGGAAAGTATTTTACTATTTATTATAATATTGCTTGAAAGCACAATATTACTTCTAATTTTTGTTGATTAAGACTCAATAAATTATCATTTCTCAAAAATATGTTCTACAAACAGAAATTAAATTACAACCTTAATGTATTAATTAATTAATACTAATTCTTCATTTATAATTAATATTTCATAGTTAAGTAACAAACATAATTTTTCGAAATTTTCATCAACTTTTTCTATTTTTAACAAATTTGTTTAATTTTGATTTTGGCCTGAACTGTGAAATATAATATTATTGTAAATTTAATTTTATTATAAAATTCTTGGCAAGGATCACAGATTTTTTTACTTTTCTTAATTAGAGCTTTTTTAAATCAGACTAAATTTTTTTTATTGACATTTTTTTTATCTTTTTCCGTAATAGTCTGGAAATTATTTTTTAATTTTAATTAAAATTTTAATTACAACGGTACTTTTGTTTTTAAAATTCCATGAATTTTTGCTATAACCGAAGTAAATTGGACTGAAAAATTAGTAAAATTTCCTTCATAAAAGTTTTTTTATATATTTTTTATTTAAATTATAAACGGGTTTATAACCGTTATTTATTATAAAATAACAATTTAAAATTGTTATTTCCAAAATAAATTTTATATTTTCGAATTTTTATTTTCAATAAAAATTAGAAAAATCTACTTTTATTGGTAAAATTTACTCTACAAATTTTTTCCATAAAAATTGAGAATTTCAAATTTTTTTCAAAGACTTTGCAGAATTTTCAACTAAAATTATTTTAAATTCAAATTGTCCAAAAATTTCAATTTGAAACCTTTTATATTCTAATTATTTATAAAAACTATAAACGCAACTCTTCTAAAATTCATTTATTTTTGGAATTTTTGAGTAAAATTATTCGTTAAATAATTTATAAGTAATAATTTTATAATAATTGTATTTCTTTATATTTACATCAAGAATTAAAATAATTGAAATAAATTCAATAATTTTATATTAAAATTAGTGATGATATTACAATTTATCAGGCAAATTAAAAAAAAATTCAAGAAGAATTAAATATTTTTTAATTTTAATACTTTTAATATTTTCAAATGTAGCTGGACAACAAAAATTAGGAATTTTTTTCTCAATTCTAAAATTTAAATATTATTCTGAAACTTTTGATAAAATTTCCTGGCTTTTCCCTGTTTTCCCTGAGCTTGTCTAAATTTTCCTGTTAATTATTGAAATTTTTTTATTTACTTTTTACTGTAGTCTGTAATTTTTTTTAAAATTTTTAATCGAAATCTTTATTAAAACACTTTCTTTGTTTCAAAATTCCATGAATTTTACTATAACCGAAGTAAATTGCAGTAAAAAATTAGTCAAATTTACTTCAGAGACTTGGTAAAATTTCCTTTAAAAATTTACTATTAAAAATTGTTATTTCCAGAATCACTTTTACTAATTTCGATGACAATTTATTTTCTTATAAAAATTAGAAAAATTTACTTGAGAAATAGTAAAATTTACTCGAAAAATAAGAATTTTTAACAGTTAATGTTTGTAAATTTGATTTGAAAATTAGTAAAATATTCTTTGAATTTAGTAAAATTTATTCCGAAAATAGTTCAATTTGATATTAAATAACTTACTTTAATTCCTCCATTGCATCAACATCCCACAGGGTTGTTTTCTCATCATCTCCAGCAGTTGCGATCATTTTTCCATCCGGTGACCAACGACAAACTCGAATTCCCGATCCAGAACTGATAAAAGATCCTCTCGCTTGTTCTCCATTCTTTAAAAGAGCGAAATTAAATATTAAAATACAAAAATACTATTTTAAAAAGTCTTATAAAAAATAATTTCAAACAATAATAATTAAATTGTGAAGTATTTCAGATTTTGTGAAACTGGAAAAAAATTTGTACTTCAAGAATGAACCCATTTCACGAACGAAAAATTTTCGATGTCAAAACTAAAATTGATATCAATTTTAATGGTAATTTTTATTATTAAATATTAACGATTAATACTTTATTAATCAATATAATTTTTGGTTCGAAGAAAATTTTTGTTTCAAGGACTTTCCATTAATTACATTGGTAATGTAGTTTTAATTTTAAATATTCGGTTGGCATTTTTTCTAATGATATCAAATTGAGACAAAAAACGAATTGTGTTGTCTCGTAACGTTTTGATTCATTTGTCTCAATTTAACATCCGCAGAAAAACTGTGTTTGAATTGAAATCAATCTTGGATGCAATAAATGAAAATACAAAAACAAATTAGTGAACAATAAATAAATAAGTAAATAAAAAGACTTGTGCTAATTAAAATCTTGAATCACACTCAAATTAAAATCCTTACTCATTATCAAAATAGAAGATTTTTTTGTTTATAAAGAACTATTTCTCGCACTCTGCAAACAAATAGTTAAATTCGAAAGATAATTATTGCTATACCGTCACCTCAGTGTCCCAGATAATAGTGGTACCATCTAAAGAAGAGGACGCTAACATTGTTCCACAGGGACTGAATTCAAGATGATGAATCGTGTACTTGTGACCCCTTAATGGACTGAAACTCTTCTCGAGCAGTGTAATTTCTTGTTCGTCGTCCTCATTCTCATGAACAATGTCCCATATTCTCACATTTCGATCCCTAAAGTTTGTCACATTTGATTATTAATTTTAATACTATTTTTAATTATAATTAAAAAAATAATTAAATATTTGATTTATAGGTCCCTGAAGTTAGCGTCGACGCAAAGCGTCGAAAAGAGTTTTTTTTTTCGAAGTTTTTACGTTTAAAAAAACTCTCGAAATATTTTTAACTAATGTTTTTTAAAAGGTGATTTCAGTAACATTTTCGCTTCCAAAAGCCTCAAAAATAGTTTTTTTTATGCCTAGCGTCGACGCTAATTTCACGGACATTGATTTTTTTTTTTAATACTGACCCAGAGCCAGAGGCGATTAGATTATTTTTAAATACTGACACGCCATTTACTGATCCAGTATTATCGTCTATACAGCAGATCACTTTCACTTCGTTTGAACTAGTTTCCGCATGTTTTACGACTTCTGATTCCTGCGAAAATAATTGTCGAAAAAAAATTCACATGAGATTATTTTCAAGTTATTATTTGATTATTTAATCATTATTTTCAATTACTGATAATCTAGAATTTTGTAGTTTACTCACCGATTCGTCGTTTTCCGAGTACTGAACGAGACGTGCACCATGTCCAATTTCGGAATCAACTGTTAAATTCCCGGTCAAATCCCAAATTATAATGGATTTGTCATTAGATCCTGAAATAAATGTATTTCAATTAAATTCCATAATTATTCAGTTACTGCAGATCGATGTGAGAAGTAGCTACTATAATGAATAAATTATATTGGCGAAGAGTTCTGACCTTACTACTTATTTGGATAATATTTTTGACATTAGGTGATTGTTATTTTGATGATATTTGATTTCGTTTGATGATATTTGAAATTATTTGATATTATTTGACATTATTTGATACCCATTGATATTATTTGACGATATTTGAAACTGTTTGATATTATTTGACGATATTTGAAACTGTTTGATATTATTTAATGATATTTGAAATTGTTTGATATTATTTGATGATATTTGAAACTGTTTGATGATATTTGATGATTTATGTCATAACACCTAATATTTCTAGAGAAAAAAAAGCATTGCAACTAAAACTTTGTTTTAGCAAAAAATTAAAAAATGGGTAAAACAATAGATTTGAAATTACCGGTAGCTAGCAGAGTACCATCTTTTGAAAAAGCGCAACAAGCAACATATCTATTATGTCCTTTAAGCACTGAAACTATTTTACCGGTGTCCTAGAAGCATTTTATTCACATAAGTGTTTTTAGTCAAAAATTATTCGGAGAAACAAAAATTTATTAATTCTATTTGCTTATTGAGATTAATTCATTAATTTATCAATTCATCAGTGATGTTCTTTTGAAGAAAGGGAACCTAAGAAGCTAAACTTTTATGATGATTAAGGTCCCTGAAATTATCCTCGACACTGGGGGGTCAAGAACTATTTATTTTCGTGAAATCTAAATTAAGAAATTAAACAATTGTTTCAGAGCTTTTAGCTTAAACAATTGTTTCAGAACTTTTAGCTCAAAACCATTCAAAATTAGGAAATGTAATGAAAATCGTCTTTGATTCTAGATAATTAGGAAGTAGAGAGGAATTTTCAATCAGTATAGACCTATTTCTTTTCCTTGGTTCCCTCTCTTCAGAAAGCATCACGTCCTCGATTATTTTTTTCAACTGTTAGTGACTTACTGTTTCCCAAATGATCGTTGTTTTGTCAAGGCCACAACTGGCAGTGTACATTCCATTAGAGCTTAATCGTACACAAGTTAAGGCACTACTATGTTTTTCTAAAACTCTACAAAGATTTATTGAAGCCACTGAATTAGCAGTGTTGCATTTTGATTCTGCGACTCTCACCTCCCATAATTTCACACTGTGGTCATTGCCACACGTTACCAATTGATAGAGCTTCGACAGAGGCTCATTACCTAAAGTATTTTTCAAAATTATTATTATATTTTTTATTTTATTTATTTTGCTCCCTCATAGAGAAACAATTGTTTTGTCAAAACTTTTCTAATTGTGATTTTTTGACGTCCATCTAATTTGACGTCGGGAGTCCAAAAAAGCAGTAGCCTCAATATCTCAGAAAGTCAGGACCAGAAAGAAGCTAAAATTCAAAAGAAAATTGAAGCCTCTATGGGCTTCAATTTTCTTTTAAATTTTAGCTTTTTTCTGGTCACCCTAGGGAACGTGAAATTAGACTATTTTCAGCCCGTTTCTTAAAGTTCAACTTTTTTTTGTCATTTTGAATTATTGTGTTTATCTCGTAAATATTCTGTTATCTCTATGAGGAAGCAAAGTGTTGATAAAATAAACACAACGAGACAACTTGGCAGCGATTTTCCTTTCTTCATCGTACATTTATAATTAAATTGTTCCTAAGAACTCTCACCTGTTATTTCTTCTCGATTGGAGAATTCACAGCAAACTACACCTAAATCATGAGCATCGTCCACTGTTGCATAAAGATTCAATTCCCGATTACTCGTTGGACAGGAATCAATTATTTCGTTTGTGGAAAAAAGATTTAAAACTCCAAATGTACAGGATGTTATTAACCATAATGAATCTGGACTAAAACTCGATCCCTGAATGGCTCCCTCGTGCTTTTGAAAGCATCTGCGCAAAAAGAAAGTTTATATTTTCTCATTTTTTAAATAATCTCTTCTCGATTTTTTTTGAGGATAATCAAATTGAGAAAAAAATGTATCAAAAAGTTGCTTCACAACAGTTTTTCAAATTGAGACAAAAAATGTATCAATACGTTGCTTCGCAATAGTTTTGATACGTTTTTTTGTCTTAATTTGATATTTGCAGAAAAACTGTGTTATAGAGTTTTAAATTTGGAGAAAAAAATAAAGAGATGTTATTAGTGATTGTAATTAAATTAAGAAGTAGTACCGTATTAAAGTTCGCCGAACTAGATCCCAAACACAAAGTTGACCATTGTCACCGGCAGTGATTAGAACCGATGAGTCTGGTGAAAATTTACAAACTCTTACAGCTTCTCCGCCTACTTGAACCATTGTATGAATTTTGGCTCCAGTCTGGTGATTAGGGAGAAAAAAATTTATTAAAAAAATTATAAAACTTTCTTAAAACAGATTTTTAAACCTAGAGAAACTAGGCTACGCGATGTCTGCTACAAAAAATTAATTTCACAAGCAAATTGTCACAGCGAAAAAAAGAAAATGTTAGCTTACTATTATCTTCACTATGCTAACTTAAAAGTCTTGAAAGTATCAAATTGCAACAAACTGATATCAAAAATACGGATCTAATAAAAAATTGACCAAAATTTCTGTCATCATCAATTTGATCCACTTTAGTATCAATTTGATACTTTCAAGAAAACTGTGTTTTCTTTTCGCTTTGACATTTTACTAGTGACTCTATTAATATTTTTTAACAAACATCAAATAGCCCGAGTTTAATAATCTCTTTGTTAAATTTTAGAATTAAAATTCTTTCCCTAAATGCAAAAGTATAAATATTTTTTGTTGATGTTGAAATAAACTTACTCTCAAGTTCCATAATTGAGTGGTACCATCGATACTGGACGAGGCTACCATTGTAGATTGAGGACTGATTTTTACACAAGTCACCCCATACTTGTGACCCAAAAGGGGTGAAAATGGAGTCTCCACGTAACCTGTTCCACTTTTCCAATCCCATATTCGTACTTTTTTGTCTCTGAAAATTGTCATATTAAGATTAAAATTATTATTTACTGGAATTAAGTTCCATTTAATTTAATTATTCGATAGTCTTCATAATTTAATCATTAAATACTTAATAAAAAAAAAAAAAAAAAAAAAAAAAGTTTTTTTTATGTTTTATTGCACTTTTATTCATATAGAAAAAGTTTTTTGCTTTTATGTCTCTTATAGTAAATAAATAATTAAAATGTTTATCAATTTACCCGGAAGCAGTGACTAAAATATGACCACTGGCAAAATCAATGCTGTTTACATCACTGGTGTGAATCGTAAGAGTTTGCAATTTATGCACATCTCCCACTAATGCACCCATTTCTGTTTCTCATACTATATCTGTAAAATTTTTTATTGTTTTTATTATTATTTTTATTAATAAATTTCCCATATCTGCATATTAAAAATTATTAAATTTTCATTATTAATTATTAAATTATTATATATAAATGAAATTCAGGCTAAAAAAAGGGAATTTTTACAAATTAGGGAAAAAATTTTTGTGTTGTACACTCATTTCATTTTAATGATTTTTTTTTTACTTTTTCTTTTAATTACAACTTTTGTAAATCAAATTTTGTTGTTGTTGAATTTTTTCTGTTAATTATTTATATTTTTTCCATAATCCGTAAATTTTTTAAATTCTATTAATTTTATTATAGGTATTCAAAGTAAATTGAAGTAAAATATTAGTAAAACATTCTTCGGACTTGGTAAAATTTTCTTCAAAAATAGTAAAATTTACTTTTAAAAATGATTATTTCCAGAATAAATTTTACTATTTTCAAAGTCAATTTTTTTTTTCATAAAAATTAGAAACATTTACTTCAGAAGTAGTAAAATTTACTCTAAAAATAAGAATTTTTAATAGTTAATTGTTTAAGAAAAATTTGAATAATTTTTATACTAAAATTAACATTGAAAATATTGTCGATTTGGCGAATTTTGGCGAAAACAACAATTTTCTAAATTTTTAACTTAAAAAATATTCAAAACGTTAAAATTTTTTCTTAAATTGTCCAGAAAATAATTCTTTTATGAAATTCAATTATTTTGGAAAACAATTTAAATGATTATAGAATATTTTTAAAAACTTTATGATTCGAAATATTTTTTTAAAAAATCTTTTCAAAATCCAATATTATTTATAAAGAAGGTAAATTAAAATTTTGACAAAAATTTACTTTTTTTATAAATTATCAAAATTTTGGAAAAATCGTGTATTTTCAATATTTTTGATTAATTACTTCTTATTTTTAGTAAAGTTTTCTAATTTTTACAAAAAAGATTGTTTTCGAAAATAGTAAGTCATTTTGGAAATAACAATATTTTTTATAGTAAACTTTACTACTTTTTGAAGGAAATTTTACTAAATTTTTACTGCAATTTACTTCGAATATAGTAAAATTCATGGAATTTTAAAAACAAAAATAGCGTTGTAATCAATATTTTGATAAAATTTTTTTAAAAAAAATTGCTACAGAAAAAAGTAAAGAAAATATCAATAATAATAAAAAATTTAACAAAAAAATCTAATTAAAAAAGCTGTAATTTAGAGAAAAATTAGGAAAATCTTTCAAATAAAAATCTCCTCTTAAAAAAGGAAAGTGTTTTTAAACATTCAAAAAGAAATAGTTTTTTTTTTTTTTTGAAAAATCCCTCCTAAAAAAAAATTGTTCCTTTTTTAAAAAAAGAACCAATTGCTTAAAAAAATGCATCTGAAAAATTGTTTCTAAAAATTAATTTCTAAAATCTAATTTCTGAAAACTGATTTCTGGAAGTTAAATATAAGTTGAGTGGAATTTAAGTTGGAAACTTTTTATAAAAAATCTAATGCAATGGTATAAAGATGATTAGCGCGTGTATCAGTAGGTAATGACATGCCCCAAGTAATATTAGCGTTATATTTTCCATATATATATATGTATACATATACAACATCAAATAAATAATATACATACTGACGCAGCAACTTTAGTTGGCTTTGCGTTTTTTCATACCTGAATGTATGTATATCGATTTCATTCTTTACAACGTGGTTTAAAAGTTTCGTCATGACATGGCTGTTTATTTTTTTTAACACCTTCAATTATTTATAAAGTTTTTCCTTTTTGCAACACATTTATATATTTATATAAAACATTTTTATTTTCTCTAAATGCTTCATGAAATACAATAAATTTTCTTTTTTACTCAGAAGATATATTATTTGCTTCCATATGTATAATTACAGATAAAGAATTATTGTGATGGAAAAATAGTGTCATTCGGATTGGGAAAAAAAAAATTTTAATTCAGCGTGTGCAGTCTTAAATAAAATATAAGAATATTTATTATGCCCCTAGTTCTGAACGTTCATACGTGGATTCTTCTTCTATTAATTTGAATTCTGTTGAAAAATATAGTTTTTAAAAAAAATATTTTTTTTACCTTAAAAATTAATTTTTAGTTAATGAATTTTCAATTTGAATACATTTTTATTTAGGAGTAGTAATTTTGAAAAATATTAGAATCCAAAAAATATTGCGTTAATTTAAACGTTCGAAAAACTGTAAAAAAAAAAAAATTATTTTTAATCCACTTTTAAAACTTGGTAAAAACATTAGATACAAATTTTCAATTTCAATATTTTTCATTTTAGACTAGTAAGTTTTGAAAATATTATAGAAACCAAAAAAGTATTTCGCTCATTTGAACATTCCGAAATTTAAAGATTTAAACAAACAATTTGTTTTATTTTTAAAATTGTTATAAATACTTTTTTAAAATAAAAATAAATGTTATTATTTACAATAAAAATAAAATATGATCTGCAATAAATAGAAAATATTATCTATAACAAAAATAAAAATTTTTTCTGTATAATAAAAATGAAATATTATTTCCTAGACACTGAAAAAAAATTTATCTGATTCAAATATTCGATTTTCTATTAACAAAAAATAAATATTTACCTGAATCAAATAATATTTATATTTAAGTCAATTAAATTCAATTCGAACCAATAATTTCAATAATATTTCAAGCAAATATAAATTGAACCATTTAATTAATTTAAATAAAAATTATTAGACTCAAGTATAAATATTTATTTGATAATTGACAAATATTCGTTGGTTTGAATCAAATAAATTTTTTTTTCGCAGTGAAATAAATCAAATATATTATATAATATATAATTGTGTATAAAGTTATGTGAACTATATAATTGTTTCCACTTTAAGCAAGCAAACTGTCGTCTTGTGAATACGAAAAAAATAAAAACAATAAAACCACTCCTCAATTACACAACAACAAAAAAATCCTCTATTAGGTAAAATTATAAGTATAACATTAATCTGAAGGTCTTGGCAAAAAAGCTTTATATACTATAAAGACAATTTGATAATAACATATTAATAATACAATCTTAAATTAAACTCGAGCTTTATACATTTGACTTTATTGCAATAAAGTTAATATCACTTTCGCTATATTTAACTCAATTAAAATTTTTCAAACAAAAAAAGATTGTTAATTATTAATCATATTTACCATATAAATAACAACTTTCTTTTTTAATGTAATTTTCCATAAGTATAATTTTCAAAAAGTTTTTCTAAAATTCAGACAATTCAGAAAATTCAAAAAAATCAAAAAAATCAAAAATATAAAAAAAATGCAAAAAATTATTGTAAAAATATTATTAATTTATCACTATTTTTTAAATTCTTTCACAATTATTTAATAAATAATTTTTTCGATTTTCGGAAAATGTTTGAAAGATGAAAGAAATTAATATTATTAATTTAGTTAATTTTTCTGTTTTTTTTATAAAATTCTCGATTGAAAGGAAATTTTTGAAGTCACGAAAAATATAGGGTAAAAAATATATATTACCGTAGTTTGATTGAACGGTATAAATATATATTGTATATACAGTAAAAGTCTATGGTTGAATGACGTGGGCGCGAATAAGGGAAGAAAGTGACTAAAAATAGCATCGACAAACTAAAACTATAACTAATAATTGCATTTACGAAAAAAGTAAAATATTTATTTTTGACATTAACTTAATGGGAATTAAGGAAATTGTATGGTAAAAATGAAACTCGACGAATAACTAATTTAAACAATATTAATAGGGTAATAAAGGGCTTTTAATAATTTGTGTAATTATTTCCTCGTACACGCACTATTTGCACAAATAAAATTAAAAATGACTTTAATTTACGTATATTTATATAAAAATATTAATATTAGATAATATTAATAAAAATAATATTCATAGTAAAATTAACAAAAAATTGATAATTATATTGATAGCAAAATTAATAAAATTAATAGTTAAATTAATAATAACAAAATTAATAAAATTAATAGTCAAAGTAATAATAGTAATAATAATATTAATCGAAAAGTTAATAATAATAATAATAATATTATTGCTAGTAGTTAAATTAATTAATATTATTATAAAATTACAATAATTAACGTTATTAAAGAAACGTTATTAAATAACAATATTATTTTAGCAATTATATAATAAAAATGTGTAAATTAATCCGACCTTAATTTTTTTTTTATAAAAGAAAAAATACTTTTTGGGTTTTCCCTTGATTTTTTTAATACATATTTTATAAATTTGGGTTTCGATTTTTTATTTTTATGAGCAAAAAAAAATTTACTCGTTGAATAATAAACTTTTATTATAATATTTAAATCATTTTTTATATTATATTTTTTCGTATAATAATTTCCCGATAAAAATTTAATTTAATTTCTCAATATAAAATATATTAAGATTATAAAATAGAAAAAATTATCGTAACTTTTTTTTTAAAATGCACTTTTCCAACATTATTATAATATTCTTTAAAATAAATACTTCCATCATTTATTTTTTTTCAATTTATTATTTACTTTATTTTTCTGTTATTTACTTTATTCTTTATTTAGTATTACAAATGTTTGTAAAAAAAATTTTCTATTTTCAATAAAAATAAGGTGAAAGTTTAAAATTATTAAGTTTATTGATATAAATTTTATCGACTTATTTTTTTAGTTATTTAATTATTTTATTTTCATTTTGCAATTATTTTCAAAAATGAATTCTTACACTTTTTCCAATTATTTCGGATTTAATTTTTTATCATAACCTTTTTGAATGCATTTTACCGTTTTTTACATATTTTTTTTTTAAATTTACTTTTTACTTCCTTTTTATTTCATTTCAATTTCATTTACTAAGTTTAAATTATAATTAATTTGTTATTGAAAATTATCTCAAAATTAGAAAAATGATATAATAAACAGAAACGAATTTCAAATTTATTGTAGAAAATGATTTACTGTAGAATTAAAATAAATTTTACTAAAATATTTTTAAACTTTAGAATAAAATTAATTAATTTAATTAATTAATTAATTAATTATTACTAATTAACTTTAATTAAATAAAACTGTTTCTTTTTTAAATATAGGCGAAAAAAATACAAAAATGAAAATACAAATAATAATAAAAAATAGTTTTGTTGAAATCAATTTGAATGGAAAAATACGTTTTTCAATTGTCACTATTATTAAAAAAAATAAATTACTGTTTACTGTATTACATATGCAAATTTGATTTAAACTTACCCATTGGAGGCACATGTTGGTAGGCACTAAAATTAATTAATTTCTGTCAGCGTTTAAAAACTATTAATTTTCATCAATAAAGATAATTTTCAATTTAAAAAATGCACACAAATTTTCGGGAAAAATTATTTTTTTTTACTTTAAATTTTCATTGTAAAAACTTTGTTTTCAATCATAAAATTGCGCTCGGATGAAAACAAAATAGAAAATGCCCGGTCAGTGTCACCTGTCACAATGAAGTTCAAGTGAGTTTAGTGAAATTCATAAGTAAAACTGCTGAAACGCATGCCCAACATTCATTGAACAAATCAATATTGGACATGTGCAAATAACGTAAAAGTCAACATACGTCATTTACACGTGGTTCATGATTTAAATTTGAAAAAAAAAATTATTTTGCAAAAAATACAACACTTTTTTCTGACACACTTTTATATTATATTCGAATTTTACTGAATATTACTCAATTATCCACTTTCGACTAACGAAAAATGACCGATTCGCTTATTTAAATGATAATTAGTAACTGTACCAACAATACTGATTAATTTTTAGTCAAAAATGGTAAAAAAATGACTAATTCACTAATAGGTTTGTTACGTTCATTAGTGTAATTTTTAGGTTATGTTAAATGTCAAAAACCAGATTTTTTGTTTCTAAGAAAAGTTTTAGTAACTTCTTTACCAATTGGTACAAACAAAAAAATCTACTAATTTAGTTGTTTTCTAGTAATAATTAGTTATTTTTTTAATGTAACTGAAATAGAACCGATTCGTTCACGATTTTATTGTTAATTAGTAGTTTTCTACTTATTCGGTACACACCATTAATCATAGAGCATTTATCTATTTTTAAAACAATTAGTTCTTTATTTCGTATCTAAAAGTATAAAATTTAATAAAAACTTAAAAAAATTCCTCCTGTAAAACATCTTTTCGATAAACAGCAAAGTTGGAAAAAAAGAAAAAATATTTCGGTCAGAATATTTTTTTTCAAATTTCCCGCACTTAAAAATGCGATGTTACGAGCGACTACCATCTCGCTCGTTAACTTTCGATATATCGATTCACGAGTTATCGAAGCGCGAAATTATAATATTTCGTTAATAAACTTAATTATTTTTAGTATTTTCTCACGACTTTAGACAAATATTGACGAGACTAAACAAGAAAGTTTGGCTATTGTAAAATATAATACTTCACGGTTTAATAGTTTCCAAATTCTGAATATGTATTTGAAAATCAACATTTCTTAGAATTGCCATAAATCAAGTAGAATAGCGAAAGAAAATGTAATCTCTAGTTTCTTTAGAGTCATAAAACCGAGAAACCCTCGAAAGAATATAAAAAATATCTCAAGTGTCCTTTTCCATAGGACAATGCAACATGTGTTTACCATACTTGTGACCACAGAAATGGCTTTGAAAAGTCACGTACACATAGACTTTCATTATGCGACGAACCTTAATTATCAATTGTATAATATGAACGTTATGAATAATTAACAACAATATTATATTGTTGCTAATTGTGCAGTATGAATGTATTATTTGAAAATGATATTATTAGTAAACTTTATCTGATTTATTGTTGTAATATTATAGTATATATGTGTATATTAGTAACGTATTAATATAATAATAATATTATATTATGATACATTATCAAATTGGTTATCGTTATAATTGTTGTTTATATTTAAATATGATGAGTGCAGTATAAGAGATTTATTGTTACTAGATATGATGTAAATAATTAATAATTGTGTAATTAGTGTGAATGCAAAAGGATTATGTTCACTTGTTGTGATACATGTTTTCAATACATAGAGTATGTTTATACGTGTATTAGTGCAGTGCAGTGTTAGTGTGGTGATTCTAAAAACTTCATAGACTTTACAAACTCTATAACAGGGCATGCGCAAAGATTATGCCATGGACCAAGGGATAAATGCTCCCTCACGAATTCAGTTCTATTTTGGAGTTCTTTCGTAACGGACTTCAGAGTAGTCCCAAAAATAGCCTTAAGAATAACTTCGACTTGTGTAATGTTTGACTTTAATATATAATAAATGTATTGGGTTTACTCGTGAAATGAGTCGGATTAATAATTAATTGATATTAATATTAATTATTAATTGATCTTTCTTATTTTCGAGGTTTTTCCCTCCGTTTTAACGGAAATTAACTTGTTTTATTTTGAATATTTCCGCCTTCCTTTTCAAAGGATTAAACCAAGATTGAACATCGAATCAAATCGCGGATTTTACGCCTGCGCGTAAATAACGTAAATCCGCACGTAACAAATTGGGGGCTCGTCCGGGATCTTGGTGCGGAAAAATTTAAATTTTTGCAAATTTTGTGACTTTTATTCGAAATTTTATGTGAATTTGAACTTTAAAGAACAATAGTGAAAATAACAAATATTACGGGTTGTAAATCTAACAGTGTTAAAATTTTAAGGAATTTCATAAAATAAACTATAAAACAGTGTAAATATTAACATTTTTTGTGTACCATGAACATTTCGAGAAAAATTTGAGACTAATGAATTAATCAGTGATATAAATGGAAGTGAAATATTCAATCTTTTTACTTTGGACATCATGGAATTCATCTGGAGAACCAAACTACAAATTCAAATTGTTGTGGTGGATTAAATATTGTTGCTGTATTAGGACGTCGAACGAGTGTCAATTTTAATAATAAAAATAAATTTTAAAAAACTTTATTCAACTGGGAGTATCCTGTTATCCTGCTTTCCTGAGTTCTGTACTTCGAAGAGATGCTGATACCTGATTTTTCCTGAACCAATGAATTGGATTTTCAATATTTTTTTTTGAGCGGACTTCTGCAAGGTCAACCAACTACAAGAAGAATTGTTTCCAAAAGTAAGAAGAATATAGTGGAAAAGTGTGTGCGCGAAAGAATTTCAAATTTTGAAATTATGGTCATTTCGTTGTGAAGTGCGTGAAACGTAGTGTTTTGGAATAATAAAATAAAGGTATGGTTAGCGTATGATTATGAAATTATAGATTATAATTTGTCTCTTCTGAGGTTATGATTTTTACACTATTTAAAGGTATAATTAAGAAATTTTTTGGAAAGTTTTAAAATTTCCGTGTGAAACAATTAGTTTTCTTATTTTTGCTATTTAATAAATTATTTAGATGCATTTTTATTTTTGTGATAATTGAGTATTTCATAATTGACATATGTATTTTATAATAATTAATATATTATTGTTTTGTTGAGTCTAAATTAAATGTGTTGTGTTAGTTAAAAATTTGATATAGTTAGTATATAGTCAAACTAATTAGGCAATAATTATTGTTTTTATTAAATATTTAATTGTCAAATTATTTAAGATATAGAAAATTTAATATTGATATTTTTAAAATGATAAAAATGGTTTATTTTCAATTTTGAATAATTAGAATACTTATAAATTAAGAAATATTTTATATATTTTTATGTTTACATTTTTATTTAGTCAATTGTTGTATAATACGAAGTACTTTAAAATATTTTAATAATATAAAATGACACTAATTCTCATTTTTGTAACTACAATATTTTCGAATTAGTTTTTCTAAATATTTTTAATTCTGTGAATTAACATCTTTCTTATTAATTTAAATCATAGATTGTTGTATTTAAAATGTTGAATTAATTAAAATTTTTTAGTATTTTTCTTAAGTTGTCAGAATTAATTGTTTTTACGATTGTATATAATTGATTTAAGGTAAAGTCTAGAAGAGACAAATGGTGTGAATGAATTAAAAATTTTGTGAATAATATTAATGAATATATGATTGTGAATATTCCGTACATTGTGGTGAAATTAATGCAAATAATGGAATTTTATTGTAATGTAAAAATGACGTGACATGACAAAGACAGACATATTTTTGAACTGTTTTATGATATTTTTAAACAGACAATTTTAAAGGCAACAACGCAATTTCTTTTACTTCCACGGCTGTTTTCTCTATCTCTACAAGTGTCAATTTAATTTTTAAAACTTTGTCCGAAATATTCAACCCTTAATGTCACGAAAATACCTGACTAATCAATGAAAATTTGTTTAGTACATACCAATTTCCTTTTTAAAAGATAAGCACTGCTTTACATGCAAAGAACCTGATTATTGCACAAAAAAAGGGCATCTCTCTTTCTCTTGTTTTAATGCGCTTCAACGTTATTATTTTCCACTTAATGGGTGTTAGAAAGGGTGTTTTGAAACCTTGAAAGTCTGTTGTATTACATGTATATGGCAGAAAGGCAATTTATTCATATTAATACCGAGGATTTTGGTATTTCTTCATTTGAAATTTTGGGAATGGAATTTTTGCACGAGAATTCTGCCTCCTTTAGGGTTTCAGAATGAAGAAATTATCCTTGATCTTCCACCCTTGAGACACACGAACGAGGGAAAATATTCCTTACCGCGAGATCTAATAAGTCCTTCTGTTTAAGTAAAGAAAGAAAGTTTAAAGAAAGATTTTTATTCTTTTTAAACGTATTGAAATCAATAAGAAAATTTGAAAATTGTACTTTGAAGAGGGGAGAGTTGTTGACAATTTTGGTATCATTTTGGAAGATTTGAATCTTTATAATTCGGGGTGTCTGACGTGTGAGAATTTATTTACAACGGAAAATTCTAGAAATTGACGGAAATTTTAAATATAAATGCAATTTGAAAAGTTTCATTAATTTGTAAAAAAAAAAAAAAATTTTAAGAACATTTATACTAAGCCTTATATTCTTCAACAAATTTTTAAGAAAACATATATCAGCAATCAAACTAAGTTTCAGTCTACATTTTAAGTTTTGATAAACATATTATAATTAGTTTTGCAGAGGAAATAAACAAACATATGTTTTACTTTTCTATGCACCAAATTTTGAGTTATATATGAATTAAAGAATATTTTTTTTTTTCATTTTAAAAGTATACCTGTTTTATGTATAACTTAAACTATATTAAATCTGGACAATTTCACTGAGATAAGAAAGTTGTTCTCTCATTAAGGTTTGAATAATGTTGAGAAAAATAATTGTTTTTAAGTTTATCTAAAATTTTAATATATCTAAAATTAAAATCTTTTCAATTAGGTACGATTATTTTAATCCTCATTTTAATTTTTATTGTTTTAATACTTAATTTAATATATTTAGAATATTAGAAATTAATAAATAAATCTGAGAATTCTAGAGTCAAAATTCACTGGACACCCTGCAATTTCGGTGAGACCCTTGCGAATTGTGTGTTCTACTTGGCATGGTATACCAATTGACAACAAACGACTTGACAAAAGAAAAATCAATTAGTTTGGATTTATTTTGCACGAGGTGACACGTTCTATGAACAAAACACCTGTGTTTTATTAATTATTTTTACAAAACATGACGAAGGACGAAAGGCCGGGTAGAACCATGCAATTGCTCGGAGTCAAATAAAATTAGCGAACCAATTTAAGGTTTTGATGCAATGGACGGTTTATTGGTTCTGGGAATATGTGACCGCGAGACCGAGACAAAAGGTAGAATGTTGATGAGGACGGCCTCGGCACGGAGTCACAGGGTAGTGGTGAGTCTGGCCAG